TTAGTCAAATTACGCTTGAGTTTATTATAATTTAGGAGAATTAATTATTTCCTTGATTATTATATAAAAACTTTAAATCAATTATATTTTAGAAAGAGAGTAATCTTTTTATTCTTATCTAGACATTTTGTGTCTCACTTGAGAATAGGATAAAAGTTAAAAGTTGTGAAATTTAACCGAAGCTATAGAGAGGATGAATTTATCTTATGACACGTGGCTAAAACTTCTCAAGCCCATTACGTTTCTTTATACGGGTAAAAACCAATGAGATGTCTTTTGAAACAATTTAGCACTAATGAAATATTGACAAGTAAAGATTACTAATAAAGGTCATTAATAATCCAATCGACAACTCTGAAAATATTGAATCATATAAGCATTTAGAACGTGCAAATTTGGACCACCTTGCAAAACGATAGTACTACTGTTGGAGTGAAGGGAGAGGTTTCAATTTATTAAATGGTTGAAAGATCCGATATAATCTTTAAGTTACACAATAAAAGATTCTTTTCTTATGTCGTTAAATTAGTAAGAACTGATATGATCCGAAGAGCTCGAACATGAAATTTTCTATTATTCATATTCATAAAAGGCCAATCAAATTACGAATAATCTGCGTTTGTTATCATCCAAATTTATAAATCAAGAAATAGTTTAGGTATGAAACATAGGAGTCAGGAGTAAATGCTGATAAATGAGCTGTGGCCTATCAGGAATTGAAGGAGACTGTTGAAAGGGATCATCGGTCATCTTATTCACTTTAATTTAATGACTGCGGCCTAGCCTTTCTTGTTGCGCCATTATCCTCTACCACCAAACTCATTTTACCTTTCTTTTTCTTTCCTAATTAAATTCATCTGCCAATTCTACTATTCCACTTATAATTAATTTAATTTAAATTTTCTTTATTAATATTTTTTTTTTGACTTTTTATATCAACAGCGATGACTATTTTCAGACAAATTTTATTCTTAAAGTCAAAATTTAAGCATATATATATATATACTGAAATTTTTAAGAGAGTTAACTAAACTTTTTACAATAATTATAATAATTATTATTACTATTACTTAAATCAAACCGAACCATATATGAATTGAGATATGGTGGTCGGGCCAATTGGGTTCAATTACCATCAAATACCAACTAACCCTTTAATTGGAAGGGGGTAATAGCCTATATAGATATTATGATACAATAAAGAAAGACTAGGACACGTGGATTAACTCAAATTTCAATCATGATTTCATTTCTTGTTTTGTTTATCCAATTTCATTTTTCTCATTTGGGATTTTTGATGGGTTTTAAGTACAATTATTGAGATAAAAAAAAATTTAAATTGATAAAATTTATAGATTTTTCTCTTTTTATTTATGGTCTTATAAATATTTACATCGAAGGTATTATTATATTCTTAAAAATAATTATTTTCCTGATTCTGATGCATCATGTTAATGAAACTGTGACTTAATTTATTATTGTATTATAATAATATTTCTAATTGAAGCAATCAGCTGGACTTGGTTCAGACTTTCCCAGCACGTGTGCAGCTACGATAATAGAGAAAAGCATGTGGCCATTGGAATCCAATTTATTGATGATCCATGCTGTTGACTGCGTGTAAACGACAAATTTGGTTAATTAATCATATTTAATGTACGATGATTTCATATTAAATCAGTATTTAGGAATAATTAGTTGATTGATTTGATATCTTGAAGGGCTAATCACTTGCGTAAGTTCTTTTTGCTCTACCTCTAAAGTAGCAAAACCCTAATTAAAGAATATAATTAAAATATTCACATGGTAACACTTCATATTTATATTTTTCACACTTCAACCCACAATTTTGTGGCTACAAATACTTTTTCCGTTTGAAAATAAAAGTAGCCGTTTTGAATGTTAAAAAATAATAAATAATATTTTTTGATATTATTATTTTCATAAATTATTATTAATTTTAATATTAAAAGTAATTTATGAAAATAAATTAGCATGTCCTGAAAAATTGAAGATATGAATCTAAAAACAACAGATTATTACCTGGAATACGAGGGAAAACACATGTATTCACACACCTTAATTGTTTTTTTCGAGTAAATTCTTTTTGCAAACCAAAAGTCAACCCTGTAATTAAAGATGCACGTGTCACGATTACAAGCAAGGAAGCAATTCACAATGGTACATTTCTAATTTTGTCAAATGTGTCATTCCATGTTGGTAGGAGTAATTAATTAGCGAATTCTTCTATTGGTCCTGCATTAAATTAAATGAAATTAAAAAACTCTTACGAATATGTAGCAATTGCTAGATTTAAGGTCTCCCAATTTCCAACCAAATTAAAATAATTATATTTTAAAAAATAGTCAACACTTAATCACTAATTAATTATTAGTAACAAAATTAACTGAATTTTCTTTGAAGGAGTAATAAGAAGGCAAATGTTTGATTATTAATAAGAAAATAAAATGGAATTATTCCATTTTCTTTCCTTGAACATCTTAATTAGGTGGTTTGAACCTTAGGATTTTGTATTTGTTTTATATTGTTGGAGTCTAGCAAAAATGCAATTTTTAAAAAAAATTAATTAGACATCGGAAATTATTAATTAAAGACGAAAAAGAAAATTATGGAAACCATCCAAAATTTCTGTGACCTAGATTTTAAGCAAGTAGGGATGCCCTAATTATGTTAGCAAGTACGGAATATTGGTGGGGTTTAATTGGCCAATATATTGGTGGTTTTGTACTATTCACAAATTTAACCTAATTTCACTAACTATATATATATAGTTCACCTAGGGCGTAATATTCAAGTAAAATAATGTCGACCTGACCTTGTTGGTTAAATATTTGGATTTAATGAAATTATAAGACGAATTTAGACATAAAAATTTAATAAAAGGGCAAAATTTTGATTCTTATATAAATAAAATTAGCCAATTTGTATTTGTGGTAATAAGTACTAATAACTATACTATAAGAATCTTGAATCCAAAAAGGAAAGGCTCAATCTTTGGAAATAAAATTGATGTTATGAGAGATGAAACTGTTGATAGACCACTGAAATGGGAATAGTGTCTGAGTCTTCTATTGCACTATTAGCCATTGGGAAAGGAAAGCTAAGTTTATAAGGAAAATGACTTTTTGCCTCTTTCTTATTGTCAACGTGGTAAGAAATCCCAAATAAGTGAAAAGAACCAACCCAATGCAACATGTAATTTCATTTTTTTTTTTTTTTTTTTGGATAGCAAACATGTAATTTCATATTTTTTTTTTTTTTTTTTTGGGTTAGTACTAGTGTGTTTTCTTGTTTACTCTATTGGATATGTGTGAGAGAGTGGGTACTTGGTGCAAATTTTGAATGGTAAGTAGATTTACAAATCAAAATCAAATGATATCCATCTTAACACATGCTCGAGTTTGAACACAGAAAGATATATGAATTATAATAGTTTGTATTTTCTCTGTTTTCGCTAATTTGACATGTATTAAACTCTTTGGTCATAAGAATTAAGAAAATAAATTGAATTTACCGTCAAATTTTTTTAAAAATAAGGATAATTGGACTAATTAATGTTTAATTAAGATAAAATGAATAATGCCCAGATATATCTTAGGATAAAATTAAAATAAATATAAATACCAATTTTGATTTTTTAAAAATGTCGACTAGAAATTGAAATAAAAAAAAGTTAAAAACACTGTTCAATTTAACGGTTTTTTTTTTTTTTTTTTTGGGTTAGTACTAGTTGTTCTTGTTTACATCTATTGATTTTTTATACTTACTTTGTGCAAATTTTGAATGGTAAATAGTTACAAATCAAAAATCAAATGATATCCATCTAACACATGCTCGAGTTGAACACAGAAGATATATGAATTATAATAGTTTGTATTTTCTCTGTTTCGCTAAATTTGACATGTATTAATTTTTCATAAGAATTAAGAAAATAATTGAATTACCTCAAATTTTTTAAAAAATAAGGATAATTGACTAAATTAATGTTTAATTAAGATAAAATATAATGCAGATATATCTAGGATAAAATTAAAATAAAATAATAAATACAATTTTGATTTTTTAAAAATGTCGTCTAAAATTGAAATAAAAAAAAGTTAAAAAACTGTTAAATTTAACGGAATAAAATGAGTATTTTATTTCCAAGTATGTTACATGGGAGCCGGATGGTGTTTAATAAACGAAATAATAGCCAACATAATAATTCCCAAGGAAAAACCGAAAAACAACAACAACAACAATAATAATAATAATAATAATAATAATAAAGAATAAAATCTTAACGACCCTACTTAAAATCTTTTAATGACATAAATCTAACATCATTATTTTATGGTCCCGATATTTTCAACATAATTTAATTATGATTAGAGCATACCTGCAAAATATTAAATTTAATATTTAAATTAAATACAATATAGCAGGAGAATATTATTATAATAAATCCATATGTAAGTAAAGACACTCTGCTAGAAATAAGTTAGTTGAAATGGAATTGTCAATGGGATATAGCCCCATCTAACAAATAATACAATTCTATTTAATTATATATATATATAATTAAAGAAAAAATAAAATCAAGAATAACACTATTGATTGAAATAATTATTTGACAAGTCTATTTAATTTTTTTTTAAAAATGCAAAGTGTTTCTTTGAAAAGTAAAAATTTAATAATAATTCCAAATGTCTAATTTTGCTAAGTTGGAAGTGAACTAAAACCTAGTTTGTTAAATTATAGCAAGATTGCATAGCAGTATAGGTGGGAGAAAAATGTGCCTCTTTAGGACACAAAAAGAAACACATCAAAATGTACAAGTCTTACATGTGCACACACACCATGAAAATTTCTAAATTAACCAATTTCATGAGTTTCATAATCAGAAGATCAAACAAAGAATTAGGGTTTTCAATTATAAGACATCATCCTAAACAAGTCCAACCATGTCTTAAACCTAATTAAGACTTTCAAATATTTAATTTATCAGTAAAGGGAAGTATATTTGACCATTCAATTTGAGATAAAACAAGCAATTTATCTGCAAAATGCTAAAGCAGAAAAGGAAAGAGAAGAGCTAAAGAACAAGAACACAACTTGAGAAGGAAGAAAAGTATTTTTAGCCCTTCAATAAGAAAAAATTGCCAAAGGGCTCTCTCTCACAATATCAAAATACCCATAAGAAAAAGTTATATAAAAAGGTTAAAAAAAAAAGACACACCAAAAGTTAATCTCTAATTAAAATTTAAAGCACTAGTTAATCTTCCCATAACAAAAGCTCAAAACCACTATTTATCACACTTTCGGACATGTAATCCTCGTACCAAGGTGGATTGTATAGCCACGGGTCGCCAAATACAAACTCGTCCCTCAGCTCGGGCGACTTCTCGAAACTCATTTCTAGACTCGGTAACTCCACAATCTGGCTCAGTTCTTCTGGCGTTGCCACGTCACACGGAGATGACGTAACTTCTGCTGTTGACGACGATGATGATTGCGTCACCGTCGACGATGATGACGCATTATTGATGTTATTGTCATGCTGGGTGTCCTTGCTAATGTGAAAGTCCATTGAAGCAGCTTTAGCGGCGGCGGCTTGGACGTCGCGAGGCGAGTTAGAGGCGGGTCGAGGCAGCGACCCAGCGAGTTCAGGGAAGTTAAGGATTGCCGAGTTGCCTTTAATGGTTAAAGCAGCCACGTCGTGTGCACGTGCCGCCATTTCGGGTGTGGAAAAAGTGCCGAGCCAGATCCGGTTCTTCTTCCGGGGCTCTCGTATCTCCGATACCCATTTGCCCCAAGTGCGCATTCTCACTCCTCTATACACCGGATGCTTGCTACTGTCTCTAGCCCTCTTGGGTTTTCTCTGATCATTCTCATCCGAGTCGGATTTCCGAACCGGTTTTGTAGATAACCCGGATGAAGATGGCGAACAAGGAGCTGGAAAAGAAGAGTTAATACTGGACTCGGTCTCCCAATTCGAGTTTTCTCGAATCGTGTCAGGCATTTTTGGTGATCGCGAATCACTATTGTGTAGTACTTTCTTGCTTTGTTTCAGATAAAACCCAGAAAACAATTTTCTTGGAGAGAGAAAATATAAGTAGAGAGAGAAAGCAGAAAATGCACAAAGAAGAATGGGGTTATTCTGGGTCTTTATAGAGGACAGTATAGAAGATTGAAGAGAGGGAGAAAGACATAGTGGGGTTTAAGTAGAAAGCTGAGAGAGAAAGAAGACTGAGGAGAGGGATGTGCCAAAATGAGAAGAGAAGGAAAACGTGGAGGTTCTAGTTATAAGCGAACCCGCCAAAGATACATAATCACAGTCATTAATTAGCATAATCACATATTAACAAGCTTTGGCTCTCTGTTAGTTAGTTCTACATGATTATTGGGTTTTGAAAATTCAGTAATGCAGGAAATTTCCTAACACTTACAAATTTTTAATTGATAAATTAAGCGATTTTGAAGCTTTAATTAGAGTACAGGAGTCGGCCTAGGAAGGGAGAGGTGGCCAGGTGGGCGTGTGGATGGTCACAGGCTCACAGCTGGCAAAGGAATGGTAGAAATGGGCTGACTTCACTGTACTTAATTCTTTTAATTCACTCTCTTATTTTATAAATGTGTTGTTTGTCATTATTGATACGATGATAGTTAACTGAGTAATGTATCTTTTATAAGACTTATTTTACCAATTTAATAAATTAAAGGAGGGCTAATTCAATTGTATATCATTTTGAGTCACGGCTATAAGAGTTTTTATCAATTTAATGAATTAAAAGGGAGAGTTTTCTCTGTTGCATAATAGTAATATTGTTTGACGTATTAGATCTTTTTATAAATGTAAAAAAAGGTTGATTTTATAAATATTATTTAATAATGAAGATTATTACTGCAATATTCTATTTTTTGAGTGATTGAAAAAAATACAGCTGTGATCTTAAGAGCGAAAATCATATTGTTTTTTTTTTTTTATCTTTAATTAATTTTTTTCACTTATTTACTGTTACTTAATAAGAGGGTTTTAGAAGTCCCTCACTGATGTGATTTATTTTTTGAAGTGATGTTTTTAAGTACAGACAAGATAATTTGAAAGCGTAATCGAGGGCCCCTTTGCATTTGGGTTCACAATTGCTTCAGTAAATTAATTGTACCAAAAATCTGATTGTCACTCAAAATTATTACTGCTCCTTTTTATCTTCTGGTCAAATAGGTCCCTATCATTTTGGCTCTATTCAATTTGCCTCCAAATTGGAAGAATTTATTAAAATAAAAAATTATTAAAATTAATGGAACATAAATAGTATTTATTAATATTTAATTGGAAGAATTTCAATAAGAAATGAAAATTTAATTTTAGCTAAATTTATTAATTAATGTGTAAAAGACTTTTCCAAAAATGCTAAAAAATTTCAAAATAAATAGGCTTAAAACCACAATAAATAAGACAAAGATAGAATAAACCAGCTAATTTTTTCATCATTCAAAGAGACAGAGTCAAAGAATTGCACATTATATAATTATAAATATAAAATCCCTAGGTTTTATTTATAGTTTGATAATTAATTAGTTGTAATTTCAATGGGTTTGTACAAGCAGGTAATTAATAAATTAATTAAGAAATCTGTCTTCCTGACTAGATATATGATCTATGGATTAAGAGCACTTTGATTTGGAAAATACCCACATGCTGTAGCTGCAATTATACTCTACTGGAGATTAAACAAAAAATTTGGAATTATATGTAATTCTACTTGTTTATTAATTACAATAACCAACTCTGAGTAATTGCTTTCATACCAACTCATGTTACATATAGATTTAGCACTTGGTTTGATTCCATTTTCGGTAAGAAAACATTCAGACAACACTTATTTATATATATATTGGAGATAAATGCATATTTTATTAGGTGCAGGGTACTTGATGAAACTTATTCTTTTTTTTTTTTAATTGCAGTAAAATAAAAATCTTATATAATTTGCTAGCTAGCTAAATGCGGTATGATCGGTTTTTCATTGGTGAGTTTGAGTCATTTAGACTACAAGAGTGAAGGGAGGATTATCTCTGTTGTGTAGTTTGTTCTATTATTTCAACTTGTTTAACGGGTGAAAGAAAATTTTATATTACTAACTATAAATATAACCATGCAATTCTGTTTAGGTTAAAGTTTTTTGATTGCCAGGTACAAATTTTGAAATAGTAGTTGATTATAACAAGATCTAACCCTAGCTTCATTAAAGAAGTGGAGCCATATGATATTTTTTCTTTGATATAATAAAAATAATAATAAATTTAATTATTCTGGTTATTTCACATGCCACTCATGTGCCACCCATACTCAAAAGGTGTTGAACACCTTCTTCTCATCAAGATTTTGTTTCTTCAATCTATAACCCTTCTTAAGTATTTCTCTGCTACCATATGGCATGGCAGATACGATGGACCAACTTATTTCTACTTCTGCAACTTATAAAAAACATATATTTATTTTTATTTTTACCCAATTTCATTTTTTTTACCTTCTCCATTCTAATTAGTATTTAAAAATTAGTTATTTTTCCAAGATTTGAAGAAATTAGTACCAAGAAACAGCACATCTACAGTAGTTTCAAGGCAGGTATTTAAGGGCATTAGTTAATGGGCTGGGGTCACTTTGGGCCTACCAAAATTTAATGGTGTTGTATGTTTAATAAGCGCATTTGATGGGCTTCTAAAACAAGAATGATAATGGGCCCCCATTTTGCATGAGAGTTATACTTGTCCCCTATATTGTTTTGCAAGATCCAATTCTTACTTCACTAATTTTGTACAAGAAAAGCTTTGTTTTTACTGGGACCATATAACCAAATTTACGAAGCCACTTGATGATCTACGGCAGTACTGTTCTTTCAATGAATAGGACATCCCTATTTAAGGTTTGTCCCTCTACTTGTTTTCATCTCCATATTGTACTTTTTTTTGTGGTTCTATAACTTTCCATTTTTGTTTTTTGCAATTTCATTTGTTTTTTTTTTTTAAGTGCCCTTTGTGAGTACAAGTGCACATCATTCATTTACTTCATTTTATTTTACCAACCACCACAAGCTCTGTGGATTACTAAAAACAAGTTCTTTTATTATACTGTTAAATGTTTAAAAGCATTGAACTGTCATAAAATTTTAAACAAAATTAAAGTTTTTATTTCATAATATTTAAAATAATGATTTAGAAATTCATTCGATTATGATTTTTTTTAATATTCATAAAGAGTTAGAAATTATGTATTTTTTCCTATAAATCCCGTACAACCTGTGACTTCTTGATACGAGTAACAAATCTTTACTGATAGCATGCAATGCATGCAATTTTATGATTCTGAAAAGAAAAATTATAACATGGAGCAAGATTTTTCTGCCATTTAATTGCCTCTTGAAGCAAACAATTATTGTAGAAAGCAAGTCCAAAATTTCTGTATTATCACTCATAATCACAACAACCCATATAATTAAGTGCAACTTTCTTCTTTAATCATGCCAAGCTCCACAAGCATAGTCAAAAGAGCCTCACACATTTCACTGCAATCAGGCTCGTTAGGATCCTTCTTACCCGAAGAGTAAACCATCCATGCATGATCTAGCTTCCTGTCTGGTCTGACAACAACTGAGCCAGGAACCTCAGCATCACGGCAAGTTACTAAGCCATCGCTTTTCTCTCCATACCTAAGCTGCAAGTGGAGAGCGGAAACAGCCATGGCAGCAGACAGAGGTATTACGACTGGTACCTTGCGTCCTGCTTGAACAACACTGTCAGGCTCCTCAAACCCAAGTTTTGGCAGGGGTAGCCAAGGAAGTTCTGCATGTGCTATTTGGGTCATTGTCGCAATGACACCTGGAGCAATGCTTGCCTCAGAGTGGAATGAGATAAGAGGTATTTGCTCAGGGAGCTTGTGGTTCATGATGAACTCCCTCCGCTTATCATAAGTGAGATCTTCCAGTGCTCGAATGTCACCCTAGAAATATACGTTAATTATTCATGAATCATAATCAAATAAAGGTGAACTAAATACTTTTAACAGAAAAATAGCATTGCTATGTAAACAATACTACTCGATGCACCTACCAATAATCACAGTATAAGAAAGACATCAAGGGTTAAATAAACAGAAGTCCTGCAGAAGGGAGCCTAATAATTTGGAGCTTTATAAGGCTTAGAAACCATAGATTGGCATAATTTTTTTCCTTCTAGATTTTCACACCACAAAATACATGGACTGCCTAGGCATTAAGAAATTAATACCTTAATGAATTTGCATATCAAGAGTTCCATGATCTTCCGGGTTTCTTTGTCAGCAATCTGGCCTTCACGGAGAATATCTGATGCTACGGGGGATCCACCATATGGGCTTTGCACCAGTGCAAGTCCAGCAACTTTATCTTTCAAGTCGGACCAGTACAATGACAATGCGGCTGCAGCATCAACCCCACCCTTGCTATGTCCAAGCAGCATCACACGCTTCCCCGAACCCCAATAAAGTTCCTCAATGTAATGCTTCAGTTCGCATGCATTGTGCTCCACTGATGCCTTCATATAAGAAGACAGATAACAGCCAGAAGGAAAGGTTTGCGAAGGTTTATGAATCAAGATAATTAAATGGAACATATATATTGTTTAGAGAAAAAAGCACAAAGAAATTTCTCAACACTTTGTTTATGTAACTGTGGTATTCCCTGCTCAATCTTAAACTTAGATAATCCACCAAGTAATAATCAATTACCTCACTGTGAATTTTCGCAATGTGACAAGCTAGACCCATCTTAGAAAAGCATCTCTTAGTACCCACAAAATATAAAGGACCATGATTACTAAAAAGACCTGACAAAGGTAAAACTTAACATTACAATGGGCCTCTATTTTGCTGATTGCCAGCAGAAGCTAGTAGAATTGGGAATTTTTTTGTACCTGGTATTAATAGATAAACAAATGAGTCTTGAAGTTTGTGCTCTCCATTCCTGAAGAATAATGCACAACATTGTGGTGAGATCCGTGAATATATCCACTGCCAAGAAAAGCTATCCTAAACTCTAGGCACTATACAAAGAGATGTAATAACCATTCAAGCAAAAACTTGTGCAATGATAAGCTCAAATAAAAACTAAAACTTAAAGCAGTGGAAAATAGAAATGATAAACAATAGATCCAGCTAAGCATTTCAGTCAAGGTTTCTTAGGAGATGCAACCCAATTATCACATCCTACTTGTTATTAAGAACAAAAGAGATGTGAAACGCAAAATCTGTAAGGCCCAAATTTTCACATACAGCATTACAAATTAGATGCTTTATGAAACTTTAGTAAAATCCATTACGGTGTGTATAATATTAGCAAAAGCCCCTCATCACTGTGTTTGCACAGTTCAATTTCCATAAAGTGACACATCCAACAAGATAAAAAGTATTCTCAAAATTTAACAAGGGAAATGGAATAACATTCTTTTGTACCTTATTTTGTTGAGCAGATCCAAGAATCTAGCTGTACCATCCTCCACAGGAGCCATTCCGGGTGTGCGTTGCAACCATCCAATATCATCAGATGACCCGCGCAAAGTTGTACGAACTCTAGATGTAACGCTGGAGATGCCAAAATAAGTACTACTATGATATGAAAACAAACGTAGATATAAAAGAACTTGTGAATTATGATAGAGCTGGAGTCAACATAATTTCCACATTTTTGGACTTGAAGAAACTTTGATTCTTCTATGACAAATGTCAATTCGCTAGGTTAAAAACAAGGGTTGGGGTTGCACAGAAGCTTATTGACTCCATCATGGGCGGCCACTTCGATACAGGGTTCTGGGGACTTTTCTAAACTGATCCCACAAGTTATAGACAGCAAAAAATTGAGACAAAACATTCAAATTTTGTATACTACGAGAAGGGAAAAAGAAAATCAATTGAAACCCATTAGAGCCTTTTGCTTCTCAAAATCAAGCATCATGTCCATAAACCCAAAGTTTTATATTGGAAAAGGGTAATTTGCAAAGCTTCTCCATGCACTTAATAAAATCAATTGATTAAATAGAGTTTAGCTCTTTCTGATAGAGAACTTTAGTAATAGCAAATACCCTCCCTCAAGCCAGCGCGGGGTTCATTCCTGGTCCTTGTTTTCTATAATACTTTCCTTTTTGAGAAATATTCTCAAGGGTTTCTTTTTTTTTTTTTTTTTTTTTTAAAGCTTGCTCCATGCACTAATAAAATCAATTGATTAAATAGAGTTTAGCTCTTTCTGATAGAGAACTTTAAGTAATTAGCAAATACCCTCGGCCTCAAGGCCAGCGCGGGGTTCATTCCTGGTCCTTGTTTTTCTATAATACTTTTCCTTTTTTTGAGAAATAATTTCTCAAGGGTTTCTTTTTTTTTTTTTTTTTTTTTTTCCTTTGTACTTGTAATGAAGTTTTGACTTCTTTCATAGTTTTTTTTTTTTTTTTTTTTTTTTCCTTTGTACTTGTAATTTGAAGTTTTGACTTCTTTCATAGTTATTTAAAAATTATTTATTGGGATCACATTTCTCTTGGAGAAGGTGATAAGGTAATGAATAAACTCCCTGAAAATTTTTTTTTCGCTAGGTAATCACTTAAAGTTAACTTCTTTTACCTACGAACTTGAACTTGAGCACATCTGATGTAATAGAATGAACATCTCAAGGAGGCCAATGCCAACCTCCACGCAAGTCGAAACCCAAACAATGGGAGCATCAACCTACATTCACTCAAAGAAATTGCATCATGTCAGGCAAAGAAATTATTTATATTGCAATAGACATTCAAGATAATCAGAACATTTAAGGAATCTAGATTTAACATTGCAGTAATAACATTCCAGTTATACTCCCAACTCCTGCATTCTACATTGAGTTCAACCCCTGAGCATTAGAAAATCCAAATCATATATGTACATAATGCAAATTGAATTAAGAAATCATTTAAAATTTACTGAAGAAAATGAGCACAAAAAACAGAATGCAATAACAAGGGCTGATAATTAATGATACATGTATTGGATCATTATTTTAATTTCAGATTAAAACTGGAACAAACTAGATTTGGCATATATTCGCACTTGTCACATTCATATCTTTATAGTTTCTTACTGTGGAGAAATTCAGTGAAAACGAATAATACCCTTGAATAATAAAGGAGGAAACATCATGATAACTGGTTTTTATAATTTCATATCCTGTATTTACAAGTAATTCTTCCCTGATGTCTGAAGCACTTTTTCCACGGATTTCAGGGCTTGCATCGGCGATACAATATTTAGGAGATGATGAGGATCCTTCCCCATCAAGTTTACAAAAGCTGTTGCTAGAAGGTCTTGAATATGGTCCAGAGGAACAGGCCACCAAACTTTCTGAGTATTCTGCATCCTGAAGGACAAGATCCTCTGCATAAAAAACAATGTATCATATAGCCATAATTTCCCAGAGTATAAACTAAAAAGCTAATTGACATTGAATAATGCTAAATGGAAACATGAAATTGGATTGAAGCCATGAATGGGGGAATTGCAGCGGAGCAGAAGCTAGTCTGCAAATACATTGCATGTAATCAAAGTTAAGAACTCACCAATAAAACGAATCAATCGATGACGTAAATAAGCAGTCAATGTCACCAGATGGTTGATAATGTCATCCACTGATGAATGGAATTCAAAAGAATCAACAAGAAGACTTGTGCTACTCACAGCATCACAATGAACCTGATAAGAGGATCTATAATTAGACCTGGAGAACTGAATTATCATATCAAACTTACTCAGAATACAACCTAGACAGCAACTATCAAACATAAAAAACCTTTTATCAATTAATAGTACTTAATAAACCTTTGCATGGGTCACCAGAAAAGATTACATCATCAAAAAGTGCTTCATTACAATAGTTCTTCAGCTTGAGTAAAGAGTAAATTAACCCTTGCATTCGAAGTGCTTAACACTCATTAATTCCCTAGACTAAGGTTCTATATACATCACAACGAATGCATCTCTGTGCGTGTTCATATGCTGATGCACATATATAAGTGCATCCAAACTTGAGGACACCATATCTTTGAATAAATATAGCATAGGGTTAGTCTCAACACCTGCTTTCTTTGGCAGCCGTGTCTTTCTACAAGGCAATATTTATTTGATGCGTGCACAACCTGTTGTGACTTAGACAATGAAATGAGAGAATATTAAACATCATGAATCACATAACGGGAAAGATAAAAAATAAAAAATTCAAGTCTAATATCAAGTTTTATACTTACTGTTGAAGGAATATCAGTTGCATCTCCATTAACACATGTATCTCCCATTAGATGTTCCTACCCTCGGATTATTCAAGTTCAAGATGAAGATAATTTAGAGAAGGAAAGCAACTTTTATCCATTCCTAGGCACACAAAAGGATATATAGGGAAGCACTTAACGCATTAGCAGGAATAAGAAATGAACTCAGTCCTTTAGGACAAAAACCCAAATATGTAATGCAAAAAGAGATTCTTTGTTAAGCGGGAATCCGAAGTATATGATTAATACCAATCTCACCATCAATACAAACAGACACACAAAAGAAAAACTCGTAGGTTACTTGCAGCTTTCGTACAGCTTTTGTATTAATGATCACTCTTAGAAAGACCAAGTTTAAATCTTGTTGGAGTTGGATTTTCTTCTTAATACTTTCGACATTATCTGAGGTATAGATAAGTTGAGTGGCAAGCCCAAGGACCAGGTCTGAAAGACCCTTGAAAATCGAACTGCAAAGTGAAAACTCTAATTCTGGCTGTATCTAACAGGACTGTGATGTTGAAAGTTTCCAAATTTCATCAATCTTCAGTTAAAGACATTTTTTGAAATGACCAGAGCCCTGCTCAACTTTGACAAGGTAGTTTGTATTAATTGCGGATTATTAAAATTAAAGCGACAAGTCACTTTCATTTTTTTCTACCAGAATCCAATCAAACGAATGGAAATAAAAACAGGTTAACCAAATACACAAAAAAAAGAAAAAAAAAAAATCAAAACTTTGCACCAATACCAAAATCCCACACGATAGAACCAGAAATTCAAAGAAATAGCTGAGACCGACTTACAAGTTACAATACAAATGAGACAAAGGGAAGGTGGAAGGGCCAGAATCGGGGAGAGATCAGAACCTGCACAACCCAGTAACAGATAGCTCTTCCAGAATCAAAACCCATTTAAATTTATAGAAGGGAAAAGCAACAAATATCCAAATGCACCCATTTCGAAAAAGGAAAGACAAGAATTAAAGAACACGAAATCAGAATAAAGAATACAGGAAATAAAAAAAAAAAAAAGAAAAGAAAAGAAAAGATAATAAATAATGTTGGAAAGGGTAGCAACCGAATTGGAGGAAAGTCATGGAATAGGAATGGGAGCAATAGATGATAGCTATCTTGTTTGTCAAATTGCCTTTGCTGTCCAAGATCTGCCATGGCCCACCCTGAACGAAGAAGTTTCTCTCTTTCTTTTTCATTTTTTTCTGTTTTCTGAAATTTAAAATCTTTAATTAAACAAAATACTGATTCGATTTCACAGTTAAGGGATTAGATTCTGGAGTTTGAGGACAAATTTGGGGTTTTAACCGTCAAAGTTTAAGTTGGAAGCAAGGCGTAGAGTGTAGGACCCGCCAGGATATGATCACTGTTTGAGTGGATAACACTTTATTTTTCCTTTTCGGGAAAGAGAGAGAGAGAGAGACGTGGCATATTGGGGCCAACACAATAGTGAGTATTGACTTGCTGACAAAAGAGAAGACTCCATGGAAACATGAATTGTGCCATCAAGCAACCTCTTTTTATTTCTTTATTTAACACAAATTGAGGGTGAAATGATAAAATAATTAAAATTTCATATAATTCACCTCATAAGTGTGATACGTTAATGACACAAGGTATTAAATGGAGAAGAGAAAGAACAAGAAGTTATTTTAAAATATCTATTATATTTTAATATTAGTTTAAATTTAATTATGAACATAATAGAGAAAAATAAATAATTCGTATGAACTTAATTGTTATAGTTGTAATGCTGAAAATAACTAAATTAACAAGTTCAAACTATTTTGTAAGTACTATTAAAAAGTGTTTTGGAAAAAATAATTTTCAATTTTGGTGGTAGAGAAAGATTATCAGTGGGGAAGCAAACCGCAAGGTTTGGTGAAAAAAAAAATATAAGAATTCAGGAAACTTGGACAATTTCAAATCATGCCTAGCGAGGAAAAGGAATCGTACAAATTAGGGAACTCCGTTTTAATGATGACTTGCATATGTATGAAGCAGGTGAAGGAATTTCATGTTATACAAATTGAGTAATGGAGTATGAGGTCATAAATTGGAGAAAATAATTTCAAAGAATGAACAAATGCAGACATAAAAAATTGCCTTTATGACAGAAAGAGGAAGGTTTCTAAATAAACAAAAACCAGTGCCTGTAAATCAAACAGCTGAACACAGCAAAATTATTCCTAGCTGTTTAAGTGAGCCCTAAAATTTCTAAGATCTTTTACAGGAGGAAAATAATTAACAAGATATATACAGGAAACTGCCAGTAAGATGCTATAGTACAAATTCTTTTACATGATTTCCCAAATTTAATCAAGTAAGGTGGGATAGTTTCTTCTTGAACAGCTTCATCTCTAATTCAGATGCCATCTCTCATTTCTATTTTCCACCTCTGCTCTTCATTTCCAGATCGGCTTGATATCACATTCTATCTTGGTTTTACCTGATAAACTCTATTATACCAAATTGAATGCAGAGTCATGTAAAAGAGATCATACTTTACTGGGTTAGGGTGCCAGAGGAAATGCCGTTGAACCTTTCTGACACCAAGTTGCATCTGAAGATACTTCTCTTTTGGTATTGAAAGTAATATTTCTTTCAGGTTGGGAATGTCTTTCTCAGAAAGGATTACTGAGAATGCGCTCCAATCTAAGACATCAAAAAATGGCGGAACAAAATTATCAGATATAATTACAGGGACACATTCATAAAAGATGGATTCAACCACTCTTGGGCTGTTGACCTCGTAGCCCCTGGGGCAGATGCAATACTTGCTGCTCTTCATGTGCTGGATGTAATTCATTTTGCTTGCAACACCAGGAGGCATAGGACCAAAAATCTTCATTGAAGGGTCCTTATCTTTCCAGTGACTTACCAAGATTGGTCGCAGATACCCATGCATATTTCCGGCATAGAAGGCAAGAATGTGCCTTTGAGATGGTGGTTTTCCTCCGAGATCTCTAAGAGGATTTCTGGCTGATCGGACATATGTTTCGGGAAGAGACACATCCCTTCCTATTTTGAAGCCTACAGTGACATCAGCATTGCAGAGGGCCTTTATGCAATGTTCCATGTGGTGCCTTGTTTCATATGGAGCCTGTAAAAATTTCATGCATCATATCGCACATAAATGGCTAGTAAAAAGGAAAAGGAAAGAAAAGGCGAAGGCAGGACTCGTGAAAGCATGCATGAAAGCTAACACAAAACAAAAACTAGCACTATGCTTCTCAGATTTAGTCATTTATTCCACCCATATTTTAACTGAGGTGACCAAAGCAAAACCTCAGCAGCATCATCTGTCAATGACATGCTAATACTATCATCTATGCTTTACTTAGATATTCGTATAAAAGAGAAGTTGAGTAAAAGGCAGATGAAGTCAAGATAAAATTTACTTGATATGGGCATTTATTCTGTGGAATTCATTTCAGTTCCATCCCTATGATACAATTGGGTTTTAGTTATAACCAGAATTGAATTACTAGAAGTAAATTCTAAATTTTTTTTCAAACCAAACAAGCAAAACATGGAATTCAATTGAATTCCACCAAATTTTGTGAAATTCATTTAAATTAAACCAGCAGTAGAAGTAAAGGAAAGAGAGAATACCCAGTCGTGGCAAGCTACAAGAAAATGATCTGCTCCATCAGTTCTGTTAAAGTAAGGATATTTAGCTGCAATTTTCTCTGTGTATTCCTTCAAATATTGGCGTAGATTTGTTCTATTATGGGAGTTACGCACATAAAGTGCATACTCCAGCATTCGAGAACTGAATGGCATATAAAACAGATGAGCCTTTCGAGGGTCTTTCACAAGAAAACGCTTGTTCCCTTGCATCAGTTTCATAAACCATCCTTCCGAGGCATATAACCCCTTCAATATTGGTAGATGAAATATGGGTTTCTTTCCATCCCTATAGATATAAACTTTGAGTGTGCGCTCCATGAGTTCGTAACTCCTGAAAATAAAAAAAAAAAAAAAAGTGGGTTTAAAATTGGGTTATCAGAAAGTTTACATCAGGAATTCAATTTCAACATCAGACCAGAAAGATACAAATGAGAATATATTAAAGAATTCGGAGAAATGGGCAATCACTACACAAAAAGTTCAAAAGACAAATCAAACATATAAAACATTGAGAGAAAAAGATCTACAGTTCAACATGATTAGGTACTTGTTCATGAAAAAAGGTGCAAAATGCATTGGTCACCAGAACCTTATCAGGACTAGAAATGAATATCAGTGATTGATTCATCCCTAAAAATGGCACACCATAAAATAATGCATGCAAAGTAGCAAAACCAAATTACAAAGCACTCCATTTCCAATTGTCTACCACCTCAACCTAAAATTTATGAGTTATTAGCCCATGCTAGTGCACTGGCTGGGGTTGAGATAAACACTGTCCAAGTGTAGCTCAAATCTTGACACTGGTTACTCAGCAGCACATTTCATCCATCATATACTCAACTGGAAAAACATAAATTAAAGAACTCAATTTTCCATGCATCTACAGTCTCGACCTGCAAAGTCGATCATTACATTTTGACTAAGAAAACTGCAACCTAGTGTCAGATAATTAAAGTTACAGCCTGTACATATGGCCACCAGCACATTTGGCATCAACTAGACTCTAAAAATGTTATGGCAACTTATAAATCAATTGGTAATCTCGAAGTTGTTCTGTCTCTCTTTCTCACACCTATCTTTCTCAACCCCATACTTCTCCGTCATCTAATTGATTTTTTACATTATGGTACTTGATTTAACCAATGTTCATAATACAAAGGTGGAGCAAGTATTGAAAAACTGTGGGCAAGTTTTATTCAGAGCAATAACTTTCAATTGAACCAGTAATCCACGCCATGAATTAGGCTTACCTTTTAAACTTGGAAACATTTCGGAAGAGAGGAGCATAAAGATCTCGATCATTCACTGCAACTGGAGCACCTTCAATTTGTGATCTTGCAGCCAAAATCTCGCGGTCTCGTGGAGAGGACCATCTTGGTCTCTACAAGCATACATAAAAGGGTTCAGATTTCCTGTTTTGAATAAAGCACTTATTAAAGGAATTTGTTATTCAGTATAGAATTAGTACCATTGAACGTGAAGACCGACGATGTCGCTCTAATATACTGTCCATCTCATTTATTGATGTTACTGATTTTGGAGGCATCTCACATCTCATCTTCTTCCTTCCATGATTATTCATCTTTGCTAAATCATTTTTTGAAGTTGCAACACCATCTCTATGGATAGCAGAACCAATAGAGGAACTTCCATTTGATCTCAAACTGGTGATATTTGTTAATGAAGGTACTTCTTTTGATCCTACAGGAGGTGATTTCAAAGTAACGTTTATGTGCCCCAACTCTTTCTCCAGATGAAAGTCCGTTGAAAGGTTTGATTTCACATTCTGATAAAGAGGTATTTCAATTTTGGCTTCACTGGCAAAGTCCATGATAGAATTATTTTCTCGACTTCTGATACTTTCCAGTATGAAAGTCCCATTTTTATCCACCACATCCTCAAATGGGAAACCATCATCTATATTTCGATCCACAACAAGCTCGATAGGATTCTCCAAATCCTCTTTTTCAGATACAAAACCATCAGTATCTCCATCATTAGCAACTGCAAGCTCAAAATGATTATCCTGATCTTGATTATCAGATGAGAAATCATTCTCTGTGTCTCCACTGTTTCTCTTCAATCCACCACCATGACTAATGTCTCCATTTCCACCAGAATTGACAGCATCTTTCACCACTACACCATCAACTGTGGAAACTTTACTCGAGCTAGAAGTATCAACTGTGAGAGCATTGCGAACCATGACAGACTTTGTGGAAGATTGTAAGATTGGAAAGCTGCTTGTATCTTGTACTGGTTCATTGCTATTGGGTAATAAAGAACGAAGAGCATTTCCATATGGAAGCAATAGAGATTGAAACAGTAAATGAGTAATAGCCACTGCACCCACCAGAAGAAGCCATCTTCTTTCAATTTGGCATAATTTATGAAAATGAAACCGGAACTCCATACGAGGAAAAAAAATCTGACTACCAAGTAATACAGAAATCACCTATTCATTGTTGAGAAGGACCTTGTATTGCAGCATAATACCATCAATCAGACCAAATAAAATAAAATAGATAATGAGCAACTACAAATTGAAAGGGACTTGCATTACTAAATACACACACTTGGGTAAAAGAGTGGACTTGCAACTCACAATTCAATTACAAAAAGAGCAGCATACGAACCCTATATTATCAAAGCAGCGAAAATAAACAATAAGGAAATTAAGAGCAGAAAAATCCAAATTAGAGTAAATCCATAAACAGTTTGATCATATAAAATCTTACAAATGAAAATCAAAAGGTAAATGAGAGATTTTTAAATCATCTGGGCTGCGATACAGCAGAAGTAAGAGGAATTACAGTTCCGTTATATCGACAATATGAAAGAAGTAAAAATTAAGCTCAAACTAAGCTGAACGATAGTTCTCTCGGGAACCAAACAGACACAAAAACTCACACACACAAAAAAGAGAAAAAAAAGTGAGCTGAAAAATGAAAGATACACAAACCTCAACAACTTGACAAAGACGACAACGAAGAGTCCAGCTGAGAGCAGAAAAATGACCAATTAACCTCTGTTTTCCCAATAATTTAATCTAACCCACCTAAAGAAAACATGAACAGGCCTCTAAAGGGCAAAAAATATAAAGGGAAAGAGAGAATCTTTCTGCCAAGCTTATTTTAGAATAAAAATTTAGCAAAGAAGATTTTTCTAATAGCTGTATTGACTGTTTGCAGACAGCCACTATTATTAAAAAATAAAACTTACTAATTTCTTTTGCAATTATTTTGGCTTTTTTCAAACTTGGAATTCAATTAGAGGCTTGGAGGTGAGGGTTGGTTCGTGGATTTATTATACAATTTATATTGTTCTCTTTTCTGTCAGCTTCAGCCAGCTTGAGATTTAAGAATCAGGATGAGCACCCGAAAGAGAGAGTCTGGACAGCGACGGAATGGGCCCCAATTCCAACTTACCCGAGGATAATGTTTCTTTTCTTTTTTTTTTTTTTTTAAACTTACTAATTTCTTGTTGCATTATTTTTGGCTTTTTTCAAACTTGAATCAATTAGAGGCTTGGAGGTGAGGGTTTGGTTTCGTGGTTCTATTATACAATTTTATATTGTTCTCTTTTCTTGTCAGCTTCAGCCAAGCTTGAGAATTTTAAGAAATCAGGATGAGGCACCCGAAAGAGAGAGTCTGGACAGCAGCGGAATGGGCCCCAATTCCAACTTTACCGAGGATAATGATTTCTTTTTTTTTTTTTTTTTTTTACTTATCAGATCGAAACGTTTCCCTGAAACATTTTGTAGGCGAAACCGTTTCCCTTGTAAATCTATCTATTTATATTACATGAAAAAAAGTGATAATGAAATGGAATAATGATATTTTTTATATTGTCCTTATAAAATTTAAGTTACTCTAAGATAATCTTAGTTATAGTTAATTAAAAAATATTAAGATAAAAATATATATACTATTTCTATAGATTGGATTTTTTTAAAACTTTTTTTAATGGATTTTTTTAACTTTTTTTTAATAAATAAATAAATATATAGATAATTAAGTATTTCAAAGTTTAAAAATTTGCTATTATTATTTTATTATGTCTAATTATGTATTTCATTATATTATTATATAAATTAGCAATAATAATTTAATAGTTTTAATAATTTATTATTATTATATTATTTTTATTTGTATTTACTATTATTGTAATTTATCTTAAACATTATTATTTTAAATGAATATGTGTAAATATGAGTGAAACACCCTGAATTTTTATTTTCAAAACATTTGAATTTTTTATTAAATCAAAATTTGAATTTTTAACGGTATAGGCCGAAAATGGTGAACAATCTTAATTTGAGTTCAAGTTTTGCAAATTGGGCCCAAGCCTAAATATAATGTCGAAAATTTTGAAACCGAGAACAGTTAAATTTTCGAGTAATAAAAAAGTCCGCAATTAATCTTTATGTTATTATATATATAATTGTCCTTTTGAAATTCAAATATTGGATTTACTAACTTTTTTCTTATTATTATTATTTTATTTTTTTTAGCTAAATGGAGGAAATGTTATGAAACCTAATTAAAATAAGTAAAATAAATTGAACCGGACCCGAAACGCAAATTGATTATTCGAAGACCTAGTGAAAAACCCTGTAAACTGAGTAAAATCGAGCCGAATCATTAAATTAGACCAAACCGGTTCGAATCGAACCGGAATGGTCTAGAAGCCCAAGATTTTTCTTTTCTTTTTTCTTTTCTTTTTCTTTTTTTTCCTTTTTTTCTTTTCCCTTCTTCTTCCTTGCGCCAGCAACAGCGCGCGACTCCCCCTCTCTCTTCTTCCTCCCTCCACGGACTTTCCGGCCCCTCCAACGGGACTTTCGGTCGACCTTATCATCACAAAAACGGGCTCCGTCTTCCTTCGATCGACGGCGAGCTTCTCCTCGTCCTCCCTCGTCTCCGATCCGGCAAAAGATGGGAATCACGAGCGGAGTCGGATTCCCATTTCGCTCGAACAAGTCGCGTTTCCCGGCGATTGTAGGACCAGTCGAGCGGTCCTTCTCATCGGCGGACAATCTCCGGATCTCTCTCACACTTCGTGTCGCGGCGTCGTTTTAGGGGCATCAAGGGGGGGCGCTTGGGTTTGCGTTAGGACCATTTACACAGCCCCCAATTTCTGCCCCCCATTTTCTGCTTTTCTTTCCGTTTTCCGGCCAAATGAGCTACTGGTTCAACAAACAAGCGTCAGATTTGGGCTCCCTAAGGAATTTCTAGCAATTTGGTGTGGATAACGCGAAATTCTGGGTAGAATCGACTTTCTGGCCACCGTGCACGGCTGCCGGCGGCGGCGGTCCGGTGACCGGCCGGCGACACTCCGGCGAGACCCTGAGAGGCAGAATTCTCTTCTCTTTGTGCTGATCGTGGAATCTTCGCCCAAATTTCAATTGGTACGCTCTAAGGCTCCGTTCCTAATTCTCGGTATAAATTCCAAATTTATAATAATATGCTGTGAATTAGTTGAAGAATTTTTAGGAGAATGTGAACCTAGGGTTGGAAGAATTTTTTTAAGGAGTTTTAGGAGAATGTGAACCTAGGATATAATTATTAGAGTTGTGATAATATTAGATTATGAGTGTGTAATTAAAATCACTATTTGCCTTAGTTAAATTCAATTAATTTTGAAACTTTAGAATTTAAGTCCTTTAAGATAATAGTTGGTAATCAAATGTGAAACATAAATTGGAAATAGTTAATTAGATATTTAGATAGCCATTAGCCTAAAACTAGTTGATTATACATAAGAAAAGTAAAATGAGTGCTTAGTAGTTAAGAGCGGTTAGGTGTATAATTCTACTAAGCTTATGATTTAATAAATATTCTTATATGGTTTGTGAATATGTATTAGTTGGTTTATTAGAACAAATATAATTTTGTTAAGAAGCAATCGGTATAATATTGATGTAAGCTAATTTAGGAACTTGGATAAATATTGTTAGGAGAAGTTATAAATTAAGGCCTAGACAAGTGAATAGTTTTAGAGCAATTAGTAGTATCATTGACTTATGTGTGGAGGTTAAATAAATAGCTATTTTTCACTTATTTGCTTATTTATTTATTTACTTAATGTTATATAATAAGTTGAAGCTTGACATTGACGATTAAATGTTGATGTGATTATTTTGGACGGAGGAAGGGAAATTAATTTGTTTGATTGCCCGATGGATGGGCTGTGTGTGTAATGGTTGATGGGTATAATATTGTTGATATTTAAGCAGGTAGATAATCCAAGGTAGAATAATCTCATTGTTTTTTTAGGGGAGGTGGTGGCGAAATATAATCCCACTTTTAGGGGAGATGCTGTCAAAATTTCGATAGAACCTAGATCAGTTTTAATTAATAACATAATAAATAAGCTTATTTAGATAAATTTTATAATTTGATAGCTAATTATTTATTTATTTTCATTACTATTGTTTATTATTATTATTATTATTATTTATTATTATTGTTGTTTATTGTTAACACTATTTACTTATTTATTTGCATTTGATGTTGGATGTCTACATGTGCATTGCATTACGATATTTAACTGATCAACATGTTTGCATTTAAATTGCAATACTTGATTAATTGTGTTGTGATAATGCTGTGCTTTGTTTGTGTGGAATTGGGATGAAGTGGGATGAAGTGGGTCCACCACGGGTTTTGTGAAGGACGGTTGGACCGTCGGCCCGGGTAAATGGAGATCGGCGCCCCCAGTGTGTACCCTACTGTTGTGATTTAGTATGATTAATGGAAAACACAGGTTGGCTTCTTTATTGGCGCCGCAGCCTGATAATCTAGGTTTTGATCGCAGCCCGCAGGGTGGCCCTCCTGTTGTTGAGCGCTGAATTGATCTAGATTTGATGGGAGACCGACCGTTGGCTCCTGTTGGTATGGGAAAAGAAAAAGAGAGAAATGGAAAACCAATGAGAGGGCTTTGGTCCCCAAGTGAAGGAATTAAAGACCGGTCGGCCAAGTAAAATGGGGGATCGGCTCCCTGGTGCACACGTTATGAGAGGAATGGGCCCCATGGTGAGGAGGACCGGGCTCATCGGGGGTTTCGGTGACGCCAACAGACCAATTTTTCCCACGTGATGTGAATTATTTGAAGGTGATATTGTTTTGTGAGTGGGCTTGGTGACATGCCATTTGTGTGACTGGCTGCGTGAGCAATATAACTAGTCGGATGACTAAGATTGATATGTTTTACACATTTGGTGTGACTGTATGTTGTTGTGCAATAATTATCACTTTAGGAAAAACTCACAAATGTCTTGGTTTCATTTTTTCAGGAAAGTAAAGTTCCTCTTATTAGTTCGAATTTAGGTTACCGTTTCTTCGACGGTCAGGCACCAAAGAAAATTTTCCTTAGTTTCCATAATTATTTCCACTATGTAAAACTGCATTGTATAAAAGACTAATGTATATTCAAAACAAAGTTAGTGACTTTCCCGCAGTTGAAAGAATTTACTTTACATTTAGTCCGTGTATTTATCATAGACCGAAATGATTCTGTGAGCCTATTATTAGAAATGAGATGAAATAAAATCTTGAGGTTTATATATTTTTTTTTTTTGTTAATAAATGGGCTGAATATTTGAAATTTATTATTAAGATAAACAAATTTAGTGTTCACAGGGCTTTACTACGGGGCCTCGGGGGCCTTAAGCTTACCTGGGCCCTAGTGCCGGTCTGGCCCGTGGAATCGGGTCGTGACAATGAGGCATTTGAAAATTTTTATTTTTTTCACATTTATTTTAAATAAATATATCTAGATAATTAAGATGTTGATTTAAAAAGGGTATGATTAAATTTTTTTAATTATAAATTGCAGTCTAATTTGGTTGACAAAAAAAATAAGATAAAAAATATTATTTTCAAACATCTCAAATTAGATTAATTATATTGATATATTATTTAATTCAAATCATATAGTTTTTATTTTTTGTTTTAGTACCAATTTGATTTGTAAAAATATCATATACCTTTTATTTTACGTTTTATAATTAACTTATATATTTTATTAATAATTTTTACTATAATCTCTTATAGTAAATAAATTAAATAATCTCTTATAGTAAATAAATATAACTTTATGAAACCATATGTTGAAAGAGAATATAAATGACATATTTCATATTAAATTGATATTTTAAAGAGATAAAAAATATAAATCAATTTTTTTCAATGAGAAATATTACAGTGTAAGACATATATACTAAAAATAAAAAATATTATTGTATATATACAAAAAATCACTAATATTATTGAATCTAAAATAAAAATTTATACTTTAATTATATATATACTTTAATTATATAAATAAAAAAGTTAAATGAGTATAAAAAAATAAATATATAAGGAGATAGAAAGAACTAGTATCTCTAAATATCTAATGGGCTGGTTGGAATTTTGGTGGCCCATTGATTAAACAATTCATCGAAATAAAAGGGTGCGACACCGTTGGTGGCCCATTAAATATCCATTAAACAATTCACACTCATCTTGCATAAATAGCTTGGCGCCATTTGCGAGGGAAGTGCCCTTTAGAAGAAGAGCGGGTGCTTGTAATTTGTGTCACTAGTCAAAGCATGTAATTATACCTCCAAAAAAAAAAAAAAAAAAAAAAAAAATGAATATATATATTGGTTAAGATGATCTTTTTACTAAAGCGCCAAGATTAAAAAGAATTTCAAAATTTGAATATTTTTTGTCTCACACCTGCTCTCTTCGTTTTTAGAACCGTGTATCAATTTAGCTCCCTTGGTATAGTGCTAGGCTGATGAATAACCCGTGGTGCTTATCATCTTAATTTGGTGAACGAAATAATCATATACTGAGGGCTCTTATATTGGAGCAAGGTAATAACTTGTAATGGTATGCAAATGATGACACTTATCACAACGGGTGAGCCTACATGTGTACGATGACGGGACTTGCTTGTATTTTCGGGACACTTTCGATTGTTTTCAAATGCCTTATAAGCGTCGCCTCCACGCCATCCAAAATTACCACAGCTCACATTTTCTGGTGTCCTCTTATCATCTATACCAGACACCTACACTCTTCTTCACTGTCAATTATATAGCAGAAGAAGTATTCATGTAATGATTATAATTATATAATTATATTTTTTCATATAATTTGATTTCCGTGACCAGCAAATCCCATATGGTAATTATTTATTGAGAGCTCTTCCTTGAGAGAAATGTGTGTTTCTTTTATCTTCCCAGAGAAGGAGAAGAGTAGTATTGATTTAAGATGATACACTGAAGGTTAGATTATAAGAGACCATCTTAACAACTTGACCCTGCAGCATAAAGTTTACTTCTCTTTTGGGAAATTGAAGAGTAGAATGTTTCTCAATTAGGAATATCTTTTCTCCTGCACAAAACACAGCAAAATGCTTCCCAGTCCAAAAACCCTCGAAAAAGGGAGGTAACGTAACTATCTGATATGATGACTGGGACAACACTCGTACAAGAATGGGCCCCTCAACTATGCGAGGAAGTGTGGAACTTCGTAACCTCTGGCACATATGCCAATACTTTGATGCTCATTCATTGTACTCTCTGTATACATTTCCTTCAGTAATCACGTTGGCAATTGGGCCAAAGATTTTTCATGTCAGTTTCCTTTGTTCTCCCAGAACTGCAACGCAGGATTGGTCCGCAGGTACCGTGCATGCCTCCTGCAAGAAGGGCCAGAATAGGCCTTTCAGAAGGAGGCCTTCCTCCAAGATCCTTTAGAGGTTCTCAAGCAAGACCGAATGTATGTGACTGGCAGAGTAGTTATCTCCCCTATTTTGAAGCCCCTTTACCAAACAATTGCGTTAACAAAAAGAACTCTGATACAATTCTTCATAATGCGCTGCCGCTTGTTGATTTGAGAGAAGGCCTGAAAATTCCAAAAAACCTTGATACAACACGATCACATATTGCCTTACGCATTTTATTCCTTTATCGTGTAGTCTATTTTAACTCTATATTATGTGATGTGGTTGAGATTTACTTTGGTTGGCCTGTAGTAGAACTTGAATAAGCTCAGAGGCAAATATGTAATGATATGTGATTATCGATACATTCTTATAACCGCTAAATAATGGATCCATTGTTTATGCAGCAATTAATTGAGTTTGTTATGGTTAAAAAAAAAAAAAAAAAATGAATATATATATGGTTTAGATGATCTTTTTACTAAGCGCCAAGATTAAAAGATTTCAAATTTGAATTTTGCAGCTCTCGTTAGAGGCAAAATCCCCGAATAGTGTTTAAGCTTCATGCATTAACAATATCTGTCTAGCTTATTGCCAACGCTATAACTTGTAATGGTTGAATCAGATAATAAAGTTGCCTACAGTTGTGTGATTTCTGCAACTTTTTCAGCTTTCCCAGCACCAAAACCCAGTAATTGTTTACATCTTCACCTGCTTCTTATTTGAAAGATTCTGTTATACCAAACTGAGTGAAGAATCATATGGAATATATCATACTTCACAGGGTTTTTATGCCAGAGGAAATGTTGTTGCACCATCTTAACACTTGACTGCAGCATAAAGTACTTCTCTTTTGGGATTGAGAGTAGAATGTTTCTCAAATTAGGAATATCTTTCTCCTGCACAAACACAGCAAATGCTTCCCAGTTCAAAACCTCGAAAAAGGGAGGTACGTAACTATCTGATATGATGACTGGGACACACTCGTACAAGATGGCCTCAACTATGCGAGGAGTGTGAACTTCGTAACCTCTGGCACATATGCAATACTTGCTGCTCTTCATGTACTCTCTGTATAACCATTTCCCTTCAGTATCACGTGGCATTGGGCCAAAGATTTTCATGTCAGATTCTTTGTTCTCCCAGAACTGCAGCAGGATTGGTCGCAGGTAACCGTGCATGCCTCCTGCAAAGAAGGCCAGAATAGGCCTTTCAGAAGGAGGCCTTCCTCCAAGATCTTTTAGAGGGTTCTCAGCAGACCGAATGTATGTGACTGGCAGAGTAGTATCCTTCCCTATTTTGAAGCCTTTACCAACATTGGCGTTACAAAGAACTCTGATACAATTCTTCATATGCTGCCTTGTGATTTGAGAGGCCTGAAATTCAAAATAACACCAAATGAGATATTACGGAGCATAACTAAAGGGATTGGGACTGGGCATAGCTACAAGATGATAGGATACTTCATCTAATTTATTGTTATCCTATTTTCCAAAAGTAACCATAGTTCAGGAGCCTCACTATCACATATAAGCATCATTAACATACAGGGGAACTGGCTTACGGTTTGCATATTAATCTTACTAATATTTGGCATTCATGGTCACATATTACAGACCATCTATGAGCTAATCTTTATGGTGAAACAAACTATCAGCTATTCTGGTAAGATTATCGCAATCACTTCAAGAATGATATTATAAATCAGGATTGCAATTTCGCAGTCTTTGAGCTATCAGTTAGATTTGAATGATGCAAGGAATTGGAAAGCAGTACCCAGTCATGACAGCCTACAAGAAAATGATCTGCTCCTCCTGTTCTGTTCCAGAAAATATACTTTTGTGCAACTAAATCCACGTAGTTCTTCAAATATACTCCAAGGTCCTTTTGACTCTGAAATTTTTGTCCAAATAGCTCAGTCCTTAACATATGCGGACTAAATGGCAAGTAGAACAAGTGAGCTTTTCTAGGGTCCCTCACTACGAACTTTTTGTTTCCCTCCAACAGTTTCATAAACCATCCTTCAGACGCATATATTCCCCTCATCTTAGACTGATGAAATATGGGTTTTTCACCTTCCTTATATATGTAAACTTTGAGCTTCCGCTCCATCAACTAATAACTCCTGCAACAGACAAACAGAAGCTTTAACTCAGTGGCACTAATGGGCAATTCTCAATCAAAGGAAGCCAAAACTCAACTAATTAAGCAGACAGAGATGGAGCTCAATTTAGTGAGAGCTGGGTAAAGACATGAACGCAAATCAATGAGTCAGATCCTGAATGTAAAAATAATAATTCTTCATTAACAGAATGCTTTGGTTCCTCAAAAGTAACCAAATAATTGAACTATTAGGCTTATGCAGTGAAACTAGGAACTCTTGGTGCATGAGTACACATTTTATGAAGCAAAATAGCACAGCATTCCTTTCTTCAATGCTAGGTATAGTTCTATGGAGTTTGGCAAGAACCAGTAATGTTTCGCTCTAACTCCTTGAGCTCATATTGATATTTGATCATTGCTCAATGTTATTCAAATTGGAAAAAGTTATTCAAATTTGACCAGAGACCAGTATAGAAAATTCAATGTGGAAAAATTTATATAAAAATGAACACTCAAAGAGGCTTGCCTTTGAAAAGTGGAAACATTTCGAAAAGCAGAAGCATAAAGTCCAGGAGGAATCCTTACGATAGGAGCATTCTCTATCTTTAGTTTGGCAGACAAAAGTTCACGATCACGCGCGGAAGACCACTTTGGCCTCTACCACAAATGGAAGGAATATGTGAAAGTTTCAGCAAATATAGCCCATTATGCATAGTTCATAATCATAAAAGGTCCACCTTACCATATTATGAGATGAAGAAAAACTCTGAAGTAATAGCAAATTCATCTGGGATATTGATGTTGGTTGTGCCTTCCACCTCTTCAATGTAGAAATACTATCCCTTTGAGACTTATTGTTCAAGGTGATCGAAACAGCACTTTTGGGCTGTATTTTTTTAAATATTGATACAATGTCTGTTGTAGTAACATTAACAGGGAAGGATGAACTAGAAGTGCTTGATTCTACATCCATGATTTCACGATCTTTAGCAGAAATTCCTGGTAACACCACTGGCACAATAGCAGCTTCAAATTTGTTCATATTTTCAGGTTGCTTAAAGCTCCCATGTTCAATTTCTGTAGCTGTTGCTTGAGTAGAACTGTCACCTGTACTCGCGTCATTTCCCATTGTCCAACTGTTACTAAGCAGTACACCCGTCTTCACCATGAGCTTATTGTGTTCATTCTTATCTGATGACAAATCAATGTCTACACTTGTGGCTTTTGTTTTATTCTCTTCTCCAACTTCCTCAGCCAAATCGGAGGAATAAGTAGCATTTGCTATAATATTAGATACATAGATTGGTCTTGGTCTTGAATTATTTGAAAAAGTGGCGTTGCTGATCAGCATAACTATAGAACCCTCATTAGCCGACGAGAGGAACAATCTTTTCCCATAGTGAAGCGCAAAACACTGAAAAAGAGCAGCAATAATAATTGCCACGCTGATTACCATCAGCAACCTCCGAATTTTAACGAGACATAATCTCTGAAATACGGCAGTGATTTCCATCCCATGAAAGTTTGATAATTAATTATTCCATGAAGAAATAAGCTAGCTGAGGCACCCTATCTTTATCATCTCTCTGGCCCTGCCGTAAGAATTCATAAACGCAGTTTTTTTAGAAAGTTCAAAGTAAAAGGAGAATACCCAAACTAAAACTACACGAATCATGAATTTACAAACTCTCAGTTAAATGCTGAACTATCAATATTTCCTACATAGGTTGAATATGAAACAAAATTAAATCATCCTAGTTTAAAAGAAATGCACAAGAACAGAATATAAAGTTATATATGTTCTTGAATGATCTACTCGTTACATTTCCCTATACTTGAAAAACCCAAATGTGGATTCTTAAGAGCTGGAAAGTTTAAAGCTTCTTATAAGAGAAACTTTTACCCAATTATTTCAAGTTTCTCATTTTCTTTTTCTCTCTCTTTTTTTTTGGGGGGTCAAAACAAAAGACTGCGATAAGCACCTGTAATGGGTTCCCATGACCGCTCTAAGTGAGAGGCTCCAAGCCTTTTGACTACTGTCGGTTACTGGCATCAGCTGTGTTCTCCATCAACTCATCTACTAGACTATACCACATTGGACATCGGCTCATTGCAGTTGTTAAGACTTTAAGAGAGAAAGATCTGTTTTTTACCTCGTTTTTTCAGTTTATTACACCTAAGCCACTGCAACGGCTCTACTCTGCAAACGGCATCGTCTCAGCTTTCGCCTCCAAAAAATGATATCCTTTCTCTGTCACGGACTAGGGTTCTCTTTTTCCTTTTACACTGAAGCATATACTCATTTCAGTTATGGCGCTAAAATTATTTCCAGTGCAATTTCCAATCTTTTCACCACTATTAAACCCGAATCCGATTCAGAACCCATCCCAACGCCCTCTCTTCGAGGTCCACTTCTCGCGGTGGAATAACGCGAACGCTAGAAAATTCAACGAACAGCGACGCGCCCAGAAAGAAATCGAGGACGACATCCGCCGTCAACGCCGCTTCGATTCGGCCACCAATATCGTTCAAAACTACGATTCTGCCACAAAGACCACAAGCACCGAGACTTTCAAATCCATAGGCACTCCTTCCTCTCCTTCAACTCCCTCTATTCCGGGCAGGAAATCGAAGTACTCCAAACCCAAAACCCATCCGGCATTTCGTCGAGTGTCCACCAGAATAACCCAACCGAAGGATGATGAGAGTCCAATCGAGAGAAATGCAAACATCAAACTCAGTGAAGACGGTCTCTCTTATGTTGTCAATGGCGCACCATTTGAGTTCAAGTACAGCTACACTGAGTCTCCGAAGGTCAAGCCTCTTAAACTGCGGGAGCCGCCGTTCTCGCCATTTGGGCCGACCACAATGAGCCGGCCGTGGATTGGGCTGCCACCGAAGACACCGAAAAAGAAGAGGTTGAGGGAATTTGACTCGTTTAAGTTGCCACCGCCAGATAAGAAAGGCGTGAAGCCGGTTCAGTCTCCGGGGCCGTTCCTGCCAGGATCAGGTCCGAGGTATGTGTATACAAGGGAGGAGATACAGGGGGAGCCGTTAACGCGAGATGAAGTTAAGGACTTGATCAAAGGGTGCTTGAAGACGAAGCGCCAATTGAATATGGGTACGATTCAGTTTCATTTCTTTGATTTTTGTTTTTTTGTTAATTTTATGGGCAATGCGAGCTTAAGGTATTATTGAACTCTGGTGTTGTGATTCTTAATTTGTTTCTTAGGTATTGATGTTGCAAGTGGATTAGTGTTGATGCGTTTTAGAATGTTTTAAGTGTTAAATGTTTGGTTACTTTTGCTAGCTGACGACTGGATAAGGTTGCTTAGTCTGTTGATTAGTTGATATCTTGTGCAAAATTTTGTGTTTGCTAATAGAGTTTGATTTTTTAGGATATGAGGGTTATGATGAAAGAATTGCAGTCTTTGATGATGAATGCTCATGAATTTTTGAGTAATTTCATTTGTCATTGCAGGTAGAGATGGTCTGACGCACAACATGTTGGATAATATACATGCCCATTGGAAACGGCGGAGAGTGTGTAAGATCAAATGCAAAGGAGTATGTACAGTTGATATGGACAATGTTTGCCAGCAATTAGAGGTGTGTTTTGCGCACTTAATTACTCTGAACAAAGTTCTCATTTGCTTATCAATATGCTTTATATGTTAATATCGCCTCTATACTTTGAATATGAAAATAACTTCTGTATGTGCCATTATCAAATTTATGCTTACAAGTTATCTCAGATTTATTGTGAACATTTGTTTGGAGCGTAATTTTAGAGCACATTTAGTCATTTGTAGTTGTCAGATGTATTCTATTTTTGGCTCAATGATTGTTCATCCAACATATGACTTTGTATTATTATTATTAGTAGTAGTAGTATTTGACTTGTGCTATAAATTCGTGGTTGTCAGGAAAAAACTGGAGGAAAGGTTATTCACAGGAAAGCAGGGTTGGTATACCTTTTTCGAGGCAGAAACTACAACTATAGGACTCGCCCCCGCTTTCCTCTTATGCTGTGGAAACCTGTTACACCTGTGTATCCGAGATTGATTCAACGGGCTCCGGAGGGTCTAACAGTGGAAGAAGCAGCTGAAATGCGCAAGAAAGGACGGGACTTGATACCGATACGCAAACTAGGTAGATCACATGTGGCCATTCTCTTAAGTTGGGCAACACAAAGCATTTGACCAATGCTGTCCATGAGCAAACTAATTTTTGTTTTGTACATGTTGCAGCAAGAAATGGTGTGTTCTATAATCTAGCACATGAAGTCAGACTGGCATTTCAAGTATGTGAATTGGTCAGAATAAATTGTCAAGCGATTGTAAGAAGTGACTGCCGGAAAATTGGTGCCAAACTCAAGGTCGTTAAATTTGTTTAGTAGGTTATTATTGATCACATTTACTGATTAAATAGTTATCATAATTCTTTAAATTGCAGGATCTTGTTCCATGTGTGCTACTCTCATTTGAAGACGAACACATACTTATGTGGAGGGGAAGGGATTGGAAGCCCTTCTTAACGGAACCTGTAAATGATTGTAAAGAAGGCAAGGGACTGAATGCTACTATTGCAGCTTCTATTGCACCAATTGTGGAAGACCAAAAAGCTGAAATGGTCTCAATCAAAGAAGTTATCAATGTGCAAAATATGGGCACAGCTGCTGCTGGCTGTGAAGAGCAAACAGAGGATCAGTCTACATTTCATATAGGTGGGCCGGCAGCTGTGGATGCCAGTTCAACCACAAGAGAAATGAATGAGAGTAATCCCACATCAGATAATGCAAGTAGTTCTTCTGTTAATGTGTGTGAAACTATCAGAGATACATTTGGTAGTGAAGCAGCAGCAGGCTATGAAGAGCAAACAGAGGGTCAGTCTCCATTTCATGTAGATGGGCCTGCAGCTGCGGATGCTAGTTCAACTACAAGGGAAATGAGTGAAAGCAATACCACACTAGATGATGCAGGTAGCTCTGCTGTTATTGGGTCTGAAACTATCAGCAACGTATTTGGTAGTGAAGCAGCATTGAATAATTTGAGCCGTGCTAATGAAATGTCAGCAGCTATATCAGTGGAATCCGACACTGTGTTAGAAAGTGTTGGGAGCACCGGGAAGCTCCAAGATGCTTTAGTGGACTCGAGTGATGTTGCTGAACAAGAAAATTTGAGTGCGCTTTGCGTAGATGGAGTTCTACAATTGTTGAAACAAGCTGTTGAGAGCGGAAGTGCAGTCATATTAGAGGATGCCAACTTGGATGCTGATAATGTTTATGAAAAAGCAGTTGCCTTTGCCCAGTCTGCTCCACGTGGTCCTGTTTTTAGAATTCAAAAACCCAGGAAGGTATGGATTCGAAAGTCTGATGAGGAGCAAGAAAGCAAGGATTTGGAAGCTAAAGAAGTAACAACCATTTCTCATACAGAAAAAAGCAAGAAGAAGAAAAGTTTTAAACTTCCAAGAAATGAAAGATCACATGAACAATCCATGGATTCAGCACCATTAGGAAGCCTAGGGATAGATGAACTTGCTAAACTGCTAGCATGATACTAACTGATTTTTTTTTTTACATGTAGAGTTGCTGCTAATAAATAAAATTCTTCAACATGTCCATTCTTCCCTTTGTATTCTCTCCATATTGTTATTTGTATTTTTGATTCCAATGGCTTTTTCTAGTGTCATTGCTGATGTCCTGGCGTTTTGGTTGTTTATATATACTGACCAGATAAATATATCCGAAATGTTTTTTTGAGCAGGAAATTTTTCACTGAGATTGCATTGCTAAAAATATACACTATGTATTGAAATGCATGATAGAAATGTTCATTCTAAATAGAGAGCAATTTGCCTTCCCCCGTTTCAGAAGATTTTAGACGTGTGATAATGATTTCCCTCCATCTCCCACTATTTTCTTCCAGAACCAGTGATTTTCCCAGAGAAGATATATTTCCTCAATTGGCACTTGTTTCGTTTCCGGTAAGAGGAAGTAGACGAACATGCTCATGATAAAAATCAACGCAGCAAACAGCAAGAAAATTCCATATTGAAGGTGACAAAGAGACACGAGGAAACATTGTGCAACCAAAGCTGTGAAGATCATGTTAACGCAGACCACGGTACTCTGGCCAGCAGATCGCGTCTCCAAGGGGAAGATCTCGCTTGGAACTAACCAGCCAAGAGGACCCCAAGACCGTCCATAAGCCAAGACGAACAAACAAATGATAATCACAAGGAAGACACCAGTTCCTTTTGGAATTGGTTTCCCATCTCCAAAATCCAAGGCCAAAGTTATGGCAACAGCTACCTGCAAACATAATAATATCAGGTCAGCAATTTCTACAAACGGAGACAGGATATATTTTGGATTGCCATTTAAGCTGTTGCAGAGAGATTATTCTGTCGAAAAGGAGATAATTAAATGTTGTTTCAGTTGAATTTTGCATATTCTAGTCATAGCAATTTTAAAACAGCTAATAGAAAACTGAAGTCGTTTTTATTTTTTTCCGCAAAATCTAAAATGATGATTTTTCCAGGAAAAAATATTTGACCTCAATGCCAAACAGATTTTCAGTTAGAAGCAAGCCTAAAAAGTGCAGTTACCATGACAAAGAACATCTCAGCCCCAGCTTCCAAAAAGAAAGCTCTTCTGCCAAATTTATCGACCAAAGACATGGAAATTATTGCACCAACAACAAGAGCAGCATTAGTGATGACAGATGAATATAAAGCTGCATCATTGCTAAATCCCAAACTCTGAAATATAACTGGAGCATAAAACAGTATAGAGTTATTTCCAGTTAGCTGTTGAAATGCAGGAATTCCCAGAGCCCCAATAATCAACTGTGGACGATTCTTGCGTTTAAGAAGATTCTTGAAAGGATGTTTAATGGCTCTCGCTGCATTACTTGCATCAATAAGATCATCAAACTCTGCATCAACTTGTGTGGTTCCTCTAACTTTTTCTAATACTTTTCTTCCTTCTTCTAGTTTGCCTTGTTCTATAAGACTATTAGGCGTTTCAGGTAGGAAAAGGCCTCCAACAAACATTACAGTTGCAGGAACAGTAGCTAAGCCAAGAGACAATCTCCATCCCCATGGGTGAATCTTTTCAGTTCCATAATTTATAAAGTTTGCCACCAAAATCCCTAAACAGGTCGTTAGTTGAAACAGTTGATTAACGGCTCCTCTGATTTTTGCTGGCGCCATTTCTGAAAGATACAGGGGAACTGCCTGCGTATACCATTTTAATCATAAGATGCTAGCTACCAACAACTAATAATAACCATCAAACTAAATAGGCTTTAAGATTTATAATGGGCTAGCTTAGCTTGTGCAGGTTACCTGGTTGCCAAATCCAATTCCTCCACCGAGAAAACATCTACCTATTATCAACATTGCAATGTTCTTTGCACAAGCATTGACAATTGCTCCGACAAAGAAGCTGATCGATCCAACAAGGATACTAGCTCTCCGGCCTCTTGTTCTAGTTACATACGAAGCTCCAAATGTGGCAAGAAGGGCAGCGAAGTAAAGAGAAGAAGTAAACAGTGTCAAAATTTGGTTGTCATATTTACAGTAATCTGTCTCATGAAGATGTGCATGTTTCTTTTTATATACAGTAGGGAAAAATTCTTTCAAGAAATCATCCATAGAAGTAACTCCACCTGCAACAGATTAAAAAAAAAAAAGAAAATCAACAGATCAAATACCAAACTGAATAATAAATGAATCTAATTATATGATATATACATACCTGAAACACCAAGATCATACCCAAAAAGGGATCCTCCTGAAGCTGCAATAATGCAAGCAAATATAAAATAACCAGTTATTTTATATTCATAAAGATGAGCCCTGTTAATATTTCCTGTGTCTGCAAATCCTCCACCTGCCATATTATTATCCTACAAAGATTAAACTATTTAGCTCGTATGAAAATCTCACTAGCAAATCATCACACATATATATAGTTTCTGTAGATAAAGAAATTTAGAAACTAAGGTTTGTGTAGTTAACCAAACGTTGGTTTTGTCAGTTTATGTATATAGACAGATTGTTGAGACAACAAAGAAACTTTCTGTATTAGCCAATATTAGCTTAAAATGTAACATCCTATGAGCGAGTCAATTGGTAATAGAAAGATAATATTTTCTGGTATGTATGTATGAGCTAGCTTTTGAGCCAGCTTTGATGTGGATTGGGGAGGTTGATCCAATCAAGTTGCTAGAGTTTATATTGTTGAAGATTAATTCATGTGTTTTCCTTTTATAACTTGTATAGTGACCATAAAATGTGGCACCACAAAACTCTGAACGATGCGAATCTTGGCCACCATGGAAGCGGCAGGGGAGGCATATGTCGTTTTTTTTAAACGGCAATACACTCTAATTCCATTGAATAATACTTTTTTTTTGTGAGTATTATTGAATAATACTTACTATGTTAACGTTTATTTATTTATTTGAGAATAATGATATCATTATTCATAATAATCAAAGCATTTGCCAATTAGTAATAATAAACCAAATAATATTCTTTAATATTTCCCTTTCAAACAAGGAAATTACTTTATTATTTGTGATGGATGAATACGGGTATGAGAAGAAAGAATAATATTCTTCAAGTGATGGACACGGGTAAGAGAAAAAAGAGAATGGGAAATCACGGGTAAGAAGTAGAAATAAGGAAGAACAAAAGGAGAAGAGAGCAAATAAAACAAAAATTTGTAAATGAAAAAGAAGCCATTAATAGATAAGAGAAGAGCTGGATTACATTTATGGGGATAATCTAATTTTTCCACACACGAAAACCACATGTTAAAGAAAACAACAGTGAAAAAAAAGGGTGGTTTTGAACATTTCTCCGACTTGCTGTAGCTCAGTCCCAAAAACATCTCATATGCTTTACCCTCTCTCTAAAAGACTCTTGGCCTGACATCCGTCTTTTCTATTTCTGTCCTGATTCAGGTATTTCTTTCTACTCATTTGTATCTTGATCTAGATAGGAGATACTTACGCTCTGTATCTTCCTTTTTTTTTTTTTTTTTTTTTTTTTTTTAACACTCCTAATCCCATTGAATAATTACTTTTTTTTTGTGATAATTATTGAAATAATACTACTAATGTTAAACGTTTATTTATTTTAATTGAGAATAATGATATCATTTTATTCATAATAAATCCAAAAAGCATTTTGCCAAAATTAAGTAAATAATTAAAACCCAAATAATATTTCCTTTAATATTTCCCTTTTCAAACCAAAGGAAATTACTTTATTACTTTGTGATGGATGAATACGGGTATGAGAGAAAAGAATAATATTCCTTCAAGTGGTATTGGACACGGGTAAGAGAAAAAAGAGAATGGGAAAATCAAAACGGGTAAGAAGTAGAAATAAGAAAGAACAAAAGGAGAAGAGAGCCAATAAAACAAAATTTGTAAATGAAAAAAGAAGCCATTAATAGATAAAGAGAAGAGCTGATTACATTTATGGGGAATAATCTAATTTTTTCCAACACGAAACCACAATGTTAAAGAAACCAGTGGAAAAAAAAAGGGTGGTTTTGAACCAATATTTCTCCGACTTGCTTGTAAGCTTCAGTCCCAAAAACATCTCATATGCTTTTACCTCTTCTAAAGACTCCTTGGCCTGACAATCCGTGCTTTTCTATTCTGTCCTGATTTCCAGGTATTTCTTTTCTTCTACTCATTTGTAATCTTGATCCTAGAATAGGAAGAATACTTACAGCTCTGTTATCTTTTTTTTTTTTTTTTTTTTTTCTTTAATCTGTTTGTTAATTGAATCTATGAATTTTTGGTGGTGATTTTCTTCCGTTATAGCTGGGTACTGGATGTTTCTTGATTTAAATTTGTTTTGGGTGCTAATTCGAATCCAAAATGTGCTGTATATAGACATAATTTTGATGGGTGCGTCTCATCCAATGTAATTTTGATCTTGCATGCTTAATTTGATGGTGGGCAGATCTGGATATTCTTATGTATTGGCTGAGAAGCAAATAAAAGGAAGACGATGGTGAATAAAATTCTAAATGTTTGTTTTGCTCGGCTAAGTTATATATATATATATATACATATGCTGTTTTCTGTTGATTCTTGAATATTTGGAATTTTAGGGTCTGAGCCATTAGTTACATCACTGTTCTTAGTCATACCTTCACCTGGCAAAGAAAAAGGTCTCTTAGTTTGGGTCCCAGATCTAAGTTTGTTGTGTTCAAAGTTTGTTTATTTGTTTCTTTCAATTTGCTAGATAATGAAAGTTCAATTTCATGCATTTTAAGGTTGTATTTTTTTTTTTTTTTTTCAAGAGTTGTAGCATCATCGACGTAAATTTATATAAGGCTACCTGGTTGCTTGTTGCTATCAATAGTGTTATTGTTGTATCTTTCATATGTGGATTGGTTTGAAAAATTTACCATTGCAGCTTCTGATACTGTTCACAAAATTGAACGAGAAAACTGCAAATAGGTTTCAATTTCATCAAACAGTAATTGTTACTTGTTACTTTTAATGGTATGAAAAGTGTATTATGCAGGCAGTTGGATGCCATACGGTTGAATTGAATTAAATAGCATATAGATTGAATTTGTCTTCTCTATCTCACTTAATAAAATAGTTCAATTTTTTGTGCCAGTTTGTTTAGTGATAGTTACATCTTTAGCTGGGTGCCATGTGAGAGGTGTTCTACTCGTGCTACTTGGCCAGGTTGAGATCTATTGACGGCCAACATGGAGGATGAGAATGGCCTTGAGCTTAGCCTTGGTCTAGGTTGTGGAGGATCATCTGCAAAATCCAAGGGTAAAAATGGATCCTCTTCGGATATGAGGTTGGACGAAGGTGATAGAGGCAACAAGAAGGTAGATGATTTCAAAAACTTGCTTCATGCTTCTTCCCAGAAGCAGGATTCAAGTCTCGGGTCTCAAATAAGTGATTCAGTGAAACCTCAAGAGAACTTCTTTAATGACTTGTCCAAAGCAAATATAGATGCAGATGCTTCTGTAAATTTGAAAAATAGGGGACTGTGGGTTTCAGGCAGCAACAGACCTGCTGAAATTGAAGAAGAAAAGAGGCCAGAGGCTGGTAACAAACGTAAAATGTTGTTTGATGATATAAATAATCAGAAGAAGCAAGAGAGAGATGCTCATCATTCTGATGTACATGACAAAAAAGCTTCACATATTTCCATAACAACAGAAGATGGCTCTACTGCTGAAAATGAGGATGTGGCAGAGTCTGAAGTAGAGGGTTCAACATCACGGTTGCTCTCTCATCATGATGTTGGCTCCAAGCGTTTTATTGGAGTTGGTGCTCCTTCCGAGGTTCCAAAGGAGGTCCGCGGGTTTTCAGATTCTGGTGTCATTGACTTACAAGGGCAAAAAAGGCCTAATGGTTCATCAGAAACTGAAATTAAGCATGGGAACTTGAATTATGGAGTTCCATTTTCTGTCCGACCAGTAAACATCATGAATTTTCCATACTCGTTTCCTATCAAAGAATCTAACTGTATTGGTATTCCCAACACTTCAGGCCCGCCTTTATCGGGAATGATGCAGGTGGTGCCTACTTCAAATGGTGAGCATCAAACAGGCACCCAGTCTGCAAGTCCTGGAAATTTGCCAGTAACATTTGGCTATTCACCTGTCCAGCTTCCAACATTGGATAAGGATAATTCATGGAGCTTGGTCTCTCATCTTCAACAGTTCCACCCTTCCTATGCTGGTAGAGGTCCATCAAACTCAGATAAGCCAAATGAAGGATTGAAGACTGTTCCAGGTATTCTTTTCACTATTTTATACTGTGATTCCGTGAAATTATTTATAATCTGGATAACGCATGGCGGAATGTCTGGTAGATATGAACTTTAGTCCAAATATTCCTCTTTTTCATTGGTGGATACACAATTCTATTACCGTCTTTTATCTCCTTGTAGAGATTCCAGACTTGTCTTTCACATAATTGGATGTGTTGTCTCTTATATCTTTATTTATGGATGCTTTATGGGATGGCCTTGGAAGAAAGATTGTTTAGTGGAACTAACTCTTAAATGTGTAGAGCAGTCAGAGATGCTGTCTCGACAGAGTGTGCATCTAAATTTTATGTAGTCAAAGGAATTCATTTTTGCCCTAAACCAAGGCCTCCTAAAATCATATCATCAGAGAGACCTTTTTTTGGTTTTTTTTTGATTGAACTAGAACTTAATATAATAGTTTGTTTTCTCAGATTATGCCTTGCTATACTTATTACAGATTTCAGGCTATAATGTTATTACATATTTTGGATACTTTGCTGATGCATTAAATGCTAATATGAATTTTTGTTTTCATTTCTCAATGTAATTTCATGATCTTAGTTCAGTAGCTTATTATCCGAAATATATTATTTTCTTGAAATTTGTCTTTTGCATGTGGAAGGCATGCAAGTAATTCCTCGAAGTGCATCTGAAGCTACTTTATATGATGGGAGGGTGTTAGAACGAGTTAAAGGTGAAGGCAAACAGCACATTACAGAAGAAGGCTCCTCTTCTCAGACTGAAGAAGATGTAAAGGGAAGCAGCATGACCCTTAGGGCAAAAGATTCAACAGCAGAAGGTTTCTCTTTTGATTTTTCTGCCATAAAGCCAGGTATTGCATCAGACTTGAAATTTGGGGGTTGTGGTTCCTATCCAAATTTACCATGGGTTTCAACCACAGGTTCTGGCCCAAACGGCAGAACAATTTCTGGTGTAACGTATAGATACAGTGCAAATCAAATAAGAATCGTGTGTGCTTGCCACGGTTCCCATATGTCCCCTGAGGAATTTGTTAGGCATGCTAATGAAGAGAATGCTAATGCAGAAAATGGCAGTGGTTTAGCCTCATTTCCAAGCACTAACCCTGCTGCCTCCGCTCAGAGCTAAAAGTTGCCATCTTTTTCTGTCAGGAGCCGTAAATATCGACATATGGTGAAGTGAAACCAGACATATGTAACATCCCCTCAGTTTTTGTTGTTATGTGTGCTTTGCTATGCCACGTTGCTGGATCAAATGTTGCAGGTGTATGTAATAATGTCTAAGCATCAATAAATTTGTTTCATATTAATGTCAAAGCAGTTCGATCTATAATTCGACCATCCCTTTTCTTTCAAAGAAATGTTGTGTGCCTGTTAAATTGATTGTCTTGTGGTTTCTTGTGTATGTTCTCAAAACGAATTTCACGAATCAGGAAAATGTGGATGGGTTGTCTTAAGGATTTTTGCTTGATTAGGGTTCAGGTTCATGTACCTATCACTAAGACCTTAACAATAATGTATGTCTTCTAGCATGTATCAAGAATATTCTTTGACTTCAAATGTTAGCTCTTTTCTATATTTGACCTTGGAAAAAACTTGTTTCGAGGAGTCATTGTTGTTCCACTTTTGGACCAAACAGAAAAGATTTGTTTAGCAGATTTCAGAAAAGATTTGATGATTTATAAGTAGAGTCATGGACCTTATCTAAGTAACTTTTTCCCCTGATCCCATATCAATGAATGACCAATCCTGCAACAAATTCATTATATAATTGATTGGAGGGCAACAAAACCCACCTAATCCTACAACTAGCTTAGGTCATCAAATTGCCATACTATTTTATCTTGTTCTATTCATGTTGTTTGTGTTAGATGTAATTTTATGCACCAATCTTATTATCTATCTCGATTTGATACGTTTAGAGAAGCAACTTAAGTGTAAGAGTTTGTTTTTTCAAATCAAAAAGGTTATGGTTGGTGAGTCAAAAGGAAACATACAGTATAATGTAATATAATATTATCTGACAAGATTGCATTACGTTTTATTGAGACAAATAAATTTATTTTAGCAAGTTTAAGAGCATATACTAACGTCATTATAAAAGAATTATTGACGAACTCTTTTGATTTAAAAAAATATATATTATAGAAAAACAAAAAGAACATGTGTGAGAAATGTTCATCTTGCGTTAGAGTCTGCATGAATATACCAATGAATATGGAGATGATTCGCGGCTCTTCCTTTTTATAAGTGATATGAATTTGATCCTCATGAATAAAAAAATTATCCGCTGAAGGACTTTATTTTATAGTGAGCCGTTACGACAGCCTACCCAGTAAATTTTGATCCGAAAATACGATTAACGCTAGAAAAATTTACTTGGAAATGCATTCTGACTTGTAATAATTTCTACTGTCATTGACATAATAGTATATGTGATAGAGGTGAGGAAATGAAATATAATTAAATAAATCAGTAATAATTATATAATCAGTACAAAACATGCGTAGCAATGGCAAATACTTGTTGAATATATACATAAATAAATAAAGATGACTCATGTACAGACTCAGCTCTTACGTCGTCAACCGCCAAACAATTTAGACAGCCTGCCTTAAATATTAAAATTAATGAAAATTACATTATGATAAATACTACACAACCCACATTAATTCTGATTAATCAAATACAATGTGATGGAGTAACAGTAACAAAATGACAAATTTACAATTTTTTAATTCTGAATTTATTTATTCATAAACCATTTTTATTTTATATTGTCCAATTTCAACATATATACTGTCTTCTTCTCAAATTTTTTATACAAAAATTAGAAAAACCTATTTTGTACTGAATACGTTTGGAAAGCAAAAATAAGTCAAAAAAGGAAAATCCATCATAATTTTTTTTGAATGACATTTTTTTCCTATTTAGAAATTTTTTGTTGATTGATTGACGTTGTAATTTCTTGTTCCTTAAGCTCTTTCTCTTTAATTTTATTTTTCCTCTCTTGTTTGTATATACACAAATTAAAAATAAAGTAAGAATTGATAAAGGAGATGATTGAAACTTCTAAAAGAAAAGGGAAAAATAAATAATAAAATCTTAATGGTTTAATAGCTTTTTATTGATAATGATTCGTCATTGTTTGATACAAGCATTTTTTTTTTTTTTTTTTTTTTTTGTTCGAGTTTGTCACTTTACCGCTTGCTACTGTTACTTCGATTCGAGTTAAAGCTGCTTTTCTTCTTGTTTAATTCCTTGCTCTTATTTCCCTCTCTTGGTCTTGCGTACTATACGCAGCACTACACTGAAAAATACAATCATTATAGTCAATTGAAAAGGAGATGATTGAACACTCTCCTGTATAAAGATACGTGCGGACCGTTCCCTACATAAAATAAAATTCCTTAATGGTTTAAATAGCGTTTTCTATACAGTGTCGGATCGCGTGTGCCAATGTTCACGATACAACAGTCATTTTTTTGGTGTGTGTCTTTCTGTGTGTGTCTCTTCGTTTGATACTATGACCCTCCAGTATTTTTTGACAGAGAAAAAAGAAAAAGCTTTTATAATCAGCTCTTTTTTTTTTTTTTTTTTTTTTTTGAAAATCAGAAATTTTTGACAGAGGAAAAAAAGAAAAAGCTTTATATCGGACTTTTTTTTAAAAAAAAAATGCCTAATTAATTTTTTCCCTTATATATATTCCACGTATCTCTATAGCCTACAGAAAAAGTTAGAAAATTTGAAGAACTCAAGCCATGTGAAATTTCCGAAGAAAATTATGTATATATATGAAAAAAAAGAAAAGAAAAGACACAGAAATAAAAAAATTTTATTATACATCTAGTGTTTGTGTTTTGTTCTGATGATGAGTCAGTTGAGAAGTTCTTTCTCTATTAACAAACCATTGAACTGTTCTTCTTGCAATTGGCAACCAAACCCGCCTCTGTCTTTCCTCATTTTTATTATTTCCACCCGACTCTCTAAGTGAATTCTTAAAATTAAAATTTCTAAATCTTGAAAAAGCAGTGATCTCAGATACTGATCTTCTTCCAGTTGATGAATTATTCATAATACTTGAACCAGTCTTTTCCTTTGAATCTGATGATGAACAAGGATCAGAATAATGATTATACTTATTAATTGAACTAACCTTGCTTTCAAACAATCTCTTGATCTCCATTTCTTCTTTAATCTTCATTATTTGGTTGTTGTTATCATCTTCCATAGTTCTCGCATTTGAGAATTGCTCATTATTCAAATCCAAAGAAGAAAATCTATTGCTTGAAAAATCTTGAAGCATTTCTGAGTTCAAGAACATTAAATCAGAAGAAGAAACGCTACTCCATCTATTCTTGAGCACAAAATCAGAAACAATAATCTTGTGATTGAACTTATGCAGATCTTTAATTTCACTTTCTTGAATTAATATTGCTTCTTCATCATTGTCATCCTTTTTATCAATTTTTCTAAAACTGCTTCCAATGCAAAATCTTGAAGAAGAAAAAGAAGAAGATGCTTGACGATTGCTCTCCTCTCTTTGAACAAATAGCTCCATATTAGAGTCATCTCGGCCCAAAAATCTCATACTAGCTGAATAAGTAAATAGAGTTGGGTCTTCTGCACTGATCTTGCATCTGCAAAGAGGGCAACTTGAATGTTTTTCAAGCCATTGATCAACACAGTTAATATGAAAAGCATGTTTACATTTAGGTAGTAACCTAAGAACTTCTACATCTTCAAATTTCGATAAGCAGACAGCACATTCAAGTCCTCCTTTAGATCCTTTTAATGAAGAGAATCTAAAAAAAGGAAGTGACTCTATAACTGTTTTATCAACTCCTGAGTATCTTGATCCTGATCTAACTAACATAGGATTATTTTGTGTAAGGCTTGGAAAAGAAACACCCCTATGACAGAATTTTACATAGACAAGGAGAATAAATGTCACTGAGAACATTATGCAAAGAATTCCTATAACAATAGCAAGGCTTGGTTGAAAATTTGAAGAAGGATCATCTGCTATCCCTTCAACCCGATTAAACTGTGCTTTAACAGGGAAGAATATTAATACAAGAAGAAGATTTGGAAAGAGCAAATTTAAACGAATCATTTGAAAAAAATCAAGAAAGGGTTATTTCAAAATTATGCAGCAAGCATTCTGCAGAAAAATATGTGTTGTGTTTTTGGACAGCCTTTTCTTTTAGGTCAATGAGAGGAAAAGGGTAATGTGAGATGGGTTTTATTAAGCCTTACCCTTCTAATATTTGCATTCCTCTCTCTCTCTCTCTCTCTCTCTCTCTACCAGTAAGGTACTATCTCTTTTGGTACTAGTTTTCTTAATTAGGTGTCTCTTGATTAATATTTGCGTGTCCAATCTGATAAAATCTTTCTTTAATTCTGATTTAAGCTTTCTTTTTGAAATCAATAGTGATGACATGGTGGAGGCTAGCCATTTGATTATGCATTTAACAACGGTAAAGAAAAGGCAGAATCATCCAAATATAAAAACTGCAAGTTCTTTTGTTTATCTTGACACAACCAATAATTTATTCATTAAAATATAGATTATTTCATGCCACTTACAAATATTATTATTGTTGAACTTGTTAATTCATAGTTTCCTTCTTATTATCTTTTCTGTTAAGAAGTCAAATTTAGTGGATGGATGATTCCAATTGGAGATCTCCACTCTTGACAAAGTTAAGAGATCAAATTGGTTAATTTTTTATAGCTGTATTTGACATTTTCAAATTTTTATCCAATATTTACAGCATAAATCTGTGTCCATTTATAATTTCCATTCAATAAAAATTGGGTCATTTTGAATTGAAGTGGTGAAGAGGTTATGTAAGTCACTAACTATTATGGGAAAAACTTATTTAGATGGAGTTTATTGCCCCACTTATAGATCAAAACAACGAAATATTTTTTTTTTTTTTATTAAAACAAAGATATTTCTAACCTACACTTGGAAAATAAAAAATAAAGTAGAAACAATTTTTTAAAAAAATTTCTTGATTTTATTAATTTGATATATAGATGAGGGTATGGATCCGGCCTATACAAATATTTTGCATTGTGTAAGGCAAGTTAAAGTCGAAGTAAAGCTGCATAAGAAAACCAAGAAAGTCAAGTAGTCCCCGCTCTGCCTCTGAAAGCAGGCATGTGATAGTGATAGGGCCAATGTCATTAGGCATGCAACAAAACAGAGCTGAAAGCTACGTTTGCAAATTTCAAATTCAGGGAGTTTCTATGTCATTAGTCTTTTTATGTTAACCAAACTAATAGTTATCTATACAGTTAAAAAAATAATAATTAACTATATAATAACAAATTCAGATTGCAGGACTTTTTGGTAGATTTAGTACTCAAAACTCAGTTATTTTATGAATTCAGACTTTGGTTGATGAATGAAACCATTCATTTTTAAAGTTAGCTTAAATGTCAGATTGTAAACCTTAATGAAGCAAAAACATATAGATTTATTTGTGTGTTGAAAAAAAAAATAGAAAACATAAAAATTTACTGAAAATAATAGAATAAAATAGAGATTTTTCAGCTTACATGGGAGGCGAATGAGGCCACCTTCTGCAGGGAGGGGAGAGTTTCGAGCTATCGACGAGATACCGTTCTGAAAGAGTTATAATTATTACTTTGTGTTAGAATCTACACGAACGAGATTAATCCAATTAGTAAGACTGTCGAGTCTTTTTTTTTCATTAAATTAAAATTCAAATCTCCTGATAAGTACATCTAAAATGATATTTTTGAATACACTAAATTAATTTGTAAATGTTAAAATTATTAACAAAAAGAAATTTATTTTGAATATGGGCAAAGCAAACTCAAAATATCTCTTACATTGTACTAAAATTAAAAAGAAAGGTACGAAATGAAAGAGAATCCATCTTCAATCTTAATTCTTCCCAACACCATCCTCGGCAGAATTCAAAAGAAGAATGCTACCAATAACCTTATCAATAATACATATATGTCCAAAATTTAAAATTTGAGTATATGATGAATCACAAAAAAAAAAAAAAAAAAAAAAAAAAAAAAAAAAAAAAAAAAAAAAAAAAAAAAAAAAAAAAAAAAAAAAAAAAACAAAAAATATGTGCCAAATATGAAAACCGGTTAAAATAATTAATTATAATAAACATGTTTCCTTGCTTTGTTCTTACATTTTGAGGCATGTACTTGTCATGTTGAGGTAATATAGAAATTTAAAAAAACATGATTGGTGAATATTTGCTAATGTTTTACACCTGGCTATGGTGGCAGTGGCCAATGGCCAGGCTAGAGCAAAAATGGTCAACCAAAATATAAAATAAAAATATTAACAAATTTAGTTCAATTAATAAATATAAAATTATTTTTTATTTGATATCTAAAATTATTCAAAAATAATATTTTTAAATAAACTAAAAATAAATTGAATTGAGAATTCCAAATATAAAAATAAAGAGTGATTACATTAAATAAATTTGTTCAATCACATTACCAAATGCAGAATTGCAAAATTTTGATTTCAATACATTTTCAATTATAGTATATCGTATTACATCCAACAAAATATAAATTATAAATATAAAATATTTTTAGAATCAATTTGGGAAACAAAACCCAGCTGTATTGGAACACTAACACAAAAAACGGCAGTGTTTCCTAAACATGCACATGGATTGGCTTAGAAAGTCAAAAACAAAAACAGAACACCTAACACATTCGTGGCTAATACGAAATTTTGGTCACCCTCACACGTTTTTTGTGGGATTGTTTGTTTTGTTTAGCCACCTCAAACCAGGAAAAACATTGCTTTCAACTGCTACAAATCTATCACAATATTATAATAATAATAATAATAATAATAATAGAGTTTTTTCCATAACAAAAATTATTAAAAAAGGAGAAAAATTTTATCAACGCCATTAAAGTAATAATCTTACTTATCTTTAACATTTTTTATTCAATTAGGTTTCAATGAGAAAATTACAATCTCTTCAGTTTGATTCAATTTAAATAGTTTAATTGAATTTGAACTGAGCCCATAGAAAACTCACCCCTCAATTCATTTTTTTTTTTTTTTTTTCCTCAATTTCATTTTTTTTTTTTTTTTTCTGCTTTTTGGAAATCTTCACCATATGGTGTAAGTTTGATTGATCGACACTAGTAACTGCTTAACAATACCCGAACAGCCCAAAGGATTACCAGCCCAAGTCAGAAGTTCTCAGACTTTTTGATAAGCATAGCGTTGGTGTGACGGTTGACCCGGCCCAAGAGTTGAATTCGCATTTTGGGTGTACCAAAATTGAAAAAAGGCCGGTAGCTTTTCTTTGAAAACAAAAGCCCTTATAAAATCAAAAAATAGGGTTGCTGGGGTTTACACACTTCTACTTGAGAGCGGCCACAATGGATTCACCAGAACAAGAGCACGAGGGAAATTCTTCACCTTTGTAACTGCTGACAGAAACAAGAATTTCTCTCGCCATTTTCGAAAAAAGATGAGAGTTTTTTCTTGGGTTGAGTTAGTTCATAAAGACGAGGAAAATTTCTCGTGTTGGATGTTGGTGAGTTTTTAGGAGTTTTTTTTCAAGTTTGCCTTTTGCACGTTAATCAAAGGTCTCACAAAACAAATTTTTTTTTTTTTTTTTCTGTTTTTGAGAATCTTCAACCATATGTGTAAGTTGATTGATCGACACTAGTTAATGTACAATACCCGAACAGCCCAAGGATGTACCCAGCCCAAGTCAGAAGTTCTCAGACTTTGATAAGCATAGCTTTTGGTGACGGTTGACCCGGCCCAAGATTGAATTCGCATTTGTGTACCAAATTTGAAAAAGGCCCGTAAGCTTTCTTTGAAAACAAAAGCCCTTATAAAATCAAAATAGGTTGGACTTGGGGTTTACACACTTCTACTTGGAGGGCCACAATGGAATTTCACCAGAACAAGAGCACGAGGGAAATTCTTCCCTTTCAACTGCTGACAGAAAAAATTTCTCTCCATTCGAAAAAATAAGAGAGAGTTTTTTTCTTGTTGGGTTAGTTCATAAAGACGAGGGAAAATTTTCTCTTGTTGGATGTTGGTTAGTTTTTTAGAGTTTTTTCAAGTTTGCCTTTTGCACTTAATCAAAGGTCACAAAACAAATTTAATCTCCCAAAACGCACTTATTGAGAGGCCAAAAACTTCATTAGAAAAAAAGAAAAAGAAAAAGAAAAAACAAAATTTTCATCCCCGCAAACTTGTCAATTTCAATTATTTATTAGATAGTGGACCGCAACGTACTGCATGTAAAGCATAAATGGTAGAACGACGTGTGAGTCTGAGCATTCAATTTAGGTTATCTTGTGGGTTGATTCGTCGTTTTGTAGATAGTCTGGTATCTGATTCGTCGTTGAAACATTATCAATATTCGTCGTTGAAACAATAGGCAGCCCACGCCATCAATGTTAATTGACTAGTATTTTCAAATAAAGATATGAATATTTGTTCGCTAGAAAAAATAAAACACTAATAAATAATAAATATTTATTGTGTGTACTATGCACATAGTATTGTCCAAAAGGCAAATAATTAAGTAACTCATTCCTCAAACCACTCCTCCTCTAAACCTAGAAAATCTGATATACTCTTGAGATCAAAACCATCATGATGATCATGATATGGTTGAAAAGGCCTTGCATCACCCATGAAAGCATCCACGTCATCACCTTCTTGTTGTGTTGAAACAGGAAAATTCCAATTACTAACCATTTTCTCATTCTCATTCCTGTCATTATTATAATTAATCTCCTCATTGTTGGGTTGGTCAAACCCTAAAGAGCCATTTGGAATATTATTCTCCAATAACAGAAGATCGTCTATGTCCATATCCATTAAAAGATCCAATGAATTGTCTTCCACCTGCAACTTTGAAGAGGAAGAAGAAAAACATAACATTGGCCTCTGAATTGTCTATGTCCATATCCATTATTATCATTATCATTTTTTATGGGTTCAGTGTCCAACATGATAACTTTGGTGCAATGTACTGCTTTCGTTCGAACTACTCTGTATGATTTCTCTTCCAATGGCTTTTGCACTGTCTTTTTTTCCTCTTCCAAAAGTTTCACTTGTTTGTCTGTAGTTAAAATTGTAATCTTTTGGTCTTCAACTTTCTTTCTTAAACTGCTGTTCCAATAATTCTTCACATCATTGTCTGTTCGTCCTGGTAATCTTCCAGCAATAAGGGACCACCTGAAATCAATCAAATAAATTCTATTTTGTTTATTTAATTCTCTAACGTAAAGCTCAAAATTAGATCGCATGTTCATTTTTTTCAAAGAGCCCTGAGATTTAAATATAGATTTTATATTTCTTAAACCTCTAAATATCATAAAACCAGAGAAAGGGAAAAAGAAAATGAGAGACAAGGCTTGGTGTGGCAAAGAAGGACTCAACAGAGGAACATGGTCTGCTTCGGAAGATAAAATTCTCATTAATTACATTAAAGTTCATGGCGAAGGCAAATGGAGATCTTCCTCGAAGAGCCGGTACCTACTATTTCCTTTTTCTTTTTTTAAATTTTCTTGCAACCTCTCTCCATCTTCTTCATCAATCTTTTGTTTTTCCTTATTTTTGTTTTTAATTATTCCAGAAATTATGGTATTTAATTTTTAATTTTTTTTTTACAAAAAGTCTAATATTTTCTTTATTCATTTTACTTATATCATTTTTTATGTAATAGCTAAATTTTTTTTATATATAACAAGCAATGAATTTTTGCAGGGTTGAAGAGATGCAGAAAAAGTTGCAGACTTCGATGGATGAATTATCTAAGACCAGACGTTAAAAGAGGCAACATTTCTGAAGAAGAAGAAGATTTGATAATCAAACTACGTAAACTCCTTGGCAACAGGTTTTTTGGCTTTCTGTTTCCAAAATAATTCACCCTTTTATCTCAAGTGATACCGTTTTGTTTCCATAATAAAAACATATACAAAAATTGAATGCATGAAATAGTTTCAGGTGGTCATTGATTGCTGGAAAATTGTCAGGGCGAACAGATAATGAAATAAAGAATTATTGGAATAATTATTTAAGAAAAAGATTTGAAGATAAAAATAGTACAACTTCAACTTCCAACAGTCAAAAGAAAAAAATTTAAAGGAACACCAGAAGCAGGAACTTCATCAGACCGATTGTTTCGAACAAAAGCAATAAGGTGCAGCAAAGTTATCATGATGCCTCAACCTCTAGATTATAAAAATAAGGTTAACATAGAACGAGACAAAGACATTGGGCCACTAAGTTTACGAGGAATAACGCAAAAACCGACATTAAATAACAAAACTCATGCATTGTAACCTGAGATCTTACCATAAACAATAGCCATGTCGGTCACGGCCATGATGGATGAAATGCCTGTGGAAATCTTTTTTTTTTTTTTTCATTTTTCTTAATTTTATTTGTCAAAAAAATCAAATAAATTAATTAACAATGATTTAAAAGCATATAAACGAAATTCAACATAATGCAAATTCATTTGTTTCACATTTATCTTTATACAAATATAGAAGTTTAATAGTAAGAAGACTATTTAGTTCGTAGGGATGATATATATGCCGTGAGAGTGAATGGTATGTTATTTTCTTTCTTCTAAAATTCTATCCTTCCAAAATAACAAATAATAAATTTATTTTCTTTTTTTTCCGTTATATCCAAAACATAAAATGAAAAATAACTATAAAGAGAAAATCGGTATTTTTCATCACAATTTTTTGTTTTTTTTTTTCCCCAAACAAAGTGTAAATTGAGAATAAAGAGTCATCGGATGAATTTTGTACGGCCACGTGTACATCGGCCCACTGTTCGATTAACTGCCATTTTATAGGCTGATATGATGACTTCATCAGGACCACTGAGCGAAGGCTTCTTTTGTTTTGTATATTCCTTTTACTCACCGACAGATTGATTCTATATTAATTAGTCAAAGACTCTTACTTAATTTGGTAACTATCATTAACGAAAATAAATCATTCAAAAACAAAGAAAATCAATGGCGAGAATAATTCCTGAAAGTTATGAATTTGTACTCCAAACTTTATTGCAGTCAATCTAATTTTTCAAATTAAAACATTCAATAAAATAATTTTATAAATTAAAATATTTAATAAGTACAATTTTATAAATTAAAATATTTAATAGATGAAAAAATAAAGTAACTCCCAAGTAGGATGTGCCAAAATCATAAATGTAACTAATATCAATGCTCAACAGAATCAATATTCAAAATATAAAATTAAACATGTTCACTCACTCCCTCCAAACCATTGAGGTTATCCACATAATAGTCCTCAAATAGGGAAATACATATGCCAGTAGAACCATCCAAGAATGTAAAGAAGAATACCACAAAATGATAGCTTACAAAGCCATTTGGCTAACACCAATCAAATTACAATTGGCTGCCATAGGCAAGAATATGGCGCAAAGCTAGAATTTCATTTCTAAAAGAAAAGAAACCCTCATTTACATATATACCTATTTACAAGGCTGGAAAGATTCACCAACAAAAAGGATTTTATCTATTTAGCTTACCTCTCTGTTGAAATGGTTAGTGCCAGCTACCATATAAGATACTCTGCCAACGACTATCATGTACTCGTAACAAAAGAATACATAGGAGCTTGCTTTTCATTTTGTCTGTTGATCTTGGGAGTCGTGGGCTCTAATTGGGTTCAAACAAGACATAAGCTGTCTTGCTAGGGAGGACGACCGCACTCACTAAAAATTATTGTTCTTCTACCAGTCATCAAGCCATTCGGGAACATTGAGGTCATCTATGTCTCGAGCTGGGGAAGTTGGAGGAATAGTGCAATCCTCGTGATGACTTTCCAGATATTGGGTAACACGAGAAGTTATGTCATGAGGAACAGGATAACTCCCATCTCTCAACCTTTTCCAGTCAATACCATCAAACCATGGATGACTTTTGATAGAGTCAGAGCCAAGTCTTTTGTCTTCATCAACTTCTAGTAACTGGATAGGTTAACCATAAATAAAAACATTTTATTATCCCTTTTTACAGGAAGAAAAGGCTTTTAATGGAAGAAGAAAAAAAAAAAAAAAAGTAGAATAAAACCTTTGTGATGAGGTCGGCAGCTTGACAGCTGAAAGTAGGAGGAAGATTGATTTGTCCTTTTGCAATCTTTGCATAAGTATCAAGCTCACTTTCTCTCCATGATCCAAATGGCATTTCACCTTGCAACATGAAATAAATTAAGACTCCTAATGCCCACCTGCAAATTTACAGAAGAATTTATTACATGGCTCCATAGATCTCAATATGCTGTCTTGGGAAAAAAGAGGTGAAATATAACTGCTAAAATTCACTGGCATATAAAGGAGAACCACGTAAAGTGTAGGGAAAAAATTGATGCAATCAAATGTATATAGACTAATGCATTAAAAGATTGAACATGATAGATGTTGTACCAGTCAGCTGGAAGACCATGCCCTTTTCCCTGGACGATTTCTGGAGCCAGAGAATCTGCCATTCCACAAATTGTAAATGTTCTCTCACCAGACAACTTTTTCCCGAATCTGAAGTCCACTAGCTGTGATACAACAGAAAAAACTAAGAGATTCAGCATAATTCCATGCAATTTGCCCTCCATGACTTAGAGGAAGAATAGAGATTATCCTTTGATAGCAATCCAATGTTGATTCAGATATCTGAACATGGTTACAGAAAAACAAAACATAGAACCAACCTGCAAATTTCCTGTTTGGTCCAGCATTAAGATGTCAGGAGACACACCTCTGTAGAGAACACCATTCTGATAATCAAATGAGAAAAGGATGCAGGGTAAACAACTCTAACAATTATGTCTGGAAAGCTAATTCAATAATGGGATGAAAATAAGAAATGATTCTAGGCAATAGACCTTGTGTAAATCTTGCAACGCAATAATGACAGAGGCAGCACAAAACTTTGCAGATGGTTCATCAAGGGCTGTGTGAAGTATTGAAGCCAGAGGACAAGCCAAGCATGTGTTCAACAATATGCCAGCATGTGTTCTGTCTGCACAAGTACATAGAACCTGAGGCATGCGAGCAGAAGGGCTGATGCTCTTTACGAGATTCTTCTCTTTCAAAACCTGTGCCTCCTTTCCCAGTCTCTTGATCTTCTGCTTTGAAAACCTTTTCAGAGACAGTAAATTTTCTGACAGCCAAGCATATGCGTAAAGCACTTCATCAATATTAGTACGATTGCCAAAACCACATCACTTCTAATATTCATCAGCACATTTCCATGCAAGCATATATAACAACAAAAGTTAATGAACTAAAAAATATCCCTCTTGTTCTCATTGCTCTTCTTTCTTTTTTATTTTTTTATTTTTTTTGGAGGGAGGGGGGATGGTTGTTTGTGTCGAGAGTAAAGCTACCAATGAGAAGGCCAACTTTTATGATAAATAAAATAGTGCGGTAAAACAAAATTATATACAAAGACAGACGTACCTGAGTCCTTCAAAAGTACAAGTCCAATTTCACTGCAGTCAGTGGCATATAAACAAGTCCTCCACTCCTATACAGAAAACACTATTAGATGGTAAGAGAAAAAACTCTTTTGCTGCAACAGTCTAGGACAGAGCACCCTTACCAAATCAGAGAGGCGAACTTTCAGAGGGGCTGAAAGATCAGTGCTTTCAGCAGATTCCTTGGAAAAATCTGAAGATGAGCTCCTTGACCTAAAAAATATCAATTAATGACATCACATATACCATGTGCTTTTGATTTAAAGGATCAAAAAGAACTTATCAAATTTAACTAAAATGAATATATATGAATGGTCAAATGAAAGCTGCAAGTCACCATAGAATTTTTGAGTGTAATAAACTCCGAAACAATACTTCATAATTAAAATTATAACATACTTTTCAACTTCCTGAGAAAGTTTTGTCAAAGGGCCAACAACTGAATCAAAATTTTCCTTTGTTAGGATGGAACACACACAATCACCAACAGCAACTGCACTTAGTGAACCTATATGTTCGCCAAGAAGTGTCCATTCACCAAAATAGCTTCCCTCTGTCTTTTCCAATGAGAGCTTTTTACCACTCAAAAGACAATCATCCTCTGTTTGATTGTCGGACTTCAAACTTCCTGCATTTGGACTACTTAAATTCTCTGCATCAAAAGTAAGTCTCACTTGTCCCCTTTGGATGATGTACAAGGCAGAGGGCCCCTCAGTCTGCAAATTCACACTGAAGATTTATTGAAAAAATTCTGAAACAAAAGTAACAGAAGCATATATATTTTTGGGGAAGTGAGTTTTTACCTCATTAACTATTGTCTGTCCATCTGAGAAGGAAACTTCAGAAAGAGAATCTGCAATATGACTCAGCTGCAAGATTGTCAACCTGGAAAGTAGATCCACAGTACGCAGTAACTTCAGGGATGACAAATTAGAAAATTCTGACATCAGAATTCCACGAAAATCTTCTCTCTTTAAAGCCCATAGTGTTCCACTTGTCACAGCACGGACAGAGGCCTGGAGTGGCTTGTTATACCTGCACATACATAAGAAACAAGATCATTAAAAAATAAAAAGGTAACATCTTATCAAGCAAAAAACAAATTTGACTTAGTACATGAGAGGGGATGCAATCAAAACTTCAATAAAACACTTATAGTCATGCATGAACAAGAATATGGAGGAGTTTGGTTCATGCAGTATGTTCTGTCATTTGTCAAATAGCATTTGTAGATTTAATGATAATTTGCTATCTGGGATCAATTATTTGATTATTTCTGTGCCTGGTTGGCTCATATTCAAATTCCAAACACAAGATTTTTCAACTTGTAGGAACTAATATCAAAAATGGTTTACAACAATATAACATAAAAAAACTGCAATATAACCCACATCAGTGCCAGCTCCCCAAAGGATGACATCTTCTCAGCTGTATAACTCTGCAAAACCTTTGGCACATCTCCATTTTTCTCTTCCTGCCATCACATAATTGGTCAAATACCAATCTCTTGTCCTCACTAAAGAATGATAACATTGATGGTTTAATCAGCAGAAAAGCAAACCTGGGTAGCAAAGACCTCAAACTCTCCACTTCCAACAACATAAAAGCAATCACCTTCACCACCCTGCAAATTTAACTTATCATTGCAGTTCTACATCTTAGTGATAAACTCTAGCAAGATTGGCACATCAGCCCCAGCTATGTAAACCTACTAAATTATGAGCCTCAAATAATTAATCTGCAAAACAGGAAGCAAAGTCACCTGTTTAACTACAACTTCTCCTGGCTGGACTTCAACTCTTTGCATGCAATCCAACAAAACATGGCACTGAGAATCAGTAAGCCTTCTGAAAAGGAAGTGGTCATGCAATGCCCTCTCAATGTGAGCCTGCAGGCATATGAACATATGGGACTTACTACCCATTACTGGGGCGTCTTAAGACATGGAACATAAGAGAACTCATAAACAAATTATTCCCACTTCAATTTGCTACAAGTTCATGCAAAATGCTTATATGGAACATATATAAAAGAGCATTTACTTCTTCTTCCCAAGTTTTTCTATTGGCAGGAGATGGAGGAACCCAAACTTTCCCATTCTCTAGTGAACTCTCAATGGCACGAAGCCGTGCCCTAGATAAATCATGCCGTATGCGATGGTTCCTAGAGTTCCAGCTAAAGGTTGAAGGAGATTCTGACCCTGTCACCTCTACAACTTGAGGAATAGGGGGTCGTAAGACAGCATCTGGCTTTGTCAATTGACCAGTAGCACTCTGACACAGAAGGGAGTAAAAAGGAAAAGTAGAGTTCAGACGAACGCCAGTGAGGAGAAAAGAATCAAGCGAAAATTTTAAAAACCGTATAGATATAAGCAAGTAGTCTCTGTACCTCAGTTAGTCCATCAATATGCACAACTATCACAGTGATGTCATCAGTACGAGTTTCATATTGTAGCCAAAGCCGATAAGATTCAGCTACGATTGCAGCACAAGCATCACGTGGATCTTTATATTTTGCAACCTAGAAAAGGAGAAGCCAAACGAGTAGCCCAGGTATTACTTTCTTTAGAATAAAAAAAAAAAAATGGAAGAGTATACGAATGGAAAGTGTATCATAGAAAATTCAGTTGTTGCCAATTAATACCGCTGATAAGCTGATCTATTAAACAGGCCATCACGCAGTGGGACCTTACTACTTGAGATATTTATTTGGGTAAATCATTCTATCAACAATCAACTAACAGAAGAGGAACCAAACCTATATTCAAACATCAATTAATTGGAGTCAAAATGGCCACCAGGCAGATATATGCTACCAAGGAAGCATATGAGAATATTTTCCACATGATGCTGATAGACGCCATCGTTAGTCAGGTTCTTATATTGTACAATTTTGCAACTTACTACTTTTAACTTTCCTAATACTAAAAAAGAATATGAGATTCAAAAAGTTTCTATCTTGTCCTTTACACCTATGGTATAACTGTTGGGTAAGCAATATAATTGACTAATTATGCAAAATACTAGACCCTAAAACCTTATTTTCTTGTTCTCCTTTAATTAAACTACTATATTCTTATTTTTACAGAAATGTACTTTTTTTCAACCATGTCAACTAATACAAGCCAACTTTTAGTTGAGTTTGGATAAAGAATTTGAATTTACAATTTTCAGCCAAATGTAAAAGTTGAGCATTTAAAATAAAACATTTTAATAGGTTTTTTCAAATTCATCCAATTCATGAATCCCTCCAAACAAACAAAATCTATATTCTAACTTTAAATTCTTTCATTTTGAATCCCACCCATACATATTGTGTAATTTCTTAACATCAAGAATACTTAGCTACTAGGATTAGAGGATTCTATCTTGTGTTACTTTGTGCCCATAATTTCTCAACTTCACTGACATCATCTTCCAACTATCAATTCAAATATCGAACTCTAGCTTCTTTCTAAATCTCAAGGCTTCGAATCTTCGTCATGTTTCAATAAACATTAAGCTACCACTTATCCTTGGAGTTCTGTGCAAAATCAAAGGTATATAGGCTTCCAACACCAACAGCAATCATTTCTATTAATAGAGACGGAAAAGACATAAACCATAGTTCAATTTAAATTGAAAAGCAATCAATAGCAAAATTTACAGTTCAGACTTCAGATAAATTAAAACTATAGAGAGAAAGAAGATACCTTACCATCTCAACCACACTTTGGCTTGAGAGGAACTCAAAAACCCCATCACTAGCAAGTACAAAGAAAGGATGCTGAGGGGTAAGCTCCAACACAACGATTTCAGGATTAGCCACAACCCCAATTGTCTCAGCAATGGAATCCCCCATGCTCCTAGTAAATGCAGTCCCGGGATACATCCCATTTGGGACCCACAATCTGGGAGGATCACCATCATCACCCTCCTCAGTTCCCCAACATTGCACATCCGGATTCTTTAAACCCTCGATCTGATCCAAAGTAAGTACTCTAGCACCACAAAGCTTTACCCTTTCTAGCTCGTCAGCTCTAAACGGAGTTTGATCGATGGACAAATCAATAGCCGAAATATCCTTTCCTCTCCTCTCCGCTATAATTGCTCTAGAATCACCGGAATTAGCCACGTATATTGTCCGTCCCCTCACCAACACCGTGATAGCGGTAGTCCCACTCATACTATCATCCAAACTATCGGCATGCAACTGCGAATTGGTAGTCAAAAATGCTGAATGGCAAGCCTCAACTGCATCTACTTGAAACTTGCTACTCCTCAACAGATTCTCGCACAACTTTCGCTTCACGAACTGCGAGCACTGGGCACCAAATTCCCCATGCCCATCAAAGACGCCAAAGAAATGATCATCTGGATTGGTTCCAAACGGCGTGTGAATACAAAAACTGTCCTGATTGGCCTTATCGAGGGCATCGGGGTAGTAACCTCGCTGAGACAGATACGAGTATCTCAATTCGTAGTGAGCCGAAGGGACCCTAACTGTCCGTGATCCATCTGGAGGAAGGAACTGAGAGGAAACCCTAGAAAGTCTAGTAATGCCAAGTTCGGGGTCTCGGGTCAAGTTCAACTGGTTAATTTGGTCTCTGGTTTCGGATTCAGGCGAGGACGATGCCGGAGAAAAAACTGGCAAATCATTCCCTCTGGCATTTTGGCCTGTCTGTTGACTGAGTGGCTGTGGCTGTGGCTGTGGCTGTGGCTGTTGCTGTTGCTGTTGCTTGATTCTTGGGTCTCTAGGTGCACACACCTCGCCGATGCAGGCTCTCGAGTAGACACAACCCATTTAGCGAAAATTCATGGGATGATGGTTTCCAATTTCAAAAAATCTCAATTTCAATTCTTCTCTCCTTCAAACTCTGCCAAAATCAAAAACCAAAAAAAATTAAATACATATATATATATATATAAAAAGACAAATCAATGCATTCATTACAAAATGATTCCTGTTAACTAAGATCTACTTTCAAGATGAACAGTTGCAGCAACCAAATAAAACATAACGGAAACAATAATAACGATTAATTAATTAATTAAATTATTACCATAAACATATAGGAATGATGAAGACAGAGCATACTAAGAGAAAGAGTATATTACGCAGTTAACTGTGAACAAGTCAACAACCATAAACAAACAGTATAAACTAAGTTGCTAATTCGGTATGGTAACCCAACCCAAATTTGCGCTGCGTATTTTTAAGTGCAGGAGCTAAATGCGCACACGAAGAGTGATTGCTCAGCGGCGGAGGAGTCGGGTGGGAGTAGACGTGTACTGCCGGAAGAGCGTAAGATAGAGGAATGTGACGCGACGTTGTTGTGTCGTGGTTGGGTAAGTGGATTAGGCTTGTAAAAAAAGGGAGACGTATCAGTGCATGTGTGGACGGTCAGGGGAGTCTCTCAGCTCTTTTTTTTTTCCCTCTTACTTTTCTTCCTTCAATTGATCACGCGCTTGCCCATTGGACATGTTTTTATTATTATTATTATTTTGGTTTTAATTTTTAAGTCAAATATAAAAATGTTTTTATTTGTCAACTTTCCTCTTAACTTCTATTTTTGTTGAAATAAAATTTTTATTTAACTAAAATCTTCTTCAAGTAAAATAATATCTTCTTCACGTAAGATAAGAAGATAATGGTAAACAAAGAGAGAGAATGATTTTCATAAATAATTATTTTTATTTACATTTATTTTAATCTCCAGTTAAAAATTAAAATTTCACGTGTCACATTACCATTAGATTTATATTTTATGGTTAATGATTTGGACTTATTATTATTATTATTATTATGCTATTTAAATGACGACTTAATTTTAATAGAAACAATAGTTCAAATGTTAAATATTGACAATAAAATTTCACGGCTTTAGTGGATAAATCTCAACAAATTTGAGGATTAAATATGCATTTTGTCTATGTTGGAAAAAAAAATTGCGATAATAATATTGTTAAAAACTTTTTTTTTGAAAAATAACTTATCTTTTAGAAAAGTATTTTCCAAAAAAAAAACTAAATATTTTATAAATAATTGATTTTCTATTTTAAACTTTAATATTAAAAAATATGAAAAATTTTTTAATTTATAAGACTATAATCAACTTTTAAAATTATAGAAAATTTATATTAGAAATATATTTCTATTAAATACATTGTTAAAATTCTTTTTTTTTTCTAATTGTTGGTGACCAGAAGCGACGGGGGTGGTTACTAGAAAAAATATAATTCATAAGATTATAATAATTTTGACAATATTCTATTTCCCTTTTCTGAAAATAAAAAGTCATTTTTCTTTAAAATTGAAAATCAATCATTCCGAAAAAAATATTTTTTATTGACCGATCTTTCTAAACACAACAAATTAAAAAAATTATTTTTCTAGATAAATTATTTTTCAAAAATAAGGAGAACCTAATTAAGTTATTCCAGAGTATTTTTTAGTAAAAAACTTTTTTTTTAGGAAAATAAAAAGCAATTTAGTTGATAAAAAGGTGAGTATCCATTTTTTTTAATCAATTTACTAATTCCGATTAGTTACAATAATAGAGTGGAAGGTTTGTTTGTAAGCTCATTAAACAATTTCTGCGTTGAAAAATATGTTTGTGACACAAAGTGGTAACCAGTGTCGTAAAATGGTGGTCTAGGTATATTTGCGATAAGAAGTGCTAATCAGTGTCATCAAATCGTTGTCTAATAAAACTTGTTCTCAAATAAAGCAATTGAAAGTGTTACTTTTGGATTAGTGATTATCCTACTGAATTTGGAAGGAATTCATTTTTTTTTAATATAAAATATTTCTTTCAGACTATCTCAAAAGACAAAATTTATAAATCCAGAAAAATTTATAAATACTGATTAGTTTCGATTTTACTTTATTAAAATTAAATTGATTTTATGTATTATTCAAATAGTTAGATTTTCAATTACCATAATTATTTATGAAAAACAATCTATCAATTGAATTCATTTATAAATTACATTCACATGATTCAAAATAAGAACTTTTTAAAAATGAGAAGTAAAAAAGAGAGAGAGAGAGATAAACAAGGTGCGTGAGTGAGTTATGTATTATGTATATAAACAAGGTGCATGTGTATCTGACACGACATGACATGCCACGATTGATTCAAGTTTGTGCGTTTGTAGAAACCGCGGTTGCCTTCAAAGGATGATATTAGGTCAGACTGAGAGCGCCACACCATGTTCTTCTCATTTATCACCAGTGGTCCCTTCAACTATTTAACCATGTCCTCTTTTCATTTAGGGGAGACATAGTTCGGTTAAAATCGAAAAACTGCATTAATTTAATTTATTTATTTATATTTAATTTTTAAGATTTATCATTTTAATTTTTAGTTCATATATAAAAAAATAAATTAAAATCTACTAAGGCGAGTCAACAAAATTGGTAAGACTTACGTAGCCAAATTAAGTAACCAATAGTGGAATAAACATGCTATTGCCAGGCATAGACAACGAAACTAACTATGGACTGCTATGGCTTCCCTTCCGTAAGAACACCCAAATCAGCGCGGTCAACATCAATGCACGAAAAGCCCACACCACGTTCCACCTGCCGAGTTTACTATTCCACCGCCATTATCTTCACCTTCTTCCTATAATATATGTTTTCATTTACACATCATTTCCGCTCCAGAGCCCCCTTTTTCTTTCTTCTTCTTCTTTTATATATATATATATATATAATCAGGAGTAGATGACAAATACCTAATAACAAGCATGACTTGTGATCTTATTATTAAAAATTAAATCCACATACCTGAATACTTATTGGTATACTTTTAAATTTCCAAAAAGACTTATCTATATTGCGATAAATTTAAAAATAATGATTAATACAAATAAGTAGATGATATCAACAACCAATTGTGATAATTTCTTTAAATTAATTACAATTCTTGACTAGAAAGTTTTGATCCAATTGTATAATATGAAACTAGGAGTGAAATAATTTTATTTTTACATCTATTCTCATGTCAAAATATGTGATGTATTAATATTAAATTCTTTCAAAAAAAAATCATTAAATGGGTTTTAAATTATGTGTCCTTTTGTGTTTGTTTTTGTTTTTCTTTTGCGTATTGAGGAAAAGATATTCGAATATAAATCTATTGTCAGATCATATATGCACTTATCACTAGACTATGTCTTGGTTTACCATAATGTTGTGTTTACACATTTGTATGTAAATTATCTCATTGTGCTAATTTTATAAATCTGGTTCTTGTCAATATAATTAACTTCCATAGTTAGATCACGAAGAATTAGTATACAAGATAATATTAATTAAGAATACATGTACAGATCAATCATTTTTTAGACCTCTCTGTGTGAATCAATAATAAATATACTCGGGTTGAGCAAATCAATCAATTTACAATATTTCATGAATACGTTGTGCAAAATTTACTTGGAATAAAGCCACTCGTATTAATAATAATATATTTATGAAAATTACACGTGTCCATTTTTTGCATTTGGAGATTAATAAGTACAAATAATTTGAAAGAGTTGTTTAAATAAATTAATACGTACATGAATAAAATAAGAAATCGAAAATTTGATTTTACAAAAGCGAACTAAGTAATTAAAAAGAGCCTGTCATGAATGCAATAATTGTTTAAAAGAACATGCAATTTCATTTTACTCGCCTAAAACACCAAGGGTCAAAAAATATTATTATATATGTATAAACATATAATATTTGCATTTCATGAAATCAGTAATCACCTTTGTTTATAAAGGTAAAAGAAAAATGATAAAATATGTTTCAACCAAGGGATTTAAGATTTGAATTTTTCTTTAAATCATTAGATGTAAGAGAATTTATATTCAGAATTCGAATCTAATCTATTCGGTATTTTTGTCACGTTCTTGTCAAGATTTTCAAATTGGGCCCAGCAATCAAGATCCGATACGATAATTAACACTAGCCGTTTACTGGCCTAACCCATAATAAATAAATCCAAGTTGGGTCAATAGCCCAAACGGTTTGAGACTAGAGATTGGTATATTCTTATTGCAGATAAGGAAAACTGAGAAACAAACAGTCTCAATGGGGGCCTGGAAGAAGAGACAATGGAGGACTCGTGATCCTCGTCCCATCATCCTACGGCCATTCAAATCTCCAATAATACTAACAATAATGGTTTCTTGGCTTCACTCCACAGCTTCGCACAAAAGCATTTTTTTAAAACAAAAACCCTTTATTCCAAATCTCATATTCTCACCAACAACAAAAAAAAAAAAAAATCATAACAAAAATCGAAATCCCTATATAGAAACTTATCATCTCTATCTTCTACGCTATATTCAAACTTATCATCTCCATCTTTCGCTTCAACGCTCATATACAGACGCAGCATTATTTGCTGCTGTTACTGTTAGATGGTGAGGATAATACCTATGGCGTCATCAATTCGACCTTCTCTCTCCTCGTTTAAACTCTACAATAGCAGCTATCGTTCTTCTGTTTCAGTTTCTCGGTTTAGTTCATTTCGCAGATTTGCTTATTTCGGCAGTGGTAATAAACTCTCTCTTGTAGCCTTCATGTAATTGATTGCTTGTATTTTTGTTTGATTCATTTTGTTTTGTAATGAATTTGAATAATGGAATTACTTGAGAATGAAATGATGCTTATAACAGTATGGCTTGACGGCATTGATACTTGCTGACCTTGTTTGCTACTTAGTTTATGTTTAGGGTTGCATAAACTGGACTAGATGAGTTCTTTCTGTCAATTAGAGCTGCAATTTTATGTGCATTATAATTGTTTGGAGGTTTTATGATTCCAGAATTGCGTTGAGAATAATTGTGAATTGGTTGTATATATATTCACGGGTTATGCTTCACCACAAACTTCTTGCCTTGACGGGATGGGGTGTATTGCAGCTGTTCCACAATCACAGTTCTTTGGCTTGAAAGCAGCTTCTAAATCTTGGAGAGGAGAGAGTAGTGGACTTGGGGTGGCTGCAGCTGGAAATATGGGGCAATCAAGCACAATTGCTTCCCAGGAAAGTGTTATAGATTGGGTCAAAAAAGACAAGAGGAGACTGTTACACGTTGTTTATCGTGTTGGGGATTTGGATAGGACCATCAAGTATGTTTTGCCAAACTCTAATTAATTACATTTCCAATATCTAACTGTTTTAATTCTAAAATGATGACCAGTAACTTAATGTTAAATGCAAATTTCTGGTTGGTGACAACAGATTCTACACAGAATGTCTGGGAATGAAGCTGCTGCGTAAACGTGACATACCAGAGGAGAGATATACAAATGCCTTCCTTGGTTATGGACCAGAAGATTCTCACTTTGTCATAGAACTCACTTACAGTAAGCAATCAGCTAAGACTAGTACTCTGTTGTGCTTACTTTTTCTAACAATGTATTTTCTTGTTTTATTGATTCTTTAATTACCCCTGTGAACAATGTAGTTTATGTTGTAATTATTATGTTTGATGATGCCAGATTATGGAGTTGACAAATATGATATTGGAACTGCATTTGGACATTTTGGCATTGCAGTTGAGGATGTAAGTTCGTATCATTGATTTTTCTTTTTTTTAATCTTTATTTGTCCAATGATAGGTAGATTAATGTGATGATTTGAAGATGAATTGTTTGTCTATAACAAATATAAATTGTGTTTTATTGGTTTGATTTCTTATTAGGTTGCCAAGACTGTGGAACTCATAAAGGCTAAGGGTGGCAAAGTAACTAGAGAACCTGGTCCTGTTAAAGGTGGCAGTACAGTGATCGCCTTTATTGAAGATCCTGATGGTTATAAGTTTGAACTTTTGGAAAGGGGGCCTACTCCTGAGCCTCTTTGTCAAGTCATGCTTCGTGTTGGTGATCTTGATCGTTCTATAAATTTTTATGAGAAGGTGAGAATTATCATGGATTTGAGCAAGCAATTTTAAACCTGTAATTACCGTTGCCTGAGCTGTTTTCTTTCTCTAATTTGTTTGTTCTGATTTATTCATGCACAATCTTGTTTTGTTATTTAGGCTTTTGGCATGGAACTGCTTCGCAAAAGAGATAATCCAGAGTACAAGGTAATTTAGCTTCATTTGCAAAATGAATGTAACAACATTCTCGCATATCAGAAGCATATCCTGACAAATGAGTTTATTAGAATTAATATCTAGACCAGATTGGTCTGTATTTTCTTTTATGTTCTTCGAAAAGTAACTTTGCCAAATAAGAGAAGAACTACTTAGTACTTTGCTTAATGTATATCCAAGGATTGTGACTTACTAACATGTGGAATGGAAAGCAACCTTGCTTTGCTTAGATTGGGGGGGGGGGGGCTAAATGTGGAATGGAAAGCAACTTGCTTTGTTAGATTTGGGGGGGGGGGGGGGGTTGGGTATAAAGATAAGAACATGCATTCCATTCCATAGCTTTAATCAGATATGAAGTTCTGCTGGATCAGCATAAGGGGGGGGGGGGGGGGGTTGGGTATAAGATAGAACATGCATTCATTCCATAGCTTTAACAGATATGAGTTCTGCTGGATCAGCATAAGCAGTTGGTATTTGTAGTTTGTGCTCTGTCTCCTTTCTCAATTTTTTTTCCCTTCAAACCTCAAGTAGAGTTGTTCTTAGAGAAAAATTTGAGAAATCAAGGCAAGAGTCTGCAAGAGATCTCTATAAGCAGTCAACTATCAGTCTTTGAAAGAGCAGGTTCATTTTTATGATTAGTGTGACATGGTTCTCATTAAAGTTAGAAGTGGGAATTTCGCACAAGAGAGTGAACTTTTAGATTTTAGTTGTAGATGTAAGACTCCCAAACAAAGTGACATTTTGATATTTTGGAATTTTTTAAGTTCTGCAGATAAACTTGTGACATGCTTGGTGATGAACTAATGAGATGTTGATTGACTATTGTTTGAATTGGGAGAATTTGATCAAATTCTGTCTCATTATATTTATCTTTGCTATGTACAAGTGTTCCATATCTTTGTTGATTGACCTTTGAATTGTGAGTCACTGGGAATGACTGCAAGAATTAATATAAGTTCCTCGCCTTGGATATAAAGGTTATTAAATTAGGAGAGATTCTTTTTAATGCATATCTCCACATCTGAAGGGTGTTTTCCTATTGTCTCTTTCTAACATTTTCAACCCCCTCTCTTTTGTACACTTAACTGTTTGAAATCTAAACTTATCATTTTCTATTAAATGCATATTTTGCATAGAGAGACTAACTTGATTATATTAGATTAGAGAGAATTGGAGTTTCAAAGGATATCTTTTTGAAAGATAATATAGAACTTTGTTTTAAATAATATTGCGTGCTACTTGTAGGAGACTGCTCTGGTAATTTCTTGGTATTTCTATTGTGATTTGATCCTCTTGTGTGCATGGCTTCTTCATATGACATTCTGAGTTTCTCCAACACTTATGACGAAATTGTCATCAGAACTGTGCCTTTTTCTTTCACTGAAATATGTATGTTGCTGTCTTGCATTTCTGGATTGACTTTGAACTTTAAGTATGTTCCATGCAAATTATTGTGCAAACTGACATATCCTTTTCCGTGCTATTCTTAGTATACCATAGCAATGTTGGGTTATGGTCCTGAAGATAAAAATGCTGTGCTGGAGTTGACATACAACTATGGGGTCACTGAATATGACAAAGGAAATGCTTATGCTCAGGTAGTAACTCTTGCCTTTTGTGTTGAATATCTTTTTTCCCCCTCCACATGTGGTCCCTATAAGGTTATCTTTGTTTGTCATTTTATATCTTTCCAATTTGTTAATTCCTCAACAAGCTTATCATCATCATGCTAAGTGAAAATAATTCATTGGGTTTGCAGTAACTATTCTAATTAATTGGATCTATAAATTTCTTTTGTCATAACAGATTGCAATAGGCACGGATGATGTCTATAAAACCGCAGAAGCAATTAAACTGTTTGGTGGGAAGATTACCCGAGAACCTGGACCATTACCTGGCATCAACACGAAGATAACTGCATGCTTGGATCCTGATGGTTGGAAGACGGTAATGCTTTTCTAGTTTTCTGAATCTAATCTTTATTCAATGAATCTACTAAACTAGATCAGATTCTGGAATATGAATCAAACACAATTGCATGTGTTTAGTCTTGTTGTTCATTTGGTTTTTTAAGGATGACATTGATAACTTTTTTCCCTTTGCAGGTTTTTGTAGATAATATTGATTTTCTGAAGGAATTGGAGTGAGTGTTCTGGAGGAGCATCATTGTACCAAGCGTGTCAATGGTACAATTAGAATCTTGAACCCGAAATAATTGTCAAAATCTGTTACCTGTGAGATAATGATCAAATCCCATTTTGTAGATAAATTAGGCTCTTTCACAGTTACCATACAGAAGCTTTGCGACAGTGAAGGAAATTAGAGATTCAAGTATATTTGTTAAATTATGAAAAGCAGTGTTGCAAAAAGATCATGTTTTAGCTGCTCGGTCGAAACAGCTCCTCAAGCATGCATATTGATACCTAGAAATTTGTATTGTAGAAAAAATTTCAGTTATGAGCTATTGTTTCGAGAAATATTCTTCCAAGTATCTAGAAAAAAATTGCACCGCATGAATCTGATATACTGAAAATTGGGGATTTGTAGGAAGGTACATTATATTCCAAGTTGGATGCAAATCGAGCTTGAAATGCTCTTTCCTTTTCATTGCTAGATTAGAGTGGGCAGAACCTGGGCGTTTTTTCATTCAACGAACACCTATAAATTTAACAAAAATGTCCCAGGAACCAGGTATTTGCTCAAAATACTGCGTCGTTTCATGCACTGACCGCCGTTGCCTACAGGAAACGGTCATTTCCCATTCTGAGATATTCTCACCGGTAAATTTTTGCTTACCAACTGGGAGAGCTCAAGTTTCTTCACTGCGGCGCAAAAGTTTTACCGTACGGATCAAGCAGTGAGCTGTGCTCTCGCGTTCTGTCATCGACGGCAAAAAATTGAACAATCAGTCGAGAATGGCACGTGCCCAGATAAACGACAGGACATGTTTTCATTAGACAAGACCGTTTTAGATCCAGGTATCTTTGTCGTTCGTACCGCCGAAGAAATCTTAAAATTTAACGTGTCGTTCCGAGAAACCTTAATACCTGGTCTGGCCCACATACAGAAAATGTCCAAGATAAGTGGCTAACAACACTACAACAGTCAAGAGTCACTGTCAAGGAGTCCGCTACAACTAGGAGGGAATCAAAGGAATAAAACGCAGGCGTTTTATGTAAGCTGGGTTGTTGATCGAGGACTGGACTGGGCCTAAACCAATAAGCTATAAATGCCAGTGGCGAACCGATGAAGCATGATAAACCCTAACATTTTGCCCAGTGCTTATTGGCGCGAAGCAAGCAATTACACGATCTTTTTGCCTTCGCCTCTCTCTGTCATTTTCTTCTCTGGCTTTGGCAAAATGACGGAGAAGAAGAAGCAGAAGCAGAAGCAGAAGAAACTGAAAGATACCGAAAATAAAAGCGAAGAAGAGAAGAAGGTAGTAAAGGTTCAGGAGGAGGAGGAGAAATGTAAAGAGAAAGCAGAAAAACAAATTAACAACAACAGCAACAAGAAGAGGAAACGCAAAGAACTTTTTCCCTTCGGCAATTACAGAAGCTACTATGGCTATCGTGTAATTTTCTTTCCTAAATCTTAGACACTATGATTTTTTTTTTCTTAAAAAGAAGTGTAGGTAACTTTATAATGAAGGTGGATGATGTGTCAGATTGGTCAAGACATGGAAGAAGACCCTCGACTTAAGGTTTTGAAGAAGGAATGGTTTGAAGGCAAGGATTGCCTGGATATTGGCTGTAACAGTGGCATTATCACTATCGAGATTGGTATATATTCTATTTTTCTTTTGTCGCTTTTTTATTTTTTTCTTTTGTGACTGCTCTAAAACTTTTTGGCTTATAACTACTGTAATTTTGACTTCAATGCTTTTCATACTTATTTCTACAGCCAAAAAATTCCATTGCCATAAAATCCTTGGGATCGACATTGATTCTGGTAAGAATTTTCTTACAATCATTTTTCAAATAAAGATTGAACGTGTGTTATGGTTTACAGTGGTATCAAGTCTCTTCCTTCCTCTTCTCCGCTTGTCTAGTTAGTATATTTGGTATAGGCTTTTTGGTCTTCTCCAGGAGCTCTGAATCCACTTATCTGAGGGTAGGAGGTTTATGAATTATGAAGTTTAGTAGATTTATAGGCTTTTGGAGATTATGATACTGGCTATCCTTTCAGTACTTGGTGCCTTTCATTTTAGAGATTGCTCAGTATCTCTAAGAGAAGCATGGACACAGACAAGAAGACATGCTTGTTGGTGATGATGCGCGGCTGTTGTTAATGCCTTTCATCGCAGTATATACAAAAGCCATTTAGGCAATTATAAATACATTTTTATTGCAGAGTTGATCAGTATTTGGTTTGCAAAGCACTCTGACCCTGCAAATATTTGCATTTGCAAATGCATGTGAGCATTTGTATCCCTCCAGCAGGGGGAAGAACAAGAATGTCTTATACTGTTATACATTGTTTGACAACTTGGGCACATATTTTCAGCCACTGCTTCTTTAATTTAGTCGCTTGGCTTGAACAAAAAGAAATTCTATACTTGGTGGATGTTTCATTTTAATATTGAGTTTTACTTGCTAGTTATAGATGTTGCGCTCTGATATAGAAGTGCTCATTGATTATTGGTTTTCCTTTGTCTTAGGTCGAATTGAAGATGCGAAGTGGCACTTGAGAAAATTTGCGAGAGCTGCACATGTTGAGAAGAGCAGTACAAAGGCTTCCAGACCAGAGGCCACAGGGGATGGAAATGGTTCGCAGCACTGTGCAACTTTGTCCTCTGTTGAGAGAAAAGAGATTGCAAGGGATGGTTTGCATTCTGAGGAAAGAGATCTATCTGATATAGTTTCTTTCCGAAAAGAGAACTTTGTTACCAGTTGGTCTCGGTCAGAGGAGCAGTATGATACAATTCTTTGGTAACTGCACCTTATGTCATTTTATGCATGCATTTTATTTCTTGTGGCTAAAATAGAACTGTGGTACAAAAATCTTGTCCACCTCTCCTACATGCACTTGATCTGTTCATAGCATTTGATCTTGATAGTGCAACATACTTGTCTCTTGAATTGCAGTTTGAGTGTGACAAAGTGGATTCACTTGAACTGGGGTGATGATGGATTGATTACTTTATTTTCAAGAATATGGAAGCTTCTTCGTCCGGTAATTAAGTATATCTATCATATTATTCCAAATGTTATTAGAATTCTTATTTACACTTAGATCTGCTCTTGAGCAGGGTGGCATTCTAGTGCTGGAACCTCAACCGTGGCGGTCATATGAAAAAAACTATCAGGTTTCTGAGGTATAAATTATTTTCTCTTTTCAGATTATAGCTATTTGATAAAATGCATATTCTTTGTCCTGTTTCCTAAGCAATTTAATCAGGAGGGTTCCCCAAAACATTATTCTTAGCCGCAACTGTACTGAAATAGATTATGATAGGACAAAGAAGCAATCTGTTGTGTCTCTGAGGAAATTGAACATCTCATTTTTATCATCTGGTTGGAAACCTGTTTACAGTCGCATAATATTTGTCTTGAATGTTATTCCAATTTCCCTCATTTTTTATGTTCTTAAAGCCCTTTATTGTTCAGTTAGTTTTCTAAGGCATTCTTTTCCACCTATGCAGACAACGGCAATGAATTATCGAACAATCATACTCCGTCCAAATCGCTTCAATGAAATTCTTCTAGATAAGGTACGTGCTGGAATTTATCCTGATAATGAGATTGAGTAGATTGAAGCTTTCAAAACTATGTGGGGCTATTAGCCCGCATACTGATTACCAATTGCGATTATATTTTTAACATTTGCAGATTGGATTCAGAAAGGTTGAGGACATCACTTCAGCATTATCTGGTAGCAAAGCTGGATTTGATAGGCCCATTTTCGCATACTACAAATGACGAGCGCAGTCAGACCTGATGTAGGCAAGCTGGTCTTTCTCCATTGCTCAGGAGGTCAGTTGAAATTTTTGGGGTGGAATCAGTTAATTTTGTTAATGAAGGATGACTTAATAATCATCATGTGGAATTGCATGGAAGCATTACCTTTCTTGTGGTGAATGTCATCGATTCTCCCGAGGGCCACCTAACCCGTCAATTTGGGATCCACGCTGGCGGGCTGAATAGGCACACCCCTTAAAGTTGAAGTGGTATGATGCAATTTTGTATATATTCTAATTTATCTTCATTTGTGTCTAAGATAAGATTTGTTGAATATTATGTTTTTCACTGTTATCATTTGCAAGCAATGAGAGATGGGTATCATGGGTTGATATAATCAAATATAGTTAATATAATCAAATCATAATTTTTGTTTTAGGTTGTCATCCTTACATTAGCATTCGCATAGACAAAAATCCCATGCAGGAGTAAGATCTATACTTACTCTAGTCCCAACATGATTTTGCCAAAATAATTGGTAAGTCCGTATTTAATGATTGTTAGAAATCGAACAAGATGTAGAAAATAATATCATCTTAGTGTTGCCCAAAGAGGGTAACGAAGACTGAAACATTAGTTGGTATGATTGCTTATGAGAGTATATGACAATAACATTCTCTAATTGGATTAGTCTATTAAGTAAGTGATGTGCTAAATGATTGTTAAAATTAAGTAATTTATGTTAAATTATTATTTTGAAACTGTTAAAATATACTTTTTTTTTTTTAATACAAGAATCGATGCAATGTGAGAGGATCACATTATATTTTCTTTCTTTTTAGGCCGAAAAAATAAAATTTTAATCTGTCAATCAGGTGGTGGTTTAATTAGTCTTTTCACTTATATAGAATGAGAGGTCTCGAGTTTGAATTCTTTTGACTACAGTTATCATTAATTTGGTGAGTTAATAGTAAATTTACCCTATTGTGTATTTCAGTGTTGTTTCGATTTATAAAAAACTCGAATGAATTAAAAAAGAATATTTTAATCAACGTTTATTTCAAAATTTAATTAATGATAAATGGCATGACTATTTCTTTGCACCTGTGAAGATGTCACTAATGAGCCCCACTAACACATATTAAAGTAATAAAATTAATTCAATCTTCATTTGATTAAAAATTTAAAAATTTACACATTTTCATCGATGTATTAATTCTATAATTTTAAAATTAATTAGATATTTATAAAATGTTAATGGTAAAATAATATTTTGAATTTTTATATTAAATTAAAGCAAAAAATAGACATTTAAATAAATAGGTGGAACAGGCTAATGTAATAGCATGCTGAAACAGGTAATCGCACGCAGTTGGCATAAAAGCATATTCATCCCGAGATAACGTCAAACTCGTTTTCTATTTTTAAGCATGAGAGATGCCGTTTCAAACTAGTTTCTAATATTTTAAAAAACCTAAGCTCTTACTGTCTGAAACTACCGTTTCATTCAATTTCCGTCTCGCACAAGCATTGGAATAGGAATGAAAGTGGGTCTAGTTTTTCATGTAAGAATTTTGAGCAGGAGAAAAAGTGTTCTCTGACTGATCCATACATCCCAATAAATTCATTCGAGTCTTACATCAACTCTGTTCCATTGAGAGCTAATTGGGACTTCAATCCATCGTAAACTGAGGATCCATGGTGAACCATCACCATGGTCAAGATTTCCAGCTTAAACGAACATATGCAATAATAACGACAAATAGCAAGCTTCTGAAAACATGAGGACTCTAATTCTCTGATACATACCCACATTTCCTGCGGCTATCAGCTTTCCCAAATAGATCAAACTGACACGTACCTGATAATGATAGCATAGCCAATAGAATATTGTGGAGAAGCCAATTCCAAGAACCGGCAGGTCAAAATTATATAAATCCAGGTTGCATTAACAAATCAAATAGATGGCTCTGAATCTGAAAGCCTATCATCCGTTCAAGGCCTCTGATATTTCTTGGATCCCTTAAAAATAAACTCGTCCTTTACTTTCAAACTCATTGTAGTTGCATACACACAGGAGCTTAGCTTGGAATTCTTGAATAGATAAAACAAATGGAGAATAAACAAAAGGAGGCTTACCATAGAAACACATAGTCCACTGATAAAAATCATGGGATTATCTAATCCTGGGCAATCCCATTAACAAGGCTGCATAAATGGTTGAAGTCAGAACTGATAAACTTGCAAGCTTGAGATATTCATACCTGCACCATCATGACATTCATAACAAAGCACCTAATCTTTTCCAAACAGACAGGTCGAGTAATAGATTTCTTTGGAAGTACACTATACAATGACATAAGGGAGCTATACATCCATAATATAAGTTTCTGATCTCAATAACTGGACTTATATATCATTTCAACAGCGGCTAAGGATTCCAAACCTAGACTAGCCATCAAACCAGAAAATATGACATGCCAGAAGGTCTCATTAACAGAATTCTATATAAGTATCTAAAACTAATGAAATCCAGGGTAACATGCTTTCCATAGAAGCCCATTAATTTCCCTCACCTGACAAACCTACCATCAAAAAGCAATGCAACGCACTGGGCAAGCTGGAGACAGCTTTCCTCCCAAGAACAAATCTCTGTAGAATATTGCCATATAGGAAGTAATTTTCCCAGTATAACAAATAAACCAAATAAACAAAGGAACATTGCACTAATCATCTTCCCACCAGAAACTTTGATATGCTGCTTTGGTTGAAGTCATGACTGGAAGAATATTGCCAACTTGTTATCTTGCAGCATAAGCAAACAAGCCACCTTAAATGGGAATTTTTTCATGTTTTCTTGGATGTAGCCAGCACAGGCTTACATTCTACTTCATATGAGAACAAAACTAGTTAGCTAATCTCTCTTGAATCAAGCATACAGCATAGCCGTGTGTTCACAACCTGCAATGTTCTAGACCCACATAAACAGTAGCACCAAAATCAGTATCCTTTTAACACCTTGTTCCATGATCTGTCTTCCTAGATGAGCACCCATGTATTCTATTCATCCATCAGGCATGCATGGCTGTAGGAGAAAAAGAATCCTGCAAGTTGCAAAATTATGAACTGCCAATTGAGAGTTTATCAGGAATTGCTATACCACACAATATTATAACGCTTCAAGCTCTTCTAACCTTGCAGGTATAGATGACAAATTAGGAAAAATCATAGTTTACAAAAAAAAAAAGAGCTAAACGAAAATGTGTATACATTGGTTTTAATTGAAAAGTTAGAAACATGAATCTTGTTGTGCTACCAAAAAAAGAACTAAGACTCTTGACATTCTTCCATGGGATCTGCAAGGAGACAGTTAAGCATGAATATCTCATGTCGAATGCACCCAATGCAACTGGGAAGGCAGCGAAAAAGATTCCAGAATAACTGTAAATAAATCTTATCAAATCATCTCTTTCATTGCTATAGTGGGTAAAAGCAGTATACCTTTACAAAGCTAGGAAAATAGGGTAACTAATATGATCCTACAAGAAAGAGCAGCTAAATCAGACACACAACATATTTGTTTTTGCCACCTCAGCAAATCAGAAAATGACCCTATGAAAAAGGAAGAGAAAAAATGCATATAGGAGCTGAGGAATCAAATCAAAGGTTACAAACAAAACCACATTAAGAAAACCGGATAACTTTCAAAAAATTATGACAGGCACAGTGTCCAAATGTAGGTTAGTACAACAGTCTTAATTTAAATGCATGAGAAATTATATTTTAGTTTGTGGATTATGTGCAATTTTAACTACTATCTAAAACATTCACAACTTTAAAGCTCCTTGAGCCATTACTTTTCCTTGTAATTAAGCTTCTGAAGCAATGCACAGTACATGATCAACCTATACAGACTCACTTTACTAGCATGAAATTGGTTAACGTATGAATTTACCAATAATGATAACTCATATGTATATATATATATATATATATATATACTTTCGAAAATTATGAGGCACTTTCATGTATAACCATGAAATATTATAGGCAATGCAATAGTTATTACACTATTTACATTAGAATATGGAAAAGGTGGCGATTGAAAAAAAAAAAAATGCTCCAGGAGATGCCAAAGGCCCAATACCATATCAAAATAGTAAGAGTACACTAGAACAACCTTAATGAAGCCAAATAAAAAAAAAAAAAAAAAAAACCTTAATGAAGGCCCAAATAAAAAAAAAAAAAAAAAAAAAAAAAAAAAAAAAAAAAAAAAGATGTTGTCAACAACAACCAATTGACAAGGGGAAAGTATCAACTAGTGAGAAGTTGAGGGAGGGGCCAAATGCTTCACATTACAAGGAAACATAAATACAGTATTTGTATGAGTTATTCATGAAAACTATGTACAGCACAGGGACCAAGCTTTAGGCAGTTGGCATTCAGTACCAACCAATGTGTTGGTAGTCACCTTAAGTGAAAAAAATAATGAGCTGCTTTTTATAATAGAACAAAGCACATTGGAGCCCCTTAAAAGCATCATCAGAAACTTCTTAACAGATAAATAGCTGAAAGCATGACACCAGTCACCAAAAGGTTTTGCTGCCTCCAATAGATGCATCACTAGAATCCTCTTGACCAGATCCGTAGCTATAACATGATATACAATAGTTTGTCAACCATACTATTAAACCTGACAGTATAACAGCATTTCTAGAAAAACAAAAAATGAAGTATCCCACTTTTCAAACTACAATGTATGGCAAGAAAAATTACCACATTAAATCACTTAGCAGAATGAATGCGCTGCAATGACGAGATCCAGCTAGATGAAGGACCAATTTTACTGCTGTGTCCCTGACTGGGATTTCCAGCTTCAGCGGGCAAAACTGGTTTTGAGGCATTTCTTTTTGAGGTCCCAACAAGTGAAAATGAATTGGATGAGATGTGTGCATCTGTTACAACCTACAAGAACAAAATTTTCAGGTTGTTAGTGATAGTAACTAATGTAAGTTATATATCTGCTACTATTAATATCAGAAGATGACTCTTAGATCCCTGCTTTATGAATAGTGAAATAGAATCGTTATTCATCCCTTTGGAAGAATTCTTTTATAAAAGTTACAGAGGCATTGATTTTCACTGTTTTCTGACATAACTTGCATTATAATTTAGGAAAAATGGCATTAACATTTCAGAGTTGCAATAAAATCTCCACAAGAAAATAAACCTCTATTAGAGAAGAAAACCCCTTCAAACAACAACGTATTCATTTAAAAGGAAAAAAAAAAAAAACTCCAATGTTCAAGGGGCTACCACGCCATACTCACAGTCATTATATACTTATTTGATTGTAAAGAGTAAAACATACATTTTTATCAACATGATTATCAGAGCCCAAGTTCTTGCCCATTGCTGTTTTGAATTGCATGCGTACACCAGGACCGCCAGATCGAATGATATCAGAGGAATAGGGAGCATTACTGCTTCCTGCCATTTAAAGTGAGATAATGTTATGATTCCAATGATGGTGAAATATCAGATATCCATTAATATGTTCCATGGAAATGTTTATCATCCTTATGGAAAGTTGAATACAGAAGTGGAACCAAATTAAAATTTCAAACAATGTTGCCTATGCAGTAAACTTATTAAACTTCCAGACTTTTACTTTTAAACATATGACCACTCTAAAAGATTCAATCATCATAAATGCACATTGCCCATTAGCACTGTCTAACCTTGATGATTCTCCATATCTGTTGGCACCACATGGCTGCTACTTGCACCAGGAACAGGCTGTATCATATACTTTGAATGTTATTATAAGCAACAGGTGCAAACTACATAAAACACAAAATTGTTTGCAACAGAAGCTCAAGCGACAAAAGAATCAATGCCAAAAGCAATATAGGAGTAATAAAAAACAAAAAAATATTACTGAGACAAGGTGGCTGGAGGTGGAGAAAGAAATGAAAAACTTAAAAAAAAAAAAAAAAAAAAAAAAAAAAAAAAAAAAAAGAAAAAAAGAGGCAAATGAACTGACAGATAAACGAGGTTGAGTTCTACTCTTTTGCGTCTGCTGGTACTTTATGATGGTCCAATCAAACACATAATCAAATTCATATCCTGCCACAAAGGGAACAAAAATAATGATTAAATCGAAACAGGATATTGCCGAAACCATCTTTTTTTTTTTCCAACTAATGTATTATTGATAACTGGAATTAGTTCTCCAATACCTTCACGGGCAAAAAGATCTCGGAACAGGCGCTTCAAGAATCCATAATCAGGTCTCTGATCAAATGTCAGAGAGTGACAATAATGTAGGTATGATGCAAACTCCACTGGATGAGATTTGCATAAAACCTGAAAAATAGAGAAGCATTTTTGGGATGTATTCACATAAACTTATCTTTTCAGCATGCCTAAATAATAGAAACTCACCTCGATAGGAGTTGATAATTTCTTTTCACATATTTTGTCATATTTCTGCTTCTTTGTGGCAGCTTTCAGTCCCTGCCAAGGAAGGCTGGAGATAAAAATTCAAGTCAGCATGTGGGAAAAAATTCCCTGTTAGAATTTTTTAGTCTCAATCCAAAACTTCAACACAAAACACAGTTAGAATTTCAAGGTTAAAGACAAGCATAACTTGTATTTCTTGAGCATATTAAATGAAATCCTGCTAAAACAACAATATACCTTCCTCTCAGAAAATATAATAGAACATAGCCAAGTGACTCAAGATCATCCCGCCGGCTCTGCTCTGCAAGCCCACCAAGATTTCCATAAATCAAAAATTGGAATATTTTACAAATATGTGTATATGCTCTCTCTCTCTCTCTCCCTCTCTCTCCATATATATATTCCCTCTCTCTCCATATTATATATATAATATAATATATATATTATATATATATATAATATATGGAGAGAGAGAGAGAGAGAGAGAGAGGGATGCGAAGATAGATATCACAAAGCCAAACAGAATATTGTGTTGCTTACCAATTCCAAGGTGAGTATTGCAACTGGCATAACGTGCAGTTCCTGTCAAGTTTTTATTCTCCCTGAAACAGAAAATGAGTATCCGACTTTGAGTTCCTTCTCTCTTCAATATGTTCATTAAAACTAGTATATATTCTTGTGAGTAAAAACTCAAAATCATATCAGGAGCACAAAAAATGGTCTAAATCCTAGGACACAAGGAAACCCAATGACAAGTAAATTTAACAAACTAAACTGCAATATCACCTGTAAGGAATATGGCGGTTGGTAGTGGCATCTCGATATCTTTTTGCGAGGCCAAAATCAATAATGTAAACCTGATTTGCTTTCCGCCCAAGACCCATTAGGAAGTTATCAGGTTTAATATCTCTATGCAGAAATCCTTTAGAGTGCACGTATTCTATCCTTGTAATCTGCAAGAAATACATAAAAGTTGAGTTTAAAAAAAAAAAAAAAAAAAAAAAAAAAAAAAAAAAAAAAAAAAAAAAAAAAAAAAAAAAAAGTAACAATAGCTATCAGCATTTGAGTGCAAGAAATAAGTGTGTCAAGCCGAACTCACCATTTGATCAGCCAACATCAACACCGTCTTCAGCGAGAACTTCCTCCCACAATACACAAACAAGTCCTCGAGGCTCGGCCCTAGCAAATCAAGCACCAGTATATTCTCCTCCCCGTCAACACCTGACCATTTTATGCTGGGAATACCACCTACAAAATTAAACTCGGAATTTAGCAAACTTAATTACTAACCACAAGGAATCATGCCAATGGCGAGTAATTCCACTTACTGCCTCCTTGAAGAAGATTGTACAACTTGGCTTCGTAAAGCAACTGCGGATGCTTTGTTTTAGTGTTCTCCTGCAAAATCACTCAAAGAAATCATATCAAATTCAATTCAACTAAATACCTAAAAGTCAACCCCAGCCTATCCACGGTGATTCAACTATTACAGTAGCGTACATGATCCAATCATGATCCTTGTAACAGTTTAACACACCTAAAAATTGAATAAAATTTAAAAAACAATTAATAAAAAAACTTACAATCTTAACAGCGACGATCTCAAACGTATCGATATGTGTAGCTGCAAAAAAAAAAAAAACAAAAAAATACACATATAAATTCATTGAAAACAAATCAGCAGCAAAAACGAACAGACATAATCAGAACTATAACTAACCGAGATAGATTTCACCGAAGGATCCACTTCCGATCTTCCGGCCAAGCTTGTACTTGCCGCCGACGATACGCTCCATCAGCTCTTAATCTACTAGTATAAATCGATGTACTCTATCGAATCTAACGAGCATGAAAATAGAGAAAGTGCCTTATAGTGTTTTAAGGATCTTTTATGATCTACTAAGAAATGAAAATGGAAAGAGGAAGAGAAAGAGACTTTGGCTGTTCAACAATCCATGGGAAACTGAAACCACACAGAAGAAGAACTCGGCAACAGACGACAATAGAGAGAAAGGGAAACGTGGCTACGGATTGGTGAGGATAAAGTGGGAAATTTTTAAGGGTAGTTTTGGGATTTGGGTTAGGTGAGATTGCGTTGACGTGTTGACCACTAACAATCTTGTCAGGTTTAAGGGTACTGTTGTTTGGTTTTTGTTCCTTGGTAAGTTTGTTCTATCCATTAAAGAGGAGGCGAAATTACTACCTCTTAAAAGGGTATTATTGTCAATTTATTTTATTTAACTGGCAAGCATGAAAGGTTTATGTTTGTAGAAATAGGATTGGTGGCTCGCTAATCTACGTGGTATTGCAATATGTACATTTAAGCATGACTATGGTTAGAACTTAGAACCATGATTGCAAGATTTCGGTTTTATATAAAAGGTAGAATCGGAATCAAATCACTCTCACACAGTTCTTATAACTGTTTTTTAATTCTCCATTTCGGTTTAATTTCTATTCAAGATCAAAATTAAACAATTTTTTCAATTTTTTATTTTTACTTTGTAACATCAATTTAAAGTAAAAAGTAAATGAATTTAATAAAACATCTAAATATTAATTTAAAAAGTTATAATTTTTTTTTATGAAAAGTTCAATGTTAAAGTTATTCATGGTAAACATATTAGTATACATTTTAAACAAATTATATTGAATTAAACTCTAGTCTTTAATATTTTTAGTACTAAATACAGAAAGAAGTGGCTAGCAATGTCAACATTTGAATTTCAGAATAATAAATTAATTTAATAATCTGAAAGTAATTAAAATTTGAAAATTATTGTAAGATTGAATAATTAAATAAAAATTGCCGCATTTTTCTATATATAAAACGATTCAAATCATAGCCGCCTTTAAATTTGTATATATGTGCAATAATTATGTCCAATAGCTTGCCAAGTAGAGGCGTTGGTGGGCTCAGGGATGTTCTGAGAGATCGTGGCTAAGTTTTGCAATGGTCTATGGCCCACAAAGAGGGCTCATGAACTCATGTACAGCTATGCCTAAGATGCCCAAAGTGGAGTTCCCTACTAAACCACAAAACAACGAGGTAACAATGACTTCAAATTGGTTTATGATTTGTGAACAATCAATCCTATTATTAGTTTGGTCCAATTTATTTATGAAAATAATATTTAATAGTTTTCTTTTTTTTACTAAATTTATGTCTAATTTACTTTAGAATTGTTGTTATTAATATGTTGTCAATAATATTTTAAAATTATATATTAGAATCGCTTTATATTTATTTTTATCTTATAAAAATTATATTTATCTTCAAATCTGTTCTATTATTTTTTTTAAAAAAACTTATTTCTCGCAAATTTTACATGAGTACATAATTAGTGGGCAAATATTTTTTTTTATAATGATTTACTGAAACTGTTTTCACGAAAGTCAAAATGGATTTAAAGCAAATGATATTAGCCGCGGCAATAGCCAAACGAAGTCGTTTACCTAGCACTCCCACTCCACCAAAACCATCACCACATCGGATCCACCTCCAACCGTACTCCTGACGCACTACCAGGCCACGATGGCAAGAGATATAGAAAAGATGGTGGTGGTGGGCCTAATTTGGGGCGGGACCAACGCCTTAATACGCCGTGGCGCACTTCTCTGGGACAAACGATCCGGTAAATTCTCCTCCTCTTCAGTACACGCACCACAGCTTCACCAAAAACTGATCTCTTCACTTAAAAAATTGCTCAGCCTTCTCTTATTTTGGCAATACTCCGTCCCTTTCTTGCTCAATCTCTCAGCTTCCGCTACTTTCTTCGCTCTCCTGAGCGATGCGCCGATATCTCTGGCTGTTCCCGTTACAAACGCGACAACTTTTGCTGCTACAGCTGTTTTCGGGATGCTATTAGGGGAAGAGACCCGGATTGAGTTGGCTTTGTTGGGTACGGCTTTTATTTTAATTGGTGTTTGGCTTTGTATTACGTGATTATATATAGTGCTGCATTTTCCCCCTAATTTATCTATCCTGTTATAACTGTTTGCTTCTCATTGAAATGAGATATTACTCACTTCATTTGCTTTAGTTTTAATGTTGGCTTAGGAGTTCTGATATGCTTAATTTGTTATTGTTAAAGATTATATTGCCCTGTTTGAGGGTTTTGACACTTTTATCAATATAAGCATATCAAAGATTGTATTCTTTCTTTCTTTTTTTTTTCAAGCGTTATATATATTCGATCTCTTTATAACTGAATGAAAACAACCCTGAATCACAAAAGAGAAAATGAAATAAACACAAAACCGTGACAAAATTTATTTCCCAGTTGTATGCAGATAGTAGGAGAAAAAAACTGGAGCTTTTGTATCATTGGTCTTCTTCTAGAAAACACACCGGGACCCTTAATTTCAGAACTGTAGTTTAAAACATTCCGCTGGTATCTGTCCATTGAACCGCTTAATATCCTTGCAGTAATCATAAATCATGTAGTTATCTCTCACCCACTTCATTTGACCCTGCTTGCCATAACTCAACTGGCTGTATGTTGGTGATGTCCACCAGTTAGCAGGAGTGTTGGAAGCACATTCAATTATGCTGACCGGTCCATTCCACTTGCAAGCTCTTGCCCTGAAAGTGCGATGTGTTGCTATGAATGGTGCACTATTCCAATCAATCTTAACTAACCCGCCTTTAGTTGCCCAGTTGTCTGCATTCCATAAGCTGGAGTAAACTCGCATCCCTTGTTTGTTTGGATAAGCAATTCCCTCCTCCTCATAATTGCGGAAAACACGTATTGGTATGCCGTCAACGTACCACCTGAAAAATTGCAGTGATGAATCTTAATGTCAGGTATCATTTGGCTTATGTCAGGTATCATTTGGCTTCTAGATTAAGTATGAATTATATGAGTTAATGAGAATGAATTTATAGCGCAAGCAAGTTAGCGACATAGTCTGCTAACTTACACTACTGCAGTAGGGTTCCAATGAATTGTATAGTTGTGGAAATCTGCAGTTGGGTCGAACCAAGGGTAGAACTGCTGTTCCTTGCTTCCATTTCCTTGCAGATAGATATTTGTGTGGATGATGTATGGTTGGCCTGAGACATTCCCTAAAAATTCGAAGTCTATCTCATCATGTTTGTCCCCAGCAGAAGATACCTGCAAAAATTCGCAAAAATTGTTAAGTGCTTCACAAAACTTGCATGTTCATGCTCTGGCTATAGCGTTTGCGAATGCCTATTGACATTTCACTTGCAGCAAAATGTTTCACGTGCAATTGCCTATTGATGTTTCACTTATGTGTCTTTAAACGACCAAATTATAATGGAAAAAACAAAATTTAAAGCCTGGAAAAATGAGGTGCAATGTTTATGTTTTGCAGGGCCCTGTATGTCAGTTAAATCATTGCACTTACATAGTAGGCATTGACTGTTCCAGCTGAGTTTCCAGGTACCAACTTGATCAACATTTGAATGCTTCCGAACAAGAATGATCGCTTTGATTTAATGCCAGAACCTGAAATCCAGAGTAATTATGATTAGATTACCTCATTGTGCGAATTTCAGGGAACCTAAGTATTGAAGATTCAGTCCGACATGTAGTTGAATGAATGACTGATGCGATGTTATTAATTACCTGATGTTTGATCCAAAACAAGTTGAAGCTCATCACCATTGCCAAGAATCGCAGAATGCTCAGCACCCCAATAGAAATACATGCTCTTGCGGAAATTGGCGTTAACTGGAATCAGATAGAATGCTATTATAAAGATAAATAGAGCTATCAACAGAATTTTTGTCCCTGCCATTTTAATTCAAATGCCAGATTTTCTTCTCTGGTTCTGCCAAAATCCTGGAGTTGAAAAGTGATGCTTTGGTTCTAGTCCTGTGATCGCTTCATATAGCTTGTAGCTAGCAAAAATGCCTTGCTAAGATGAACTCGTTTCATAATATATTTATTGATTTATTTAGTCTCAAATACGTTGACCATTTCATGTTGTGACATTCATAAAATGTTCATCTGTAACATCACTACTTCAACCATCTTTGTTTATAAAATGTAGACATTATAGAGTTTGAAGAGTTCATGAACTGATTTTTTATATGTATAAAACGCTCAACGCTGCGTCTAATGTTCAATGTCTCTTGCGAACGTTATGCCACGAGTATGAGAAATGAAGGTTTTTCTGTAATGGGTTTCGCGCAGCTGGGACGCGGTTGCAGTAGGACTAAGGATAAATGTCGTGCGCGAGACTAATGAAGTGCTGGGCCAGCTGTGATAGGAACGTGCTTGCCTGCCGATGAGATTTCTGGAGCATTTAAAAGTCCGAGCTTCGCATTTCCTACAGGAAACTCTAATTCTATAATTTCTTTTTAGAGAATTCAAACTTATAATGATTGCATAATTCTTATAAATCAATTACTCTTACTAGTAGAGGGTTATTGATATTTTTGAAACTTAAAACTGGAGATTTCATTAAAGCAAATCATCTAACAAAGAGTCAACAATAATAGGAGGGATGTGACTCCACTTCTCCAGATCAGCATGGAATATGCATGAGTTGCAAGGAGATGAGCAACTCTATTCGCTGATCTTCGAACAAAAAGACACAGAACATAAGGGAACTTCTTTAAGCATAGCTTTACAATCCAAAACTGGACAACCAAAATAAGATGAATTTGCTTTGCTACATTGTATATACTGAACAAGAGAGAGAGAGAGTTAGTTTCAAATTGAACTCGTTGGAACCCATTCCGCTTGGTCCAGCTTAGTACCTCTCGAAAGGAAAGCGCTTTAGCAACAAGAAGATCAAAGCCTCCGCAAAGATCTACCTGGCAAGCCTTCAACATAAGACAACTCTCATCCCTTAATACCCATCCAATGCTAACAATAGGTGAGGAAAGAGAAAACCTTAATACCTTAATACTCATGGTGTAAGTGGGAAGTGCTTGAATTACAGATTTAAGGAGCACATCTTTCCCTGCCCGAGACAAGAGCATTTTCCTCCATCCTTGTATCCTTCTCCATATTTTGTCCTTCAGGAAAGAAAAAACCTCTTTTTTATTTCTCCCCACCATGGAAGGCAAGCCCAGATAATATCCCAAATCAGAGGATTCTCCCACCTGCAAAATCCCCTAAATACGGCCCTTCACGTCGTGACACGTGTTTCCGCTGAAAGCAATGAAAGATTTTTGGAAGCTAATAGTTTGACCTGATGCCTTTTCGTAGGAAGCTAGGCACTCCTTTAACTGAGTACAGATCGATTCTTCAGCGTTGAAAAGAGGAGGCTATCATCAGCAAAGAACAAATGACTTATAGAAGGCGCTCCTTTAGCTACACATATTCCGGTAATTAGGCCATGGCGTTCTCTATCTTGAAGCAAAAGAGAAAGTCCTTCAATGCACATTATGAATAAATAAGGAGATAAGGGACACCCTTGTCTCAATCCCCTTCTTAGTAAAATAGGACCTAAAACCTCCCCTTCTTGTAATATTGAGTATCAAACAGAAGTGATACAAAGCATAATTTTATCAATCCAAGGCCTGCAAAATCCCATCTCTCCATCATACCACGAAGAAGCTCCCATTCAATTCGATAATATAGGTTTTGCTCATATCAATCTTGAGCGCTGCCATGCCAGAAGAACCTTGTCACTTCCGTTTGAGATAGTGAATAACCTCATAAGCCACCATGATATTATCAGAGATTAAGCGACATGGGACAAAGGCACTTTGATTTGGAGAGATAATATCTAGAAGAAGTAGTTTCAACTTGTTGGCGAGGACTTTAGCAATGACCTTGTAGAGGACGTTGCAAAGTGAAATGGGACGGAGGTCAGCCATAGACTAGGGATCTTTTTTCTTCGGGATGAACACAATATGAGTCTCGTTCAAACTGAGGGGAAACTGTCCTGCATTGAGATAATGAATACAAGCCTCTATTACATCTTGTCCAACTATATGCTAGTGCTTTTGAAAAAATCCTGGGTTCATACCACCCAGCCTAGGGGACTTATCTGGAAACATGGAAAAGATAGCTTCTTTCACCTTATCTGCCACAAATGGTGCATTCAGTAATTGATTATGAGAATCCGAAACTAGAGGCTACACACAAGAAAATACCACCGACCCTTCACAATCAGAGGAAGAGAATAACTTAGAAAAATAAGACACTATCAGCTCCTCCAGCCCTCTTCCTTTCTCCATCCAGACACCATCATCATTTTGTGATTTTAGGACTTGTTTTTTCTTGCGCCTAGAGGAGGCCTGAGCATGAAAAAACTTATAATTTGACTACAGTCCCTGTAACCAAAATGCTTCCAATACAACTCCATCTCCTTCAGGCTTTTCTCATAAAGGCCAGAAACTTCATCATATTGAGCTAGTGAGAGCAGGTCCTTTTTTTCCAGAGGGAATCTGATAGTGTTGATTTTTATAGTGTTTTTATTGTAATTTTGATTGAAATTTTTATTACTTTTAATTTATTTAAATTGGTTTTTATGTAATATTGCTAAGTAGTTTCAACTTGTTGGTCGAGTTGCGTTTTATAGCAATGTACCTTTCGTAATTGTAGGACGTTGCAAAAGTGGAATATGGCGACGGCAGGTACAGGAACCATGAATTTTGAACTAGGGATTTTTTTTCGGGATGACACAATATGTGTCATCGTTTCAATATTAGCTGAGGGGAAACTGGTTCTGCAATTGAGATAATGATACAAGCTACTATTATACAATCTTGTCCATAAACTAATAATGTCTAGTAGTGGTTTGAAAATATCGGTGGTTGTTGTATACACTACAAACATATATCAGCCTATATTGAGGGACTTATCTGGAAACACAATGGAAACACGAATATGCGCGTTTGTACCTTAGCTGCACGAACAAATGGTGCATTCGTAATTGATTAATGAGAATTCCGAAACTAGAGGCTCTACAAATTAACAAGAAATAACCTACGGCACGTAATGACATTCAAACGGGAAATCAGAGAGGAAAATGTTAGAATAACTTAGAAGAAATAAGACACCCTGGAGTATCCTCACCAGTCCCTCTTCCTTTCTCCAATCAGACACCATCAATCATTTTGTGATTTTAGGATTCGTTTTTTCTTGCGCCTAGAGGAGCCTGAGCATGAAAAAAACTTATAAATTTTACTTTTATACAGTCCCTTGTAATTTCACCAAAATTGCTTTTCAACTACAACATCCATCTCCTTCAGAGTTTTTCTCATAAAGGCCCAGTAAACTTGATATTCCATATTGAGCTAGTGTAGAGCAGGTCGCCTTTATTTTTTCCATGGGAATCTGTGAGTAGTTGTTTGATTTTTATAGTAGTTTTTGGTTATTTGTAATTTTTGAGGTTGAAATTTTTATTACTTTTTTAATTTTTTTTGTAATTGGTTTTTCATGTATATTGCTGTGTTATTGTGAATTCAAAAAGCTTCTTTTTAAATCCAACTCACTTGATGTGGAAAGAAAATTGTCTAGGATTTTTGCTCAAAGTAAAAGGATTAAACAAAAATAAAGCAAGAGTACATTGGCCAACAGATCCGATGCCCTGATCGAGAGACGTTGACTTCTAGCCTTGAGGGTCTTGGCACAAGGGAGACAAACTAAGAACAGAGAGATGCAACGCCAAAGCCGTGCCGAGGACAGCCGTGCGCGCTAGCTTGCCCAGGCGTGCCTTGGCGGATAATCGCACGCTGCGTATGAACACGCCCGTGCGCGCTAGCTTGCCCAGGCCGTGCTGCGGAACACGCCCGTGCCTCATATGCCTCTGACTTCCAGAGAGATGCACGCCCCGACCCGTGCTACCCCGCACGCCCGTGCGCGCTATCAACCGGACTTCCAGGAGACTGCACGGCCAGACAGCACGCCCGTGCGCGCTAGCTTGCCAGGCCATGCTACGGAACACGGCCCGTGCTAGAGCCTCTAATCCTCCAAAGACTGGCACGCTCCAAGCCGTGCCAAGCAACACGCCCGTGCAAGCAAGAATTCTATATTTTAAGTCAAAAGTTGCCAACTAACTTCTACCATTTTCACAAGATGCTTTGGATACTTTCTTCACATGCCAGTCAAAGTTCAACCATGTGCAATTGAGAACAATTGAGAAACCATAATTAAGAGCAATTCATGGCTTGATTTACAAACTTTTCCACCTCACAAAATTGAACTTTACTCATTAAATCACAAGGCTTGTTCCCCCAAGAAGTCTATATAAGGAAGAGAAGGAGCCACTCCAAAGGCATCTAGCAAATCCCCATTCCATCACATTACACATTACACTCCACTCTCCATCTTTCTCTCATTCTCTTAGTCTTGTACATAATTTTATTTTCTTTTGAAGTTAAGTATTCAAGAGTTGTGCAAAGGTTCAAGGAATCTAACTCTTAATCTTGTTTATTTCTTTCATTATACTAGGGGGTTTGATGTAGCTTAATCTCTTTTCCAATTTATTGAATTAGATTTATTTTTCCTTATTCAAGTTATGATTTATTGATGAATTTAATGCTTCTAGGCAGAATTTTTCCCCTAGATTGATTTATTTCAATTATCACTATCGGAAGAAGGATCTTTGATATGAAAAGGTTAATAAAACTTAATGCTTTCTAGGCAGAATTTTCCCCTAAATTGGATTTATTTCAATTATACTATCGGAAGACAGGAATCTTTGATATGAGGTTTCAATAAAACACATGAGAATAATACCTTGATGCGGAAAGCTCTATATGGTTTGACTCATGGGGGGTTTTTCATAAGTTAATGACCTTAGGTCATGAATTCACAAAACAAACCACAAAACTTAATGATTTAATTCATGTTTGATTACACTATTAGAAGATAGGTAATTAAATTGGATTAGATTATAACAAAACATTGAGAAAGATTGTTAGTGATTCTTGGGTTGTTTCTTCGACTTGAACAATTAAAATTGATTTGCAAACTAATAACATAAATTAGATAGAATTAAGTGAAATCAAAATCCCTAGTACTTTTAAAATCCTTGATTTCTTTTCTTCAAATACTGTTGCTTGAGTTATTTTTTTTCTATTTTTACATTTAGCACAACATCTCTTAATTATGCTTTAAATAATAAAAGATAAACATTTTCTCACAATTTTGGTACTTGGTTTACAATCCTTGTGGGAACGATATCTTACTCATCATATATTACTTGTAGCGATTCGTACACTTGCAAAATAAGCTGTCAGAATCCATTCTTCTTTTCAATTGAACCAACTGCAGGCGTTTCATTTTAAGAAAGCCTCCACCCCACTCGGCAAGCTACTTACCGCACTCCCTAATTTTTTCCACGACCAAAAGATGAGTATGTAAATACCAAAGGCGTTCCACTAGAGCAGTACATTCTGGTTCGCCAAACCATTGATTTTCGAAGCGAAAATGCCACGAACTGGAACTCAAACAAACTATTATAGACTTCAAAAGCGGGGGGAGTGATCTGAGGCGATCATCGGGAGATTTAAAACATGCCAGTTAGGAAAATGGTTTAGCCAAGAAGAAGAGGCTAACACGCGGTCAAGCCTTTCCTTAACCCATATCGTTGTCCCTCTAGCCTTCTCCTAGGTGAAATCATAACCAGACATTCCCATATCATGCAAACCGCTAGATTGAATAGCATTTCGAAATCCATCTAACAATCATTGCAGGTGGGGGTGAGTACCTCTCTTCTCCGAGTTGCTTAACAAATCATTGAAGTCCCCCATACAACACCAAGGTAAGGCTGATTTATATTTTAGCATCTTCAACAAATCCCAAGACTCTTTTCTTCGACTTCTATCTGGTTGCCCGTAGAATCCTATAAGCCACATTCAATTTGATCAGGAAGATGGACTGAAACGTCTATATGATAACGAGATTAACTTATGAGCTGTGTAGTGTTTTTATTCTTCCATAAAAGAGCCAAGCCACTGCTTAAGCCTCTACAATCAACAAAAAATCAACCCTCAAAGCCGAGGGCCTTACAAATAACTTCAACTTTAGATTTACTAATTTTAGTTTCAATCAAGAAAATAAAAGCAGGCTTGTATGTACAGAGCATGTCTTTAAGGACTGGAACTGTGCGTGGGTTGCCCACCCACGACAGTTCCAACATAGAGTACTCATAATGCTCGGTTGGCCTGGACCCCAGGACCATCGGGACTAGAACAACAGACAAGTCAGCCGAGTTTGCAACAACCATATCATCCACATCCGCTGATTGGGCTTGCCCCTCCTCATATCTCCTACGCTTACAATCGGAAACCATAAGCCCATTATCAAGGTGTGTGGGCCCAATATTAGTAAGATGAGGTCCAAGAAGGTTGCTACGACCTAAATGAAACTGCTCCTGATCACAAGCCATAACTGCTTTCTTTTTACCAATAGCCACTTGCTTCCCACGTCTCCCTACTTTTGTTGAGGAGGTGGTTGGTGAAAAATGTAACCGCTCCCCATGCTCAACTTTCCTGCCCCTTATCGGACAACTACCCACCCGCACACCAACCAATGGAAAGTCCATAAACAGCCATTGATCGCTGGCTGGCAACTGATTTTGGTCAAAATTAGCACAGAATTCAGGTTCAAATAGGCGTTTAGAAGAAGACCCTAACTGCTCTGCCCATTAATTGCAAAACTGCTTTGAATGACCGATGATTTCACAGGTAAAATAAAAATTAGGAAGCCGCTCATACTTGAAATTCAACCATAACCATGTTCCTCTAGGTTTTCTAATACCTATTCTCCGTTTAAGGGGGATTCGTGTATCAATTAGAATGCGAATCCGTATGAATCGTTGCCACAAGCATGAGAAGTTAGACTCATTAGCACTTATTAATTCCCCAACATAGTTACCTATGCATTGAGCCACTTTTGGTATTATAAACACGTTAGGAATATCATGAACCTATAGCCAGATGTGAGTGCAGAACAACTATACATTATGTGACATCCCGACCTGGCAAAGCGATCCTAAGAGGGCGGGTAAAGCAAAGGTCCTGGCTAGCTTCTAGGATGGCAGGCTAGCTAGGGTAGTGGAATGCGGGACACATGAATGAATCAAATCATATATCGAAAAGAGGGAAACTAATCATTAGAGGCGCCTTTTGGTGGAATGGCTGGAGAGTTGGAAGAACTCCAGGGTTAAGCGCCTTTTGGTGGAATGGCTGGAGAGTTGGAAGAACTCCAGGGTTAAGCGTGCTCGCTTAACAGAAATCTTAAGCGTGCTCGCTTAACAGAAATCCTAAGATGGATGACCTCCTGGTAGGTTTCTCATTTCACCTACGAGACAAAACCGTGCAGGTCTTGCCAATCTTATATGGGGGATTTGGCTTGATCCAAAGCGGACAATTCCTCTAGTGATTAGAGTTGACAGAAATCCTAAGATGGGTGACCTCCTGGAAAGTTTCTCATTTCACCTACGAGATAAAACCGTGCGGGTCTTGCCAATCTTATATGGGGATTTGACTTGATCCAAAGCGGACAATTCCTCTAGTGATTAGAGTCGGGCGTGACACATTATGCGATTGTTCATCTAACCCCAGAGTTTCAAATAGGAGAAGATGTTGATCAAATGTCTAGGGGCTCATTTCCACAACTCTATTCATGTTAATGGCGTCTAGGAACTGAAAGAGAAATAGGTCCTTTGAAACCTCCCTAATGTTGATGCCATGACCAGTTTCCAAAGGGAAGCCAGGGTTTGTTTCATTGCAAGAAAGTTCATGTTTCTATCAGTTGGGAACCTTCCTACCAGTGTGTAGTCAGGTTTAGATTGTTCGTTGTCCACACCATTCTCATCCACTTCCAAACCTCCCTCTTCCTCCTCTCTGATTGAAAGTCGAACCAGCCTCTGATGAATATCAGAGGATCGAGATGTACTAGAAGCTATGATAAAACAATGCAAAACTCGACACTCAGGCGAGACTATCCAACTCGCAAGCTAGGGAGACCCTCGTTTGCATCTTTGCATTTTTTTTTATTTTCTAGAAAATGTTAATTTCAATTATTTGTTATAAAAGGTAAGGATTATTGACATATGATAGAAGGAAAACTGTTAAGAAAAAACACATCGCTAATCACAAAAACTTTCTTGAAAACACTTTACTAATCAATTTCTTAGAGTTATTGCGAAGAGGATAAAAAACAATTTCTTTAACGAGGGACCATTACTAATAAAAAAAACAAAAAGAAAAAGCAAGTTGGCTGAAAAATATGATAAAGAAAAAAACTTTCTTGAAAATACTTTGTTAATTATTAGATAAATGGATCATAATGGCCTAATAAATCTTTCAAATAGGTAATTAAAAATTATGAAGTACTTAAATTAAAGAATATGAGGCACTAATTGCTGAAGATGAGAATTATCAAGCAAAACTTGTTTTTATTATAATCAAAGAAGATGCAGATTACAGAATAACATAACATAATAAAAGAATAATATACGATAAAAACAATTATAACGAAATTTCAATGAAGAAAATCCTCATGCAGAATTATTTCACTTGATCTGAACCCATTTGGTAATGCTAGGTACTCCCTGGAAAACAACCGAGAGCATATAATACCCCACGGGAGCAACTTTATTAGAAATTGGTGAAATGGCTCCGACTTTGAAGTTTCCATTGGCAGGAACGACCTCTCTCAATCCCAACTGGATAAGTCTTTGATTCATGTTAATTCCATGAGTAGTAAAAGCAGGAGAATACATAGTAACTTTCACATCTCCCTGTTCCACTTTGCCACCAGCTATCTTGACTTCAATATCAATATTCTGAGCATAAGTCATTTTCTCATTGAAGGTCACAATCTCTGGTCTCTTCTGTATAACGGCGGCGTTTAAGTAAGGTGGTGAGTATTTCTCCACACGCAACTCAGTAGGGTACATAGCATCGTAAATATATCCATTGTTTGTGTTGCTACCGGCGATAAGGACTTTTCCGTCAGGTAAAACAGTGGAGGTTGAATGGTACATTCTGGGTATGGTGGATGGTGCTAGTGCAGTAAATCTTGTTCCTCTTTTAGCTCTTGGGCTATACAAAACTGGAGTGAAATTAGGTTCGCGAGCAAAACCCCAACCAGAAGCTCCTCTTTTAGCACCATTTACGATAAGGACTTCACCAGTTGGAAGAATCATCATATCGCCCATAATACGAGGAGTTGGCATAAGCTCTCTCTTCCAAACAGGATTTTTAGCTGTGATTCTCATTCTTCCACAATCTTCAAGCGCTTCGTAGAAGATTTGTTTTTCGGCTTTGGAATATGAATCTTTATGTGCAGAGCCACCGCAAATCAAGACTTCAGCTGGAAGAGTCTCTTTGGGATCCTGGGAATGGATTTTGATTGGGAGGAGCACGGAGGCTCCACTAGCGGGATAGCTACGGGAACCACCAAGAAGTTCTGGGAATTCTTTGACAATTTGGTTGGTAGTAGGGCTGAGCAAGACAGAGCGACTGTTGGCAAAGATGAACACATTGCCATCAGTGGATAAGTAGACAAATGGGTACAGATTGTTTTCTTCTGGATCACTGGTTTGGCGGAGGAATTCAAAGAAGAAAGGTTTGGGATTGGATTGCCCTTCCTTAGGAATATACTCGTAGCTAAAGGCATCACGGCCACCTACGACGATAAATGCACCATCTGGCAATGTTGCCTGTGTCGAGTACCTGAAATAACAAAAAAATTATAAAAAATTAAGCATAGTTTTGTTTTTCTAGATATATGTTTTATGGGTCTTTTGGCCCCAAAGTACTAGAGTTGTATTCAAATACCATCTACGATCCGCAAGAGCAGTTGGATACTCTCTCCAATCGCTGCCTTCAGCAGTGCCAAGGTACCTGACAGTATTTGCACCTCCTTGAAATCCTCCGGTGCTTACCAAGTTGCCTTCAATATCAAGACCTCCTGATGAGCACCAGGTATCGTGCACCTCCTTGAAATCCTCCGGTGCTTACCAAGTTGCCTTCAATATCAAGACCTCCTGATGAGCACCAGGTATCGGTATTGAGCTGCAGCCAAGAAATAATAGAATTATGAAATGGGAAATTAATAAATAGTTATTAAAATGAAACATCAAATTAATTAATTAATTAGTACCTCGAGAGGGGTAAGTTTTCCGTCCTTAATATCATATAAGACAGAATGGCACCAACAATCTTTCTCACCGGTGGCTTGGTCAAGAACACGACATTTTCCATTAGGCAATTCAATTTTTGAAATTTTCCAAATGGTAGCATCATACATCAAAACCTTGTCAATTTTAGGAAGCAATATTGCATGCATAGACGAGACGCCAGAATTTTCAGAGACAAGTTCCCATTCCCCTTTGTATCCCAGTTCAACTGGCATAGGAACAACAGAAGCCGCACCACCAGCTTTAGCATTACCAGCGACAGCACCAGCAGCGCCAGCTTCACCTTTAGCACCGCCACCATCATCTGTAGCAGTGATACCAGTAGCAGCAGCAGCCGGTGCCGCAGCAACTGCATCGGCTGTTATTTCGGCCACATCATCACCCTTTATTGGAGTACCAAAATCGTTAGGTATTTTGTTCGCCTTGAAATCGTTCGGATTACCAAAAGGATTTCCGAACATTTCATGAGGACCTAATACTTGTTCCTGGTTGAAAATTTTATAAGCGTCTTTCTCTACCCACAAGTTCTCCAACTCCTCTCCAGGAGGAGCAGCTGCATGAGCATTTCCATGGGGAACTGCATGAGCATTTCCATGGGGAACTTCATGAGCATTTCCATGGGGAACTGCATGAGCATCTTCATGAGCATAACCAGAAACAAACAACACAGAGAGAAGTAACAAAATTTTGAAAATTATCGCCATTGCTATACAAAAATATTTTTTTTCTCTCTTTTTTTCTTTTTTAATTTTTTTTTTGTTTTTTTATTTTTCTTCTTCTCCCTGATTATTGCTTTTCCCTTCTGTGTTAACGCCTTTTATAGGTACAAGAAGTTGTTAGTAGGATGCGATAAAACAGAGAAGTCGTTCCTTATTTAGCGAACAGCCATTGATCCAATTCTCCTCCTCTTCCGTAAACCCACCAAAGCTTCACGAAAAACTAATCTCCACTTAAAAACTTGCTCAATCTCTCAGCTTCCGCTACTTTCCTCGCTCTCCTGAGCGACCGATGATATCTCTGGATGTTCCCATTATAAACGCGAGACCTTTTGCTGCTACAGCTATTTTCGGATGCTTTTAGGGGAAGAGAACCGGATTGGGTTGGTTGTTGGATAAGGGTTTTATTGTATTTGTTGTTTGGCTCTGTATTACGTGATTGTATATAATGCTTCCATTTTCTCCCTAATTTAGCTATCCTGTTATAGTACAGAGTGCTATTTTGTGTTCCAGGCGATATTCACCTTACAATTTTCGTGTCACAAAACTTTTTTAATTAAAACGTAATTGAAAGATCAATATTTTGATCTGTGTCTGTTTGGAGTTTAAAAGCAATAACTCTGATCATTACCATATCAGCTCCGCGCAAATTCTGCGTATTTGCCTGGAACCAAAGGCAAGAGATGAACATACTTATTTGACTCTCTAACGACGTCGTTACTTAACTTACGTGTAAATTGCAATCTCTTTTTAAGCCGTTCGACGACCGCGTGTTTTTTTTCAAAAATATTCCTCGAAAGCAATTATACACGAGGCTTTTACTACTGTATTGACAGAAAAACTATAATTTTTTGTCATTTAGCATCCTAACTTACTATAGCAGGTACATCCCATTAGTTATATAAGAGATTATTTGTATGAAGATTATTTGATAGAGAGTTAAAAAGTTATTTGAGAGGTTGAAAATTCATTTAAATACTCCAATTTTCTAACACCCTGAATTGAAGTGTAAATATAGTTAAAAATTTTAATTTTTAAAACTATTCATAATTATATTTATAAATCTTTCATGACAAAGGTATTTTTGTAACATTTATATTTAACATTTTATTCCTCTGTTATCAAACTAAATAAAACAATGATATTAAATATTCATTTATCATACTTTCTCCACAAATATAAAAAAGACATTTATCGTGCTTTTTCGTACCATATTATAGCTTACTTTAACGATTCCTTCCTCCTTTCATCCAATCTAATCGTAAGTGTTTTTTTATTCTTTGTAAATTTTTATTTTTCTTCTTTTAATATAAAAAATATTTTTTAAAATTACTGTTCAAAAAAATACATATCATTGTTTTTAATTATATATTTTTTCAATTTCATTTGGATAGAAAATATTTTTTATAAATTAATTTTTATTTATTTTAATAATTCAATTTCATTTGGATAGAAAATATTTTTTATAAATTAATTTTTATTTATTTTAATAATTTTAACAACATTCTCATAAGTAAGAAAAGAATTTAACCACGTTCGTTAGTTCATAAATATTTATTATAATATTATAAATTAAGTAAAGGAGAATTTAAAAAAATAATTAAATGAGATAAAGTAAATGATGTGTAAATTAAAATATTAAATTTAATAAGATAACACAATTACTTTTATAAAAGTTAATAGCTAATAATGAATTATTAATATAAATATTTAATATAATAAAATTAACCGGTTAATAATAATATATTCATTAGGAGAATAAAAAAAAATATTTAATGATATAAATTTATAAAAATTTATATATATGTGATTTAAATTTTTTCTATACAAATAAAAGTAGGCCTTCAAAAAATAAAGTTGATGAAATTGATTTTGGGTTAATAAATAAATATTTAATAGTAATTAAGCAATCATTTTTATTTTTAAACTAAATAGGAATTTCTTTTACCTATACAAGAGGTAGTTGGTTTTTCTCTTATTCTAGCATCGAATGGCTAGATTTTAAACAATAAAATCTAATGGCAATTAATTATTTCCTATGGGTGCAGAATTATTAACATCATGCACTGTAATCTGTCCCTATATATGATAGAAGGAAAACTGTTAATCGATTAACAATGGCCAAACAACACTATTATTAGAACATAACAAACAGTCACGGACCAAAAATTTTTTCTTATGAAGTTCGAAAATTCATCATTTCATACGATGCCATATGAGTATTATGCATGCATGATTAGCATTTCATAAAGTTAAAACTTTTAAAACAACATCATAAAGATTAAATTATTATTAATTTCAAAAATTTTAAATTATTTAAATATAAAATTTGTTTAATAATTTTATTTAGATTATATTTCTTTAATTTTTAAATTTTAACAATATTATTATTAAAAATATTTTCTAGATGGTCGTAAATTTTAGTCAAACAAATTAAATTTGGAAAATACATTGTATACTCTCATTTACAGTAAAAAAAAAAAATCAGCTTTGAATAAAAAGATTAAATCAATTTAATTTCATATAATTTTTTAAAAAATATTAAAATAGAACCATGAGTTATAATGTTAAGTTCATCTTTTGGGATAGATTAAATATTATATTTTGTTTTCAATAGATTTAGAATTCTAAAATTTTTTAAGTTGTTAAATTTTAAACATATTACCAATAATAAATAATTGAATTATAAATTTATAATACTATTGTATATTTTAATATTTATGTGAATTTTTATGTAATTCATAAAATGAAAATCAAATCTAAAATTAAAATCAAACCTAGAATTAAAATCAACCCTAGAACCAAAATTTAAAAAAAAAAACTAAAATCAATAATAAAAATAATTCAATGGCAATAAAAGAATACCTTAATAATAAAGTTAAATAGAAGAATATGTGGCGCAGACAACTAAAGATGGGAAATAATATCAAAATTTGTTTTTATTAAATCAAAGAAGATAAATATTTCAAAATACTAACATAATAAAAGAATAAAATATTACCAAAACAATTAATACAAAATTTCAAAAAGAATTCTCGTGAAGAATTATTTCACTTGATCTGAACCCATTTGGTAATGCTAGGTACTCCCTCAAAAATAACCGAGAGCATATAATATCCGACAGGAGCAACGGCGTTAGAAATTGGTGCAGTGGCGGAAATTTTGAAGTTTCCATTGGCAGGGATGACCTCTTTTACTCCCAACACGATAAGCCTTTGATTCATATTAACTCCATGAGTAGTAAAAGCAGGAGAGTACATAGTAACACACACATTTTGCTTTTGCACTTTGTCACCTGCTATCTTGGCTTCAATATCAATATTCTGAGCATAAGTCATTTGCTCATTGAAGGTCACAATCTCTGGTCTTTTCTGTATAACGGCAGCGTTTAAGTAAGGTGGTGAGTATTTCTCCACACGCAGCTCAGTAGGGTACATAGCATCATAAATATATCCATTGTTTGTGTTGCTACCAGCGACAAGGATTTTTCCGTCAGGTAAAACCGTGGAGGTTGAATGGTACATTCTGGGTATGGTGGATGGTGCTAGCTCAGTGAATCTTGCTCCTCTATCAGCAGTTGGGCTATACAAAACTGGAGTAAAATTAGGTTCGCGAGCAAAACCCCAACCAGAAGCTCCTCTTTTAGCACCATTAAGGATAAGGACTTCACCGGTTGCAAGAACCATCATATCGCCCATAATACGAGGAGTTGGCATAAGCTCTCTCTTCCAAACAGGATTCGTATCTGTGATTATCATTCTTCCACAATCTTCAAGCGCTTCGTAGAAGATTTGTTTTTCGGCTTGGGAATATGAATCTTTATGTGCAGAGCCACCGCAAATCAAGACTTCAGCTGGAACAATCTCTTTAGGATCCTGTGTATTGCTTACAAGTGGGAGGAGCACGGAGGCTCCACTAGCGGGATAGTTACGGCAGCCACCGGGAAGTTCTGGGAATTCTTTGACAATTTGGTTGGTAGTAGGGTTGAGCAAGACAGAACGACTGTTGGCAAAGATGAACACATTGCCATCAGTGGATAAGTAGACAAATGGGTACAGATTGTTTTCTTCTGGATCACTGGTTTGGCGAAGGAATTCAAAGGCAAAAGGTTTGGGATTGGATTGTCCTTCCTTGGGAATGTACTCGTAGCTAAAGGCTTCACGGCCACCTATTACGATAAATGCACCATCTGGCAATGTTGCCTGCGTTGAGTACCTGACATAACAAAAAATTACCAAAAATTAGTTATTCTAGATATATGTTTTATGGGCCTCTTGGTCCCAAAGTACTAGAGTTGTATTTAAATACCATCTACGATCCGCAAGAGCAGTTGGATACTCTCTCCAATCGCTGCCTTCAGCAGTGCCAAGGTACCTGACTGTATTTGCACCTCCTTGAAATCCTCCAGTGCTTACCAAGGTACCTTCAATGTCAAGACCTCCTGATGAGCACCAGGTATCGGTATTGAGCTGCAGCCAAGAAATAATAATAGAATTAAAAAATGGGCAATTAATAAATAGTTATTGAAATGAAAAACCAAATTAATTAATTAATTAATTAGTACCTCGAGAGGGGTAAGTTTTCCGTCGTTAATATCATATAGGACAGAATGGCACCAGCAATCTTTCTCACCAGTGGCTTGGTCAAGAACACGACATTTTCCATTAGGCAACTCAATTTTTGAAATTTTCCAAATGGTAGCATCGTACATCAAGACCTTTTCAGTTTTAGGAAGCAAAATTGCATGCATAGACGAGACACCAGAATTTTCAGAGACAAGTTCCCATTCCCCTTTGTATCCGAGTGCAACTGGCATAGGAGCACTAGGAGCCTCACCACCGGCTTCAGCATTACTAGAAGGAGCACCAGCTTTGCCACCAGCTTTTTCAGCATCGCCACCCTCATCTTTAGCAGCGATACCAATACCAACAGCACCTTGACCAGAAGCTTCAGCAGAAACTGCATCGGCGGTTACTTTGGCAACATCACCCGTTGTTGGAGTACCAAAATCGTCAGGTATTTTTTTCGCCTTGAAATCCTGCGGGTTACCGAAAGGGTCTCCGAACATTTCATGAGGACCTAATACTTTTTCCTCGTTGAACATTTTATATGCGTCTTTCTTTAACCACTCCTCCAACTCTTTTCTAGTTTTCTCATCATTAGGATCAACCTTACTAGGATCAATCTGAAAAGCATTCGGAGTAGCATCGATCTCAGCATCAAGCTGAGCATCAAGCTTAGCTTCAGTCTCAGCATCATTATCCTTAGCATCACCCGTAGCATTATCCTTAGCCTCACCCTTAGCATCTTCATGAGCATAACCAAAAACAAACAAGAGGGACAGAAGTAATAAAATTTTGAAAATTATCGCCATTGCGATACAAAAAGATTTTCTTTTCTTTTTTCTTTTTTTTTTTTTTTTTTAAATAGATCTTTTTATTTTTCTTTTTCCATTGCGATACAAAAGATTTTTCCTCTTTTTTCTTTTTTTTTTTTTTTTTGAAATAGATCTTTTTATTTTTCTTTTTCTCTCTGATTATTGCTTTTCCCTTTCGTGTTAACGCCTTTTATAGATACAAGAAGTTCTTAGTAGGATGCGATAAAATAGAGAAGTCATTCCTTATTTAGCGAACAGCTATTGATACCTGCGATTTGTTGGGATAGCGAAAAAGTATTACTGCTAGACTTGGTTCTCCCACGATCTCTCAAACTTGTTTTTTTTTCTTTTGACTTAAAAATTACACGTGGTGTTTGACTAACATAATAATATTGATTAATTTGTTGCTTAAGCAGACAAGAGCAGAGCTATTTTTTTTAATTTAAACTGCTTTTTTTTTTTTTTTTTTTTTTTTTATTGTTTTGCCATATTAATTAACATTCTCAAGGTATTGAAATATGCTTGGCCTGATAAGTTTCGCGTCGCGTCAAAAAATAAAAAGGTAGTAGTCCTTTTTTCAAGTAATTAATACAACATGGTTATCGTCATCCACCATTTTTGTTCTTTAAGTTGTCTATGTTTTTTGACAGATTGGATGAAGGAATGTAAAAGATTTTCCTGTTTTCGAAAATCCTACCTAATGTAATTGTAAAATTTTTTTGTTTTTTTTTTTTGATATTTTTGGAGCCATTGATCCCTAAATTATATTTGATTAGATCAAAACTCAATAGAGCATTAAAATTTTTTGAAGTTCCTAACCAGTAAATATTAAATAAAACAGTAAAAGGGAATTTTTACATATCCAATCATTTTTTTATAATAATAATAATAATAATAATGCAATACTTTAGAAGTTATGTTACACAAATTTTTTTTTTTTTTTTTTGATATTTTTGGAGCCATTGATCCTAAATTATATTTGATTAGATCAAACTCAATAGATAAATTTTGAAGTTCTACCAGTCAAATATTAATAAAACAGTAAAAGGGATTTTTACATATCCATCATTTTTTTATAATAATAATAATAATATATCAATCTTTAGAGTTATGTTACAAATAAGAAAAATATTTTCTATTAACGGGGATGACGAGATATACTCTTAGTAACTATTAAAATAGATCAAGAGTTCGAAACTTAAAGTTGACATTTATCGGGAAACTTTAATCTGAATATCACTATTGCCTCGAATACCGAGACATGAAAGTTAAAAGAAAATAATAGGAATTGAAATAATTGATATATATATTATTAATAATTAAAATGATTATTGAAGTCTAATTATTTGTCTTGAAATAATGTTGATAAGGGTTTGTTTTGGTGTTGATGGGTTATATATCTTTTCATTGATTGACATTAATAAAGAAAGCTCTTTTACCATTGTATGCATAACTGTAAAAGAGTCTTTCATAGCTGTATCACTGCCTAATAAAGTAACTAACTTTATTTACAACGATAGCGAAAGCAAAAATCCAACACCAAAAGAAGAAACTAGTGAAAAAATATGATACCGGCAATTCTTCGGATTACGTCTAGTATAGTATCCGCACATGGTAGATTATGTTTATACACAATTCTAATTATATTTGAGTACATAGAATTCTTGCTTGGATAGAGAAATACAAAAGAAAATGTATGTTTTATGATATAATTCCAATCTTCAAAATTACTTATAATTGGATTTCTTTTTTTATTTTTTTTTTTTACTTTTTGGTACTGGAACATCTTTCAAATTTTAGTAATTCATCTCCTCTTAGTTTTAAATTTATAATAAATAATTAAAATGATGTAGATGATTAAGAATTCCATTTTTAAATGAACTTTATACGTAACGTTGAACGAGTTTAAAATCTAAAGTCATCACCATTCTTGAGAGAAATTTACGTGATTACCACCATTCCTAGCAAGTGTGGAGATATATGTGCAAACCCCGTCAAGAGAAATGACGGGAATTTAAAAAAAAAAAAATTACGACGTGTTTTTATCTACATTGACATTTGATAAACAACATTAATTCTATTTGTTTCAAGAGTTGCGTATGCAGAGTTTAGGGTAGTGGTAAGCAAACACCCAAATCCGAATCCCACTTCTCCATCCCCACAAATATTACCTCTCGTTGTCACAAGATAAGATTCAAACTACTCAATTTTGAAAAAGAAAATATATATTCTTCCTTTTTAAAAATTACATATTCCTTGAAAATTAAGGTTGAGAATCATATTTTTAGCGTGAAAACAAATATCTATGCACTGAAACCTGCTATTTTTTTATTAAAATAATCAAGAACTGATTAATGCTTTCAGATTCTGATACGTGAACTCGTGAAGGAAGCTTAAAATTTGCAATCGCGATTACTTTTTAGTTGGTAATAAAATTCCTCCAGAAGAAACTGAAGCCATATTCAATCAGATGGCTAGCTCAGAAAGATGAATTGAGTAGTATGAAAATCAGGAACTGGCATTGTTCTTTGAGCTTTGATTTTATCTGTAACTGAATAAGAAAGTATACTTCCATATGGACGCTGCTTTTTGGACTCGAAAGAAGCGTAGCATCCCTATTTCAAGAATCTTCAACGAATAACATTGCCACTGTTTGTTATAAAGATAACCTACCAATTATATATGTATATATATATATATATATAGTGTCTAGTGTCAATTGCACTGCACCTAAGAATCCCAAAATTTAGTCCTTCCATTAACTTAAAGATAATTTTTTTTTTTTTTTACCCAGTTTTGTAACCCATTAACCCTAGTTTCACAGATTTTTTCTATAGTAGTTGCCTCTCACTGCACTAGCACGAGAACGTACTCTTTTGAAGGTACATTATGGTTAATAATATTTCCTTATCAAGAAAGTGGTCAAAAACTTTATAAAATGCGATAACTGTTATATGTTAAATTACTTTTTAAGATTCCGCATTATCCTTAATGGGAAAGAAAATTATGAAAAAGCTATAAGGTTTTTTTTCACTTTTTTCTCGAACACAGAATTTTAGTTTACCTAATTAGTATATGAATTTGCATTCTCATTGATATGTTCTAATATTTTATTTCCTAATATTTTTTTTAATAAAGTTAATTAGCACTACATATTGAACAAGGAGCTAACTCTAAGAGAATAGAAACATTCCTCAATCCAATAAAATCAAGAGTTTGTTTTCATTGTCAGGAAAAAGTATGTTATCTGTAAGATGCTGTTAGCTAGGCTAGCTAGACCTAAATCAAGAAAGGGCAAGAAATTTATAAGAACTATGATTTTTCTCATTTCTCTCATAGCTCATGAACAAGAAGAAAATTTCATGGTCTTATGCTGAAAGTCAACTTATCTTTCATTACACAAGATCCCTTACAAAATGAAACTTCAAACTAGTTCATCACCTTTGCTTAAAACCAACTGGTCATGGTGAACTTCCAATTCCCATGTAGTATATGTAAAATCAAGCATTTTGCAATCTCACAACTCATGCTATTGGTTCAAATTGACAATCTCAGCTCCAAATCTAGTTCTTGAGTATCACTTGACTCAGAATTTTGACTGCTTGAGCCCATTGAGTCGCTCCTATGTTTCTTGCTCTTCTTTTGTGCATCCTATTTCGTACGTAGTTAATTAAATAGAGGCTCAGTATAAAAAACATGATTCATATCATGTTATAAAAATAAACAAATAAAATTGGTCGGAGAATCTCATTGTAGAAATCTACAAAGAATATAAATAGATAAGAGAAATCTGGATACATATGTATATACCTCAACTTGTAAATTTAAAAGGTGCCTAGTTGAGCCTTGTTGTGCAAAATGCTGAGCATCTATAAAGCTTCCAGGGTTCCAACTGGTTTGAAAGAAATTTATTTATCATTATAATTAAGCATATATAACTTGAAAAGAATTAAACCTCGAGAAGAACATTTCAAAATCAAGACTTAATAATTATCTCAAGAATGTTAAACTAGAAATATTTTGATATATCAAGTACCTTGCTGCTGTGGAGGGTTGCGAATCACCATATATCATGTTTGTTCTTTCATTATAATCACCAAGCCCCATCTGTAATATGCCAAGATAATTATTGATGGCACCCACAAAAACCATGTACTTATAATTTATAGCACGCATATGTAAGGTGTGGATATTCACTTATGAAAAGATAAGCAAAGCAAGTGTTGGCTTATATAACAAGAATTTTGTATTTTCTTTAATTAATTAATTGTCTAAATAACAAGAAGAAAAAGGCTTGATTGGCACTAGGGTTATTGCCAATCATGCCTCAATGAGTGAAGAGAAAAAGGATTTCATAAAAAAAAATTCCTTTACAAGATCTTACATGTAATAGCATTTCGATTCATCAATTTAAAAGAAATTTTCTTTGAATTTTGTTAAGTTATTTACAGACAAAGCATGTGTTCATATGAAGAAGAAGATGAAAAAGAAGAATACAACATACATATATGCTAAAAAGTCTAAATCAATCCACTAAAATTTGTAAATTTCTACAGTTCTCGATCAGAAGCTGCAAAGATATTTAAACTTATATTTCCAATATCTAATCAATAAGACACAAAGATTAATACTATATACAAACAAAAATTTTGGGTATTCAAGAACTCCCCAAAACAAACATATATATGTATATGTTTACCATGATGTTGGGGTGGAAACCATAAGAAGCGGAAGAAGCAGCAGATGATGAAGAATAAGAGAAAGAAGATGATGCTACTGATGAATAAGCTGTTTGCATTCTCATATCCTCCTGCATGTTTATATATAATCATCAACAACCATAATAAAACCCTATTTGTATATTAAAAAAAAAAAATTAAAAAATTAACACCAGAAACACCTACCTGGTTAAAATTAGAGGGGTAAGGATTATGAAGGGAGGGATGATAACTAGTACCCATTTGGCCATGTAATCTGATCTTCTCCAATTGAGCAACTCCAAGCCCTCTTTGAGGTTGTTTAGGCTTATCTGAGTTATTTTTCTTGCCTTTTCTTGAAGACCCACTTCCCCTTTCATTTCCCAAGTTTGGCTCTCCAAAATAACTGCTACCCATAATATTGCTAATAACAATCTTCTCCTCTTTCTTTTTTTCTCTTCTGTGCGCGAGATTGAGAAATACAATGAAATGATCTTTCTGCAGAAAGAGAGAGAGAGAAAGAGAGCTTATTGATTTTCTTTGCAAATCCCAATTAGCTGAATTTTTTCTTTCTGAGCAAAACAGCAACTTCTGTGCAACCAGAGATCTTCAAGACCTATTTTAATGTGTTTGCTCCCCCAGTAATTATTGCATCGCTGGATCAGATTGTGTACAGATTTAATGCAAATATATACTTAGATTTTATGCTCTTTCTTTTTTTTCTTTTTTATTTTTTGGTTTGCTCTACCTTTTCTTGTTGCTTCATTTTTAGAACTCCTGTATAAATAATAATAATAATATGAATCACAACATTATTATATTTCCCTTTACTCATGGACTTCGTAGACTATGTCTTGATAGCGATTGTCTTTGATTTATTTTGTTATTAAATTCTAATCCTCTAATCTTACGCGCCACCACTTTGGGTAATTGTTTCATTCTGATATTGCAACATTTATAATGCTTCCTTTTCATTTTTACATATGGTGTGGGGGCAGAGCTAGACTTTTATGGGTTTGAGGATTTGATGCTTATGAGTAAAATAAATACTCCGTGGGCAACATTTTACTCCTATAATAGAACTAAGTGTGAATAATATTTGATTTTAACCTATTGAGTGAAGATATCTGTAGTAATATTAAAAGATTCAAAATTCTACCTCTTTATATTTACATTATCCTTAAATGCTTTCCATTTAATCTAATCTCCGTTAGTATTATTCTTTTCTTTTTGATTATACTATTGAGAGACTCGCAATTTTGAGCATGGAGATACACATATATTAACCAATGAGATGATTTAAATAATTCTAATAAGGAAAATGAAAATACACGCTCTATAGAAGAAAGTGGGATAAGTTCAGTAATCCATAAAAGCAGAAGATTAAAGGTGGAAATCAAAGGTAATTAAATTATACTAATATACAAATCAAAGAATCAATCTTTTAGTTGATCACTTATAATAATCATTTAAATGCTAATCTCCGTTAGTATATTCTTTTCTTTTTGATTATACTATTGAGAGACCTCGCAATTTGAGCATGGAGATTAACACCATATATTAACCACTGAGATGATTTAAATAATCTTAATAAGGAAAATGAAAATTACAGCTCTAATAGAGAAAGAAATGGGATAAGTTCCCAGTAATCCAGTAAAAGCAGAAGATTTAAAGGTGGAAAATCAAAGGTTAATTAAAATTATAACTAATATACAAATCAAAGAATCAATCCTTTTAGTTGAATCACGTTATAATAATAATAATATATATATATATATAATGATTGGTTCGCCCACATTTTATTCCAGTTTGACGCGGAGCGAAATGTTAATAAAGATTAACAACTCCAAACTTTTAAAAAAAATTTAAAATTTCCTAAAATTAAATTCATTTAAAAAAACAAGTCCCAGCTGGTAAAATTCCCATAAGTATAACTCATTATAAAAACAAAAATTAAAAGGAATCGCATTTTTACCCAAATTGTAGATTCTGGAAGATCTCCCGTTTCAGCTTCAATGGGCGATTTCACTTCTCATGAGAAATCAAAAAATTTAATTCGGCATTATAACCAAAAAATTTATCTGGTCCCGATCTTAAAATTGTTTCATAATAATAATATATATATATATATATAATTGGTCCCACATTTCCAGTTTGACGCAGCGAAATGTAATAAATTAACAACACTTTTAAAAAATTCAAAAATTAAATTAATTTAAAACAGCCCCAGCTGTAAAAATTCCATAAGTAATAACTCATTAAAAAACAAAATTAAAAGGAAATCGCATTTACCATTGTAGATTCTGGAAATCTCGTTTCAGCTTCATGGGGATTTCCTTCTCATGAGAAATCAAAATTTATCGGCATTATAACCAAAAATTTATCTGGTCCGATCTTAAATTTTCTTTTTCCTATTTATAATTATTTGTTTTATCGAAAGATTTTAATTTTAATTTTAAATATAAATATAAATATTTTAGATGTATTTATTTTAATGTTTTCATTAAAGGGTATAATTTAGAGCTTAGAAAATTGATTTCTTTTCGTAAAATTTTTAATAAATTAAAATAATGTAAAAAAAAAAAAAGAGAAAAAAGAAAAGAAAATCAAAGATGGCGATAATTTGGAGTAGATATCATGCATAGAACCAAATCTAATTGAGCTGTTTCACGCATGATTTGTGGGTCATATTTTATGAGTTGTTGTGTGGTGGAAAGTGAGAATCCCTCCAATTTCTTTGACAGGCATGTGAACACATGCAATTACCAAATACCCCACTAATCCTTTCTTAAAACATGCCATTTGTCAGTTCATTAACATCAACTTACACATTTATTATTAATTAAAAAAATATGTGGTTATTATATGGTTATGAAAATATTTTATTTTATTTTATACTATAATATATAAAATGCTAATTAAGCCTACCACAAATAGGTTTACTGGTATATTCTTTTAGCTCCACCGGACACTTCAATTTACCTACCATCACTAAAATCACTTGCAAGTGGGTTTCATTTCATTTCACTTCTTTATTATGTTATTTTTTTAATTAAGCAGGAACAATTAAAATATAATTTAAGTTTGAATTTCCTAGAAGCTATGGTCAATAGGATCGATATTGCATTTTTTACATTAGTCAAATTGTGGAACCCAATTCCATTCGTAACCCATTAAATATATTACTCATTAATTAAATCCCATAATTAATTAATTAATTAATTAATTGTTTTTCTCTGTTTATTAATTTATTATATGTGTGTGTATATATTATGGTTTTGTGGTGGCAGCAAGTCTGCCTGTAGGCAAGGCAATGAAACTGTTGGATTACCAATGCTTGATGCAACCTTACCTGAGAACAATGAAGTCTACTTTGACAAACAATACAAGCTACTCCAATTTATAATTTATAATCTACACATTTTTTTATTTAAATTATTATTTAATTCATGTCGTGAATCAGATGGTTCAAACTAGAGACAATTTAAAATTTTTTTATTCATCACACGTGGTTAGAAAATCAGCTAATATAAATTCATTATATATAATCTGATTGGTATTCAAACTGATTTAAAGAATAAGAGATCTCGGGTAGATTATGAAATTTTTTTATTAATTTAGTGAATTAAAAGGAGAATCATCAAGTAGTCATAATCTTATTTTGGTTCATTAGGCTTCTCATAAATAAAAATAATTAATTAATAAAAATATAAAAAAGAATTCTAAGTGTGTCAGTTGTTACATTTCTAATTGCATACTAACATATAACGTATGAATACACATGTGCATATATTAATCAATATTGTTATTATAACCATCAATTGAAGAGTTTATATATAATTATTGTGCACACATTTCTCATCACAATTTATTAAAATATAAATCAATTAAGTAATTAATTTTGAGTCTTAATTGGTCATGTTAATCCTTATTGAGGCATGGATTGAAATTTTTTAAAAGAATAATGATAGGCTTAAAAAAATTAAATTCTTAATATTTTGGGCATTGACATAGGAGATATATACAGTGCTCACAAGCTAGGCTGAAAATTTTTTACCATATGGGTTGATACATCGTTATTAGATTAATCAATGTATATTAATTATGAAGGAAACAAGAGAACAAAATAGTAAAACAAAAGGATTATGTTGATTAGGTATGATTTAAGTATATAATAATATATCAATTATATGATTAGAAATTTTTGTTTTTCTTTCAAAAAAAAGAAAAAAAAAAAAGAAAAGAAAGACAAAGTTTAGTGGGAAAAGATGTAGAGAATATGATATCTACTGTAGATTGTGGGCACATGGAAAGTTACAGGTTGCATTACTCCACATGATTTGCAAAACAATATAATCCCTAGGAAGACGCTGTCCATTTGTTTTTCAGACTTCCAAATCTATCTCAATAATCAATATCCTATTTAATATAATTAAATAAAATGCCAATTCAATTTTATATAATTAGTAATACACTGGAACTTGTACCAAACCACTTAATTAGGGTTTGGGCTTCTTCTTCTTCTTCTTCTTCTTATTTTATTCATCTCTTCAGTTACAAAACTTTATTGGTTTTAGATAAAAAAAGAATGTATCTGTGATTACAATTTTGAACGTTAGAGATTCTTTTAGGGTATGGTATCTCTCAACTTTGGTATAATATCATAATAAGAAGAATCCCATATAAGATTCTTTTGAAAAAGATTGATACAGTATAAATAATCACATCTGCTTGCCATATATCTTTACATTTTTCTTTTTTATAACGATTATGGAGACTGTACAATGTATTTCTCCTATACTGTTATTTCTCTTAGAGTCATAATTATTACTACCTCTGTGTGGTTTTTTTTTTTTTTAATATTTAAGGAACAAACTTATTTTTTTTTTTTTTTAATTTAGGGAGCAAATTTGATATGAATCTTATAGGTAGATGGATAAAACAATTCCAAGAAAATTACTTGGAAGGGAGGGCCGTTTTAAGTATGCCCTAGAAACCAGACACGTAAGTTTGGGGAAGAAAATTAATCAGATCAGAAGAAGAATCCAACAAAGAAGAGAGGGAAAAAATAAAACGTACAAACGACTTTATCATATATTGACATGAACGAATAACTATTTGCAAATATGCCATACGATATCTAAAATAGTTAATCGTCAACTTATCTGGTCAATTTGCATTCTAATGCACATTTCAGGTAATATATATATATAGCTCCACTGTAATTTAATATTGTAGGACTAAGTTAGTAGACTGTAAATACATAACTTTGAATAACTATTCTACATGTAAAAAATAAGTAGCCGTTGCAATGGCGAAATTGTTTTAACACATTTAATTCTTTGTGACGTTCTTTAGTTCTTGTAGATTTCATATTTGTCAATAGAGAACTAATCATTTCGCAAGGAGTCAATGCTGGGGCATTTTTCTGAATTTAAAGTTTATTTATACTTTGGAAATGGATTTTTCTTTTATTGAGCTTTGTTTTATTAGGTTTTTTCACTTAATTTTTCTGAACTAAATTTAGGTGTTCTTAGAGTTTGTTGGCTTGGATAGATTTTTTTTTTTGATCAGATTATAATAGTAAAATAGATTTATTTCTATATATATTTATCACTATTAAGATGATCTTTTAAAAGATGATCTTAGTAACGTTTAATGGTATGTCTCTTTCTCGATCTTTAGTTTTTTATTACCCAACCAAATGTTCTTTCTTTTCACGTAAAATATATAAAAGAAAGATTATCCAACTGGATTAATTAATTATTATATATTTCTTAATTTTCAATTTAATTATTTGCTTTGTGATTCCTAATAACAAAATAACGTCAGCTCAAAGAAATTAATCATTAAGTTTCGTTCAACAAAAGTTATCCACAATAAATATTTAGGTATATTCATATACATGTGCCAAAAAGGTACATAATTAATTTATATAGAAAGCATAGAGACAGGTTGTTCGTGTGTACTGTATGCCATGTGAATATATATATATATATGTAGACATTAAATTAATTAATGGTTTTAGGTGGTGAGCAGACAGAGAGAGTCCCATCCCATATGGTTAATAAATAAATGTACATGATTGGGTTGATGAATCTTATAGATACCTAGATCTTCTGCGACCATTACAAAGGTGAGCCAAAAAATAAAAATAATTGCTATGAATCCCTAAATGGAAGATTTTCTTCTACTATAAAATAACTTGGTACAAGTCTAAATAGAATGTATAATTATGGAGGGACAACTGGAATGCCCAATGGGTCCTTGAAAACCACAAAGCTAGCTCCTGAACCTTCATTCTGTTTTCTACATGTGGAGATGCTGCAGAATTCAACACTTGGCTATTTTACTTCCTTTGGATATACTCATGTTTATATATACACACAAATCAAGCCAGATAAAATGACGAAAGTGTACATTTTCTTTCAATTAAAGGTTTCGAATTCGAGTTGGACTTCTGATCATGCAATAATAAAAAATACTCCATTTATTTGTAGATTTACCCAAAACGAATTTAGATTGATCAGATATGTGGGTTTCAAGTTCTAGACAATTTTCACCAAAAAAGTATTTATATATAGGAAAATCCTTACTTAGACCAGATTCATGGCTACACTTATGAACTAAATTAATAAAATTAAGAATTTTTCAAAAAATTATTCCTATTTTATCTTTTGAATAGTAAGCAATATTCTCGTTTTAATAAAAAAATTATATTTTTATTATTTTAGTCCATAAATGAAACCATAGATCAGATCTAGATAAATTTTTTCCATATGAACTCTGTAGATGACTAGGAAATGATGTGGCACTAATCTATTAATTCATTTGTTGGGTTCTAGTTGTCTTCTACAATTGGTTATTGCCCTTGAAACCAACATCCCTAGGGTGATCTTATGATCTATCTTGGATATGGGTTCTGATGTTTTTCATTTTAAATATATATCATTGGTGCCTTAATATGTCTAGTTTCGTTTAAGAATTAAGAATCCTATTTATATATAATATGAACATTATGTTATTTATTGTTTATTGGTTGATCAATGATATATTATATTGTTTATAAATTATTTAAGGAACTTTTGGGCAATGAACCTTATTTTTCTAATAATAATTAATTAATAATTTAATATTGTTCTAGATAATTTGATGATCTGTCTTGTTGCTTTCTCGATACTTAAAGTTGAGATGCCCAATCACCTTTTAAGATTTGTTTTGCTAATTAATTCAAAGCAAAAAGGTTCAAAATATATTCTAGAAACATTTAATTAATAATTAATTGCTTTATGCTGATTGCCTTTTAACATATGTAAATATATAATAGATTTTTTTTTCTGATTTAAAAAAGAGAATTGATTAGACTTAAAAAGTTTTTGACCAAATTGAAAAATACAAATATTATTATAAATTATATAAGAATCCATTACTATTACTAATGGAAATTATGAGTAATTTTTTTAACATGGATATAGATTCTTATAATATGATTTTTATGGGCCTAAACCTGATTTAAAAAAAAAAAAATCTCACATTTGAAACTTTCTTTTTTTCAAAATCAATTTTAAATCTACAAAAAAATATCATATGAATCTATTATCATTTACCTATGAAAAATTAAAAAAGTGGAATGGAAGTAAAGATTTATATAATTGATTCAAGGTAGTTTTGAGATTAAGATTTAATTATTATAAGGTTGTTATTATTTTCATCCAAAATCCATTACAATGCTAGAATATCAATAAGTCTACAACTCCGATGCTAGGGTTTATTTTATAGTTAACTAACTTAATTAATACATCAATTAGACTAATCGAGACTACTTGGGTTTTAATCTAATGACAGAAAACAGGATCAGAATAGAGAGGTTAAGTACCTTCAAGCTACCCTCTCTCTCTCTCTCTCTCTCTCTCTGTAGTTTTGGAGATTTAAAGATTTAATTTATTATACAGGTGTTATTTATTTTTCATACCAAATCCATTACAATGCTAGAAATATCAATAAGTCTACAACTCCGATGGCTAGGGTTTTATTTTTATAGTGTAACTAACTTAATTAATGACATCAATTAAGACTAATCGAGACTACTTGGGTTTTAATCTAAACTGAACAGAAAACAGGATCAGAATAGAGAGGTTAAGTACCTTCAAGCTAACCTCTCTCTCTCTCTCTCCTCATCTCTCTCTCTCTATATAGTATATTATATTATATATATATATAGGTCGAGTTGGTAAGCACAAGCTTTTGCATAATTGTTTTGATTTGGGTTAAGGAAGCTGGCTCAACACCCGAATGTCCACACCACTCGTTGGGGCACCATTAAAAATTTTTGTCTTAACTTGGCCACATTGGGATTAATTTTGAGCATCTGCCTATGAAAAAGTTGCTTTTTTTTGAGCAATCTTGGAAGCTTATTCTAACTTTCTTGGTTTCAGTCTTTAGTGCAATCCAAGCATAGTAATATAACATAGTACACACACATGGTGAGTCATTGATGAAGTCATTGGGATCGAAGGCTTTCTTCTTTTTTTTGATAGCATTAGTTTATTACTTCTTTTGATGAATTATAATTGAATGGCATTTTTTTTTATATTTTATATATTACGTTTGGTTGTATAGTGGAAAGGTTATTATTAGCTTGTCAATGCATGCATGTGGTCATACTTCTAATCGACTATATATATCATATATATATATATATATATATATGTGTGTGTGTGGTGTGTTGTGTGAGTTCTATTTATAGCTCTTAACAATTGTATCACAAAACGTTAAAACGTGGTTTGTTTCTGTAATGGCTTGGTTATATAAATATAAGGATTACAGATTCTTTTTCACGCTAACGTTAAGTAAAAAAAAAGAGCCAATCCACAATCACGAAACAGAATATAATAAACAAAAAGGTTTTTAAAATTTTTGAAACTAGACAAAGTTTTGGATGTGTTTAGATGAACTAGGACAGTTTTTTTCTGGCACATTAAAAAGGAAAAGAACAGTTGACGCAATTTACAAGAAGTTGTGGTAGAGACCATATTGACTTTTTTTTTTTTTTTTTTATTCCCCCCCCCCCTCGGTGCTAACTACAGTTTAAGTATTAATTCCAATCACAGGCATTTTTCAATCTACTGGGTAAGGAAATTCAATTCTGCTATGGTGCCTAAATCGATCCATTCAAAGTAAATATTTTTGACAAATATAAATTATTTAATCTATCCATGAAATTGAGTCCTTGCTCTCAATTTAAATAAAAAATTTTCAAAAAGTATCTAATCTTTCTTCAGATGTCCATACATCATCCTGCTTAATTTATTATTAAATATGAGATATTGATTCGAGCCTTAAATCGAAGTTTGTTATGCTTTAAGTAAAGAGTTATATATATATATAATAAATTTAAATATATTTAAGTCAACCATAATCAACATAGATAATACTAATATAGTTTCAAAAATGTTTTTTGTTATATTATATTACCTTCATTACTGAATTTACCAAACGCTAGCATTAGGCAATACTTTAAGAATAATGTAAAAGGTATGAATTTGAAGTCTAAATTATTATTATTATATTTTGATAAAATGAAGTCACAGTTATTAGTATTTAAACATTTTTCTATTCAGGAATTGAGATTTTCCATGGGCCAATTTTGGTTATGTGTCAACATAAAACATTATAAACTTCTATTTCCTTTTTTTTTTTTTTTTTCAAATTAGGTTATAATTACAGATAGTACAATTCATATATTCTGAAAACCAAGAAATTCAGGTTTTCAATTGAAAGAGTTGGAAAAGATTATTATTAATAGTTAATATTTGTATATAAAATTGATTCAATTTTTTATTTAAAATCTATACTTAAATAATAAAAAGTGATTCTTTTTCTAATTTGACTTGACTAAAATTTTGAACTCCAAGGAATTTGATAGTGGTAATATTTAATCAATAATACATTCTGTTTTTTTTTTTCAAAAAAAAACATTGTGGAGCTCTGATCTTATATTTCCTCGCAGAAAGTCAACCGTAAAACCCAAAACTAAAACAGCAGAATGGGCCTGTATGAAAGCCACAAATTAGCTTGCTTGCAACAATTCGTAAAAAGTAAGGGAAAGCACATTAAGTTCTCATCAGCTTCTCTTCTTCTCTGGCTGTGGCTGTCTATACACGTAGTGAACCTATGCAAGCTAGGCTCATTGGCTCCAGGCTTGGAAGCCAGCCGAACGGAGCTGAGCTAATCGTCCGTGTATGTGGAATGGTTCCTTTGTTTGTCTATCGATTGCTAATGGATTAATGGAATCAGGAACAGAGCCATAAGATAGGATTTTAAAGACACACTTTCGTTTCACTCTCTTCACTGGCCTTGATAGGCTTCTGTTATCAGATTGTTCATTACTCTATCACCCAGCTTCACCAGCTACTTCATAAAATTTCTTGGGTTTCTTTTCTTTCTTTACACATTATTAAAGATTGAGATTGAGGTACTGTTTCACACTTCACTATTATCATCAGCTATGAGACATCTTTAATTTAGTTTTTTCTTGATTTTGCTTATTGGGGTTGTTTAATTTATTTGAATTTTTAATGCTTTGTTTGTTTTTTTGCTTTGGTGGGTATTGAGCTTCTCCGTTCTTCTGAACGGGCGTGCTGTGAAAAACTTGAATTTATTTACTTATTGTTGAATTAAGTATGCTTTGGCAGTTTATTGAATTGTAAATAGTTTATGACTTGTTCAAGATGTATTGCTTTCCTAGTACTTATCCTTGTGGATAAGAGCTCTTCTAATGGACTTATGAAACGCAGAATTGGTGATTACTTTTGCAGTTTTTTAAAGAAATATTTCCTAGTGTTTACATCTCATTTCCAATTATGAACTTTTTCTAGATATTAACATTCTTTGCTACATGGACGCTCTTTGTATGCTGCTTGATGCTGGATTCGCATAAAATTTGCATATTCTAGCTGAAATATGATCATCATTAGGTGCCCTAATTTATGTTTGGACAATTTTATGAAATCTATAAAATGAAATTACCTTCCAGTTTCGACAGAAAATGTTGGAGGTTGATTCAAATTTAAGGAATGTGGGTCATAATAATGGAAAAAAAATGTGAAATCTCTGGTTTTGGGTAATGCTCCAACTTGGTGGAAGTTGAATTTGATTTAATATAAGCAGAGGGGAAAAGAATATATTTGTTTTTTTTTAAGATGTTATAACTAGTAATAAAGAAATTATCAGTGTTCTCTTTTCTTATTGGTATTATCAGTTAATTAACAACAGGTTAAATATAGAAAAACTGCACTATTTCATGCTAAACAGAGATTTCAACTTTAGTAGGCAGGAGTTTGATTTTGTTATGCCGTTTTTCTTTGTTGATTTGGCAACGAAAGCAGCTGAATTAGGGATAGATAAAGTCTTGTAAATGGAATGAACTGAAATGTGCATTACGCTGATTATCTTAACGGGAATGCAGAGGATTAATGAATTTCTTTGTTAGATATTGTTTAGATG